ATTCCATATTGCACTTGACTAATGTTTTATTCTGTTGCTCCTGTTTTTATTGTTTTTATTATGCCTGTACAGTGTCCTTGGGTGTTTAGAAAGGCGCTTTTGAATAAAATGTATTATTATTATTAATAATTAGGGCGACAGTAGCTCAGTTGGTAGAGCATTGGCCTTTGGGCCTGAAGGTCGTGGGTTCAATTCCCACCTCTACACCTTCTCCACCGACTCCCACTGATGACTGCTGTCGTTGTGTCCTTGGGCAAGACACTTAACCCCACTTTGCCCAAAGCGCCCACTGAAAGATCAAGGCTATGCTCACACTCAGAGAGCAGCCGTCCTCCTGTGGACTCACCACCTGCAGAGGGTCAGTGAGGGGCTGGTGCTTATGAGACTTGGGTGGCATCTCTGATTGCCACCCCCCTGACCCAGAAATGGATTAAAGGGTAAAAAATGGATGGATGGATGGATTATTATTAATATTATGATGGAGCACTGTCTGCAAACTCCTCATGTGACATCTCTTGTATCAGCAATCAATGTGCAAAATAAATAAGAAGAAAGAGTAACCCTGAGCCAAACCCATTGAGGGATCATGAGGTGATGAGTGTTGCTAAATGCTCTGCTCATAATGATGCTGTTTGTTTCTCCTCGGGGAAGGAAGTGGTCATGGAAGGTTGTGTGGCACCCTTGGCTCTAACCTTTCTGCACTGCCTAATGAGTGCGAAGACACTTGCACCACTACAGTGTTTAATTATCTCTCATTAACACAGGGGACGGGAATAGAAATGTTTACCTGTCATTTAGTTTACATCAAAGTTCTCATTGAAAGAGGCTCGTACGGCTGCACCCTGTTGCTTGTACGTAGCAGGGGATGAGGATATAACAGTTTGGATGTCTTTGATGTGAAAACGATAACCTCAGCAGTGACACAATTCTAGTCTTCTTGCAATATCATATATCTCATTCCCAAAGTGACGTGACGATCTGACAGGTTTCCCTAAATAGAAAACCATTTGCAAGTTGGATTCCTCTTGAGAATAACATCCATTAATTTGAGCCATGGCTTTTATCCCTGTGGATCAACATAATCTCTGTGCACGGGTTTTGGTGATGTCACTTGTTTGCAGGGGTTCTCAATCCAATGGTGCTGCAAAGTGCTCTCACTTAAGATAAGAAAACTTAATTGATCTCACAGTGGAGAAATTTACGACACTAGCATTCTAAAAATAAATGAAATATTAACATTTGTGATGTCACCAGTAATAAGCATTGGTGGACCTTCAAACATAATCAGGATGCTCAAAAACACAAGAGGAGTGAGTGCACAAAAAATGTATAATACAGTGTGAATGTGAGAAGTCAGGTGCTCTTCAAGGATCTGTGCGAAAATAATGTAGAAACCAAAGAGGAAAAGGTCTGAGGCACTCTGACTTTATTACACTTTTTATTGTGGAAGGTCTTCATCAAGGCAAGTTAAGTCATAATCAGGATGTTTTTTATTATTGTTATTTTTCCACATATTAACGGCTGCAAGTCCTGTGTAGCTCTGAAACAGTTGTTGTTTTGTGCTTTACAATTTGTATTGTTCTTGCTTTTTTTCTACCTGAGATGTTGCTGCAGTACAGTGTTGATGGTTTTACACTGGTCCAAACCAGAGCAGAGAGGATTCATGGTTCGAACCAAGTGGATCAGGTGAAAATCCACTGGAGAAATGCTAACTTTTTGAAAAATGCTAATGGCAAAATGGTCCGAACCGGCTACTCCACTTTGTGACCTGTCCTGCTCCACCCAGAGGCTACCCCACCTCTGCTGCTGTGACCTGTCCTGCTCCTCCCAGAGACTACTCCACCTCTTCTTTCTTCTTTAACATATCTGTATTACGAGGAATAGCCTCTTGAGATGCATCATCTCGTTTTCAGGAGGGTCCTCAAAAATAGCAAAACAAGTAGCAGCAGCGGTTGTCAAATAAATGCAGTTACAGTAAAGTGTAACAAATAAAAAACATAACAAATTACAGTAAATAAATTCAATAAAAACAATACAAGGACAGAAACATTCACTCACACACACACACACAGAGCTCTCAGAGGTCAGAGGTCACCCTACTCCTCAAACTAGGACAGTGAAAACCAAAGGATATAATATTTAAAAGAAAGTTCAGTAGCAGTTACAAACATTACATACTGTAGATGCCTTAGTACAGCAGCTTTAAAAAGAGAAAAAGAAGTTAAAGAGCGAATAGAGGCCGGAAGGAGATTCCAGTCGTTTGGGGCTTTATATTGGAAAGCATATTTGCCAAGTTCTTTTTTCACACGAGGAGTGTGAAAGAAAAGCTAGTTTGTGTGACGAAGATTATAAGAGGAATAAAAGGGGTTGAATATTGCTTTAAATAAAGAGGATAATCCAAAAAATAACATTTATAAATGAAAAACAACCAGTGAGAGTGACGTCTTTGGGATAGAGAGAGCCAGGACAGCTGCTGGTACATGTCACAGTGACAGTCTCTGCTGCTGTGACCCGTCCTGCTCCACCTAGAGGCTACTCCACCTCTGCTGCTGTGACCCGTCCTGCTCCACCCAGAGGCTACTCCACCTCTGCTGCTGTGACCCGTCCTGCTCCACCCAGAGGCTACTCCACCTCTGCTGCTGTGACCCGTCCTGCTCCACCCAGAGGCTACTCCACCTCTGCTGCTGTGACCTAAAGGGCTGTTGCTGATTATTACTATTATTAGCTTTTTAGAAAGATCAATATTACATTTTATTTTTGCTGCTACTAGACACCTGAATTTCACCTACGGGGATCAAGAAACTATCTATCTATCCAAAATTATTCCCCATGCTGTCTTCATTTAATAGTTGAAATACTGGTTAATGCCTTCATCACCTCCAGACAGGACTATTGCAACAGCCTCCTCTTCGGTCTCCCTTCCACCCATCTCCAAAAACTTCAATCCATCCAATACGCCCGCCTGCTCACCCACACCCGCTCCAGACACCACATCACCCCTGTCCTTAAACAACTCCACTGGCTCCCTGTTCCATACCGCATCCAATACAAGGTCCTCCTCCTCACCTACAAGTCCCTCCAAAACCTGGCCCTCTTTCCTCACTGACCGCCTCCATTATCACTGCCCCATCCGCCGCCTCAGATCCACAGACTCCAAACTCCTCACTCCCCTCAGGACTAAACTCCGAACCTTGGGGGACAGAGCCTTCGCTGCAGCTGCCCCCACTCTCTGGAACTCACTCCCTCAACCAATCAGAAACTCAGACTCACTACAGAACTTTAAATCTTGTCTCAAAACCCACCTATTATAGCTTGCCTTTCCTTAAATTTCTTTCTCAATGTTTATTTCTATGTGTTTTTTAAAGCGTCTTTGAGCGTCAAAAAAGCGCTATATGAGTTTGATGTATCATTATTATTATTATTATTATAGTCCATAACGAAAACGAACCTGTGGCATTAACCAATCAGCGTCAAGGTGGCTTCCCTGGGGCCAGCGAGCAGGCAAACAGGATCAGATTGTGCACAGATAGACATGTCAATTCAAGCATATCAATGTGATAAACAAACAAAAAATATGCATAGCGCGAAAAAGCAGAATTCTTGCACAGAATAAAATTAATTATCCAAATCTTCAGTTTCACAGAATCCACATTTGTCTAAATCTAATTTAAACCTGCGCTTCAGGAATATGTTTGTTGGATAGATTTTATATATACATTTTGAATTGTACTTGTATTGTATATTCAATATTTGCATCTCATCTTTTTTATTTGTTCCTTTTGAATATCTTAAACCCTTTTGAGAGAGTGTGTGACAGAACTTTTAAATAAGCAGGATCATTAGAATTTGCTATTGCATTTAAAGTCAGTAAAACTGACCCCATCAATAAAATGTTTCTCATCATTGAGACAGAATGAGTTAATGATGTCTTGTTTTACCATATTGCATAGTGATTTAGGGAAAGTCTTGATAATTTGGGTACATTTTATTTGAAATTCATCACAGAATGCCTAATGTTGCAGAAAGTTGCCTTCTCCATTCACAAAAATCGCCCAAATACCTTTGGAAAAACATTCCCCTATAAAGACTGATTTCCTTCGAATGAGCACAAAGTGGTTGCTCCAAATTATGGAGTAAAGTACGCTTGAAGAGGAGTGTTTCCAATATATATACTGCTGATGGTAATCTGAGAGTCACTGGGAATTTAGTGTCATCAAAGTCACACTAACACAAGACCACCTAACTTTTTAAACATATAGGAACAGATTGACTGTTGATTCTGTACACACATTTTCAGCCATTTAACCTTCAAAATACCATTCATTATTTCAAAGTTGACTGCATTTCCACCTCCATCCTCATAAGATCTAATATTATCATTTTTGCAAATATAATGACATTATTTTTTCCCTCTTCCAATATTGAACCTTTTACAAGTGTACAATATATATATATTATACGACTTATATACGAGCGTGATGACTGACAGCCCTTGGCATCACTTGATTGGTTAAAGTGGACAGCATCATTGATTTTGAGCTTTACCCGTAATATTATAATTCATAAAATGACTTATTTTATATCAACATTTAAGCCCAGGAGGTCAATTTAATACAATTCTTAAAATTTGTAATTCATTTAGAGTTCCAGACTATCACTTTAATTTGTTTCGCTTGTTGACGCTACAAGCCTATATAAGTATAATCAAATAAATAGAATACACCGATGAATCAAATGCATCCATGTAGCTAACTTCATTATCCCAAACCGTTATAGATCCATGCCCCAAGCGGACGGGCCAATTGTTGACAAACAGCGCCCTCTGCTGGATATACCCCCTCTTCAGTGTTGACGCTCAAACGTAAGCGTGACGTAAGTTGCGCAGTATAAAGCCTTGTTGTCTGACGTCAACGGTCTCTTCCCTGCCGTCGCCTATGTGAGGTGGGCAGTGTACAACTTGCCCTGATTTTCAACAAGCGAATCCATAACCATCCGCCAACATGGTAAGCCCCTTTCATCGTACAAACTTCCACATATCATCTTAATGCGGATGACTTTCGTACTCCGTGTGTAGGACTGAAGATAGTGGACGTTTTTGATCGGGTTGATATGTTCGTTGTACAGCTGACTGAACTGGCAACCATTTTGTACTGATGTCGCTTTTCCAAGTGAAAGGGCGGATTTGTATTTTATATTTACTGTTTAGAGAGTTATAGTTGTAGGTTTTCGGTCACATAGGTTAAAACTCCAGAGCTGTACAGTGTGAAGTTGGACGATGTCTTTATCCTTTACGCCGGCTTCTGTACCTGGGTGTTGACCGCTGCGCAGGCAACGACAGCATTGCTTGTAATTGTGTAATCATATGAACTACATCACTAAATCTAAAGCCAGTTATTCCCCACGGATGTTTCTGAACCGTGTGTTTCGGTGTCTTTGCTGACGTGACGTTGTAAGGCAGTGCTGGCCCTTTCATCTACCGGCTTTTTCCTGAGGCCTTCTGTTATCTAATGTTAGCTGTTAGCTTAGCGGCACTGTACACGTGGCCTCTGCTGAACAACAATACGACTATGGCTGATTCACTCCTCTAATCCTTTTATTATTGTGGGGAAACTATGGTCAGGCTGAATGTTAAGGGTTTGTTGGTCTTGTGACTTGTGTTTGCAGCCTGGTCTGTTAAAGACTTACTTGTTTCCCCACTCCTGATGATTCGGTGGACATTACGTGACGTATAGAAACTGTTTTCATAATCTGAATTACTGAGGGGCCTGCTACCCAGTCAGTAAAGTGTTAATGGGTGTATCTATGCTCGGAATAAAATCTGTGATCACCCGACTTTAAATTTGCACTGGGAAACTGCGTTCAAGTGATCCAATGAGGAAGGCTCTCAGGCGTGGGCATCTTACACGGACACTGAAGCCTTATTAATGCGATACCCTCTCAGATTTTAATTCTGAGGGGAGTAAAAAAATCTAGTTCTCTTGTCAAGCAGATTCTGGGGTTTAACCTCAGCCCTGAAAGTTAATTTCTGAGCTGGTGTGTTTTTATTTTTTTGGCTTAGAATATTACCAATAAGATCATGATTTATCCTCGTTTGATACAACAGTGAATGTTTTATACAGTTTCCTCGTTGTTGCTAATCCAATATTTGTCTCAATGACGCCACTAGTGCTGCAAATAAAATATATTTTACAAATAAAAATCATAACATCAACGATCACCACCTTATCTCCCTTGTCACCACCTGCTTTTCTTCACAATATGGTCCTTGTTGACGGCAAAGAAACTTTTTCTTAAATGATTTTTATCTCTCCAGGTGAACTTCACCATAGACCAGATCCGTGCCATCATGGACAAGAAGGCAAACATCCGGAACATGTCTGTGATTGCGCACGTCGATCACGGCAAATCCACCCTGACTGACTCACTGGTGTCCAAGGCTGGTATTATTGCTTCAGCTCGTGCGGGAGAGACTCGCTTTACGGACACACGCAAGGACGAGCAAGAGCGGTGCATCACCATCAAGTCAACGTGCGTGCAATAATAACCATTTTATTTGCAGCTTTGATTTACTGATTATCATTGTTGTCTTTATTCTATTTTAGAGCCATCTCCCTGTACTATGAGCTGGCGGATGAGGATTTGGCCTTCATCAAACAGGGCAAGGATGGTAAAGGTTTCTTGATCAACTTGATTGACTCCCCTGGACACGTTGACTTCTCTTCTGAGGTGACTGCAGCCCTTCGTGTCACTGATGGCGCTCTCGTTGTAGTGGATTGTGTCTCAGGTATGAAACTCCTTGTGGTCTTGTCAAATGACTGCTCTTGCTAAAAAAAATTAAACGTCCTTTTTGTTTTAGGTGTCTGTGTGCAAACTGAGACTGTGCTTCGTCAAGCCATTGCTGAACGCATTAAGCCTGTTCTCATGATGAACAAAATGGACCGTGCCTTGTTGGAGTTGCAGCTTGGCGCAGAGGAACTGTATCAGACATTCCAACGTACTATTGAAAATGTCAACGTTATCATTGCCACGTATGGGATGCTTCAAGGGGGACCAATGGGTGACGTCGAGGTAAGTGCATAATGGCCTTGTGTGTGCGCATGGTTTTGCACTTGTTGCTGTGAGTCTAATACTGTCTTGTCTTAGATTGACCCCATTAAGGGTACTGTTGGCTTTGGCTCTGGGCTCCATGGCTGGGCATTTACTCTAAAGCAGTTTGCTGAGACCTATGCAAAGAAATATGTGAAGGAAGGAGAAAGCGAACCTACTCATGATGAGAGAGCCAAAAAAGTAGAGGACCTGATGAAAAAGATGTGGGGAGATAGGTGAGGTTCACAAATGAGTAATTACTAACTTTAACCATTTACTCTCAGATCCATAAGCAACTTGCCATGTTTTCTAGATGACATTTTGCTTATCCTCAATTTTGCATCTTGTACTGACTGGCATGCAGCTTAAATTGTTGAACTGTTTTCTGTGACATAAACTTCATTTGTAAACTTCGTTATTGGACTGTCTTAACTGTTTTGCAGGTGGTGTGACTCAAAGACTGGCAAGATAAGCAAGACTCAAACTGCTGCTGAAGGAAAACCCGTTCGCTCCTTTGTCTTTTTTGTTCTGGATCCCATCTACAAGGTGAAGTTGTTTGCTAACACCAATGATTTTATATAATGCTTGCAGTTGATGATTAAAACATTCTTCACTTTGACCTGATGTAGCAGTGATGATACATTATATTCTGATGGCAATGAAACATTTTAAATTATTGGCTGATTTTATGCATAGTTTCTCACCTTTTTTTTTATTGTAGGTTTTTGATGCCATCATGAATTTTAAGAAGGAAGAAACTGCCAAAATGATTGCGAAACTCAATGTAAAGTTGGATTCTGAGGACAAGGACAAGGAGGGTAAACCTCTGTTGAAGGCTGTTATGCGCCGTTGGCTACCTGCTGGAGAGGCTTTGCTTCAGATGATCACCATCCACCTGCCATCTCCTGTCACTGCGCAAAAGTACCGCTGTGAGCTTCTTTATGAGGGACCCCCTGATGACGAGGCTGCTATGGGTGAGACTTTCATAATCACTTAGTCAATAGTAGGGGTGGGAATTGGCAAAAATTGAGAATTTATTATTGTAGTAATTGTCCAAAATTCAATATTGGTAACATTAGGGAAAATAACTAATGTCGCAATATGGTCCGCACATTAAAGCTGCACTAATTGACTTTGTGAAATTTTTGAATATGAGCACTAGCCTCGCTCTTTCTGCTCGCCCTCCCTGCAGGGAGCTTTCGTTTTTTTGTGTTTGTACTTCAGTTAAAAAAAATACAAATGTAGTGCAAGACATCAGTCGTCACCTCAGCAGAGAAAATTAACTTTCAAATACAGTGCCACTAGAGTAACAAAGCAGACATAATGGAGTAACTTAAGTTGCTAAAATGGGAAAGGATTAGTTGAACTATTTTCACTTTTCAACCTCTAATGGATAGTAAGTTTAACTTTTTTATATTCTACAGGTATTAAGAATTGTGACCCCAAGGCTCCCCTGATGATGTACATCTCCAAGATGGTGCCTACTTCTGACAAGGGTCGCTTTTTTGCCTTTGGGCGCGTCTTCTCTGGGATTGTTTCAACTGGCCAGAAAGTTCGCATCATGGGACCAAATTATGTTCCTGGAAAGAAGGAGGATCTCTACATTAAGCCAATTCAAAGGTTTGAAAGTCTCATTTTGTGTCAGGATAAGTCTTGTCCAGCTGTATTAAATATATAATCTTTCAGAACAATTTTGATGATGGGACGTTATAATGAACCCATTGAAGATGTACCATGTGGGAACATTGTTGGGCTGGTTGGAGTGGACCAATTCCTGGTGAAAACGGGAACAATCTCAACCTTTGAGCACGCACACAACTTGAAAGTGATGAAATTCAGTGTCAGCCCTGTAGTGAGAGTTGCTGTTGAGGCTAAAAATCCCGCCGACCTGCCAAAGCTGGTTGAAGGGTTGAAACGCCTGGCAAAGTCTGATCCTATGGTGCAGTGCATCATTGAAGAGTCTGGAGAGCATATTGTTGCTGGTGCTGGGGAGCTGCACTTGGAGATTTGTCTGAAAGACTTGGAGGAGGATCACGCTTGCATTCCACTTAAAGTAAATTGGCTTTTTAAAATGTGATATATTGCTGCTTTAAAGTTTTTTTTTAATTTGTTGTAATTTTCCTTCCAGAAATCCAATCCAGTGGTGTCCTACAGAGAAACTGTTGATGCTGAATCCAATCAAACCTGCCTGTCCAAATCCCCGAACAAGCACAATCGTTTGTTCATGAGGGCTCGTCCTCTTGAGGATGGCCTTCCAGAAGACATCGACAAGGGAGAGGTTTCTTCTCGACAGGAACTTAAGGCCAGAGCCCGCTACCTTGCCGAGAAATTTGAGTGGGATGTTGGTGAGGCCCGTAAGATCTGGTGTTTTGGCCCTGATGGAACTGGACCCAACATTTTGGTGGATGTTACCAAGGGAGTTCAGTACCTTAATGAGATCAAAGACAGCGTTGTTGCTGGATTTCAGTGGGCATCTAAGGAGGTATACACTTGCTGCTTTTCTAACTAGTTTTTCATGTGGCCCAATTATCTAAACTAGTTTAAATCTTTCAGGGTGTGCTCTGTGAAGAGAACATGCGTGGTGTTCGTTTTGATGTCCATGATGTAACTCTGCATACGGATGCTATCCATAGAGGTGGTGGACAGATCATCCCCACTGCTCGCAGAGTACTGTATGCCTCTCAGCTTACAGCAAACCCCAGAATCATGGAACCAGTATATCTGGTGGAGATCAATGTACGACCACCAAATCATTAAGTGTGAAATGTGCAAACTGTAAAATTGTTAACTAACTTGACTTTCAAATTGGCAGTGTCCCAGTGATGCGATCGGAGGAAGCTATAGTGTCTTGACTAGAAGAAGAGGGCTTGTGATTGAAGAGTCGCAGACTCCAGGAACACCAATGCACATTATCAAGGCCCACCTTCCTGTCATGGAGTCATTTGGTAAGATATTTGATATTAAAATTGCCCCAATTTAAGGTTAACTTTTTGCTAACTTTCTGGTGTCTTCTGGCAGGTTTCACAGCTGATCTGCGTTCAAATACTGGTGGACAGGCTTTCCCACAGTGTGTCTTTGACCACTGGAAGATTCTTGATGGAAATCCATTTGAGAGTTCATCAAAGCCTGGACAAGTTGTAATCGACACACGTAAACGCAAGGGGATCAAGGAGGGCATCCCAGCTCTGGACAACTACTTGGACAAACTCTAAACTTTGCTTATCTCATTCCATGTCAAACATTTGCCTAACCTTTTGGGACTGCAAAGTGTGAAAATGTTTGCCTAAATTGACCAATAAAATTGTATACTCGAGGTGACTTGTTTTTGTTGGCTTCATTAGTGGTATTGGTACTCCTCCACCCGGTTTTAAATGTTTAATATATTGGAATGTTTTAACATGTGTTCCAGAGGCTTTGGTTTCGAGAGTTTTAGATTTCCGTAAACTGAAATGGCTGTTAAATTGGCTAGAAGTTCTAACCAGCAATTTCACAGCCCACAGCCTCTTCGTCTGGGCAAATTAATATCAACACCATAAGACGGGCTTTTAAAAAGAAATTACGAAATTTAATTTGTATGGGATTGCAAGACCAGGCTTCAATAGTAAAAAGCTAAAGTTTGACTCATTTATCTACGAGTCAGTCCTGTTTATCCTGAACTTCGTGCAACTTAACTGCACGACATGTACACATGAGAACGGCATATAATTATTGCATGGACATAAGCTTTGTGTTTAAAAGTTCTAATTCCGGAACCAAGCACCGTCGACTTCGCAGCTGTGCTCTTTCTAATTCTGCGGAAAACTACTTTTATTCAAACAAAGCGTGCAAAAGACGAGTACATTTCTCAACAGTGTAAATACATAAAATTCACATTAATATATTAAACAAAAAAAACTTATTTTCAGCCGTCAATGATTGGTTGCTAATCAGCCAATCAGATCATCGAGTCAGAACGCTTCCTGTTTGTCCCCGGGCTGCGTGTGGTAACGGTGGGTTGGTTATTTTCGAGATTTGAGTCCAATTCGACCCTTTCCCTCAAACTGGGTCGCTGTTGAGAACATATTTTCTCATTAATAGGATGGTCGACTGCTTTAGCCACAAGTTTGCCTTGTGATTTATTTATTTTTGTCTTCAATATGTCTAGTGGCAAGGCATGTACTAGATCCATGCTAACGATCCCTTTAGCACGAACATGTGGATTACATTATTTAATTCGTATTAATTTCAAGTTTAAGAGCTGTCACGGTCATAACTATTTTGTAATAACCTCTGTGCATTGGTTCTGTATTATTGTTTTTGTTATTGTAGGTTATGGGAGGAATCAAACAAGAACATGGAGATGCCCAGCACAACACAAAGTCCTCACATTCACCCGAGCAGCCGACAGAGGAGGTAAACATTTCCATTGTACGTTCTCCAACCTGCTTTATAACACAAACATGGGCTATTTATTTAAGCTCCCTGTAAACCTATGTTGCAGCCAAAGAAAAGAGGATGGCCAAAGGGGAAAAAACGAAAGAAGGTTCTACCCAATGGCCCTAAAGCGCCCGTCACTGGATATGTCCGCTTCCTCAATGAACGCCGAGAACTCATGCGAGCCCAGTACCCCGATCTACCTTTCCCTGAGATAACCAAGAGACTGGGGGCTGAGTGGACAAGATTACTCCCCCACGACAAACGGGTATGTCTGATAAGATAAGATGTACTTTATTAATCTCACACAGGAGAAATTTACATGTCACGTTTGGCATGGATAGAAACACTCAAGATTGTGCAAAAAGTAAGAAATGTGCAAACAGGACAGGACATAGAGCACAAGAGGCAATGAGAAGAAGTGTCAATAGTAGTGCAGGTTGTATCAGTCTTAGTGCAGCGACTTAAAGTGACTCATTGTACAGTCTGACAGCGGTGGGTATCATTATGTCTGTTAATTTTCTCCCCGTTAATGCCATAACTAGAAACATGTTATTTTTGGGAAGGGGCTAGCATTTGTCTGACTCTGACTTGTTTGGTTAAAATCTATGTTGCTACAAAAGCACTCTTCAGTATTTGCTTTTCACATTCCATTTCATATGAATCCTGTGGGTGGCATTCCTCCTCCAAATTGTTGATTTAACTTCTAAAAAATACCATGTTTATATTGAGGGAGGGAGTGATGTATTGTGTATACTGTGTAGTCTGTAGTGTGTCATGCTGAAATATCGTCTTTGATCAGCGTTATCTCGATGAAGCTGAACGGGAGAAAATGCAGTATGCGCAGGAACTGAAAGAGTATCAGCAGACAGAAGCCTTTCATCTCACAAATGCCAAAATACAAGACAAGAAAGTAAAAAAAGGTAATGGTGGTTTATTTTTTGGTTGCGTGGATGGATTGAAATGCAGCTGGAAGTAACGTGTGTGTGTGTGTGTGTGTGTGTGTCGGTTTGAGAAGAAGACGCACCTTCATCGTCTCTAACTGTTGTGCCTGGACTGTCTTTACCAAAGGTGCATACTTTGTTTTTCTTATTAATACGAGTATTGTTGATATGAAATGTTTAAACAGCATTGTCTTCATAGGTCTCTGAGCTCCCCAGCAGATTTGATGTTCCTATTTTCACAGAGGAGTTTCTTGATCAGAATAAAGGTAATCTGACTGACTGACTTTTATTACGAACATGTACTTAGTCCACAAAGTCACATCTCGAGTGCTTTTTTAAAAGACGATTACCATGTGGTGATATTTTGTGATATGTAGAATCCTTCTATCTATAATATTCCAAACCACCTCACTATTTATCTATGGAACGGACTTCGTTTGACAGCTCGTTACTTTGCATCAATGATTTCTATGGTACCCTTTTAGCCTTCACCTGTTTTTTTATTTAATTGGAAACATAACATATACATTATATACCCATCCATTTTCCATCTATCCATCCTCTTCCCCTTAATCCATTTCTGGGTTGGGGGGCGGTGTCAGTCAGAGCTGCACCCAAGCCACTGATCCTCCTGCAGGTGGTGAGTCCACAGGAGGACGGCTGCTCTGTCAGTGATGACACAGCCTTGATCTTTCAGCGGGGGCTTCAGGCAAAATGGGGTTAGGTGTCTTGCCCAGGGACACAACGACAGCAGACATCAGTGAGACTCTGTGGAGAAGGTCTCATGTGTCCGGAATGAAGTTTGATAATAATAATAATCATCCTATACATTCAAATAAGACAAGAACTACTTTATAACCACCCTTTTTGTGTACTGCGTCCTTTTAAATTATGTATCGTGTACCCCTTGTGTGTCTCTTGTGTTTAGCTCGAGAGTCTGAACTGCGGCGTCTCCGTAAAGCAAATATAGAGTTTGAAGAGCAGAATTCCGTGCTGCAAAGACACATAAAGGATATGTATAACGCCAAAGAGCGGCTGGAAGCTGAACTGGGTCAGGACGAGCAAAGGACTCAGGCTTTACAGAGGCACCTGCAGGCTATCAAACAGACTCTGGTCAATAGCCTGTCTACTGTCCCCTTGCCAGGTAAGACGCACCATGATTCTTTTATTACTACACATTTTAATCTCTTGTATAAATAGGCTCAGGTGAAACTGCATCTCTTGGTAACTTGGATTCATATTTGAGTCGTCTCAATGGAGTGCTGGAGGGCAACCCGGATAGACACCGTGCCTTGCTGCGCCAACTTTGTGAAGTTTTATCACATTTTGACAGGTACATGTTTTAGTACGCATGCTTTATTATACATATTTGATATTTTGTCTAATTTATTGCATTTTTGGACAGTGAGAATTTATAAGAACGAGTCATGCGGACATACATATCAATATCACCTTTGTGCCGGGGGAGAACTGATTTTTAAAACAATGTTACATCTGGGGTCCAATTGAAATGATCCATATGAATAAAATGTAGGGCTGTCAAATTATTTGTTTAATCTGTTTAATCACACATGCAAAATGTAATTAATGTCAGTGTTGAAACGCTATTCAAAATGTGAGGAAGAATTTTTCACAATAAAAAATTATAATTTGAATTTATTTCTCAAAGTTTAATTTTGAAATGATGGCCGTTTTTCCGGATATTAGCCACAGATTTTGTGGATCAGAGCCTTCAGTTTGTGTCTGTCATAGACTGCAGCTGTTGTCTGTGTGTTGGCTCCTCACTGTGCTTAGCCACTCGGAGCTCTGCTGTCATGCGCACGTAAACATGACTCACTCACACTATGCACTCGTCCACGTGAGAGTGATTATTATCTCGATCTTTGTGATATCAGCGCAGCTCAGAGAAGCCTTCAGTCATACATACGAACACACACAGGCTTGGTTTGACAGCCCTGATAAAATGCTTCTTTGTGTGTATTTGTAGGAGAAGGTAATGCAGACATTATCAGGGGTCTCCAACCTTTAGCCATGAGTTGATATAGTGGTGAGGGCGAGCCTTAGATCGGGCATTGTCTCTAGTGTGCAAAGTAAGCATTTATATTATACATAGTTGTGAATCATTCATTCTGGAATATTCAGCATATTTGATGTTTTAATTTCTATATCCTTTGTTGAGCTACTTGGAAGGGGGTGGTGAGCTACTGGTAACTCCTGAGCTACAGGTTGGAGATCTCTGCTCTAATTTTCTATGAGGATTACGTTGTAACTCCTATGTGGAAGTATTCATTTTGACGATCAGTGCAGTTTTGTGCATCTATACATTGGTTATTCCACTTTTTCCATAAATTATGAAGTTTTGATTTGCTGGTGTAAAGTATACACCAGATTAGGTAGAATAACTAGAAAAGACTTGCACCCTTTAGGGGCCAAAGTGGTAGAATTCCTTCATGACTCAAGGACACTTGAGTGACTTGGTTTTCCACAAATGTGTAAGTAAATGGAAACTATTTACATTCATTTCTGTTTTTGTTTTTAGCTGTACTTCCTCTTTTAAAATTTCAGGGGACCACCATTTGCATCCAAAAACTGAAAAAGGAATACATAGTTGGAAAATGTTTTACAAACGAACCATTCATTTAATCATTTATCTTGAAATGCTTGCTTACATTATGGTGGCTTTTTTGCGATATTTTTGAAATAAATAATGTGAATCTTTAAAAAAATAATGTCACATGGGTATGTATGTAATTCTCCTTGCTTTTGGCAAAAAATCTGTTTTTATTCATTGTTTACATTTTAGCAGAGATGTTTAAAATGACTGCAGTTGTGTTATTTGCTCACTGTTTCGGTACTGTAAAATAAAACGAAATATTGAGTCTTGTTTTGTGTCCTTGGCTTTGATGTACCAGAAGAGGGCAGCAGAGGTCTTTAAATGACGAGAAAGCAATGAAATGAAAACGACAACAAAACTTCCCTATAAAATTGAAGTGACAACAATTTTCCGCTGCACATATAGTAATTGTACAAAAACAGAAGCTATGAGTGAATGAATGCAGCCGTTATTACTGACAAAGGTAACTTTATTTTATATCTTAGCACAGCTTGCATGAACATTGTTTTTGTTGAAATTGCAAACCACCTATGTGTGATTCTGAGGCTACCAGAAACAAATCTGGAGGTTGGGTTTTTTGTAGTGGATGCTGGTAATCAAATTATCGTTTTTGTGTCCAATGCGTTATCTGAGCTTTTCAGACCCTGTCATACTTTAGTTATAAAGTCGTTTGTCCTGCCAGGTAGTCACAAATACCTTTCAGTTCGGTAGTTCTAGGGGCAGGGTATTACAAATGAATGCTATCCAAACGCGTGCGTATGGCAAGTCCAATAACTTATTTTGCTGAAAGGCAACATGATTAGATTTCATATTTTGCAACAACAACAAAAATCACCTCTTAGTCCCTATTTTTCACACTGAGACCAAGCCCAAAAGCTGTTTAGTCTTCATAAAAACACTCTCCACTTGTTTTTATTATGTTACTTCAGTTGTATGTATTTATTGTATACAGCACAGTGACGTCAGACGATGTCCACAAAGCACGTTTTTCCCCCCATTTTTACACATCTGCAACTGTTGAATTATAGCAGATATTTACCTTACCCTAGCAAATACAGTAGTCATAACTGCAATCCTAAAACACATGTATTGTGCAATAATTGTCAAGCATATACAATTGCTAGCATGTATCCAGTGCTAATGCAAAATGATATGAGCAGGCAAAAGTGGGTTGGGGTAAAAAGTACGCGCACGAGCATCAGAGGCGAGAGGAGCGGTGGTGCTGATGCTGAACAAGATGGCTGAGGGCTGGACTGTGATGGAGCGAGAGCTGAGGGAAGGACCCGACAATTAGATCCCCACAACCAACAGCTCCAAACGACGACTGGGATAAACGAGTGCATGTTTCCGAATCCGATAAAAAGCTTCTGCCTCCATTTCGTCAAGCTATTTCTGTCCAATTTGCTTAAAGGAGACTGGTCCATATCAAGCCCACCCATTCAGTCTTGGCTTGAACATTGCTCAAAATAGCCAGGAGCTGGTTGAAAAGCTGGAACCATCAACTAAAAAGCCCCTTAAGATATGTCATTGCTCTGTGTTGGAGGTAAGAACCCGCACTGTTTGTTTGCCAAGTTTTTAATTATCATCTTCATTTTAAGATTTGTCGTAACACGCGGCTGAGAATCTATGTTCAATGTCTGGTGTGTGTTGGTCAGTCTCAGCTGTTAAATATCATTGCATTTGCTGGTGTAATAGATTTATTGACACGCTGTTGAATTGATTGTGGCTCGTAACATAGCCCAAAGAAAATGGATGTAGGACACAGTATTGATATTTTCCCTTTTATTGCACATTTGTATGTCTACCCTATTAATTGCCATTGACATTCATCAACACTTAGGGACATTGGTCTCCTGCCCCTTATTGACCAATACCAATGTGTTATCTATTTATATTTCTTGTGTTTGAACTGGTTGATTCTCGGATCTGTGTTGGAAAATTCAATGGTTTTGTAAAGTCCTCAGCGATGACTGCTGTTGTGATTTAGGGCTATTCAAGAATACCTAGAATTGAATGAGTTGATATTAGGAGATCCCTTTCACTTCACTTGTAAATGTTCGAAGTTCTCACTGTGATATGATAGGAACAAGCATCATGCATTGCTTTTTCTGTTCTCTGAAGGTAATGGCAACTACTGTATTGTACATTTATAACCTTGATTCTGCAGTGATGTGGGATATTATTTTATGTCAGTGACCACTAAAGAACATACTAGCCAAGAAATGCCGGGTCAAAACAACTTTAGATAAAGTGTTGCCGAGGGATCAGAGGTAATTGTGAATAGTGCTCAGTAAATGTAAATTACAGAACGTGATTAAAGATGAATTGTTTTTGTTTTTATGTTTGCATATCAGGGATGAATACAATAAAATACATGGTCCCTAAAGGCATATTAAGTTTTCCTTTCTGCATGAATTGAAAGATCTCTGGTGTTATGCTTTGTCGGTCGGCTCCTCAAGCCTTTACGCTGGAAGTGCCCACCCATCACCCCCTCTTTCTGGCACCCCCGTGCTGTCACACTCAAGTGGTTATTTTTAGAACTGGGGATGCAGCTCAGTCATTGCTAGAACCCGGCAGCATGAAGAGATTAATGGAGCACAAGCAGAAGAGATAGAAGTGGAGCACACGTGCAGGCTCACCACATGGAATAGGAGGAAGCTGGTGGCTGTGGGGGGCACAGGGGCATGTCTCACTCAGAACAGGACATGTATGATGTGTCATGCAGCTGTCTATTTCAAGACTTGTGTGAATGTCGGTCTGCTATAGTAATTGCACCATAACGCTAGCCATTTAATGGTTTTTAATGGTTTTAATCGCAGTAGTTGCTTAAGATTACTTGACTTTGAGTTTGTTTATATTTTTCAGTAAAAAAAGGCAAGCTTGATGGACCACAAGGTTAGTCATGGAGTCAATTGTATTTTACTATTTTCTGTATCTCACTGAACGTCTTTTTCTATGTCACACTTTACAGAGAAATTCAATACTTACGTGACACTAAAGGTGCAGAATGTCAAAAGCACAACCATTGCAGTACGTGGCAGTCAGCCGAGCTGGGAGCAGGACTTCATGTTGTAAGTCTTCTTCATTGATAGATAGAGCTATCACAAGATCCATGTGCATTTTATTCTCATTTATGAACCGAACATTCTAAAAAGTTTGTCTCTGCAATGTGAATATTATTAGTGATCACTCAAATTGTGAGTAATAGATGTGGATGGACCAGTTTCCCTGCTCAGATAGAGCAAAACTATCTATGTTTTTAGCATGTTTGCACAGTGTACATCCTTGGCTACATTCTAAACTGCGAAGCATTGAACCCTGTGTTCTCAGCGGTCAAATTGAGTTTCCTCTCTCTCTGCTCTCCATAAACCACTTACGTTTTTCTGCAGTGAAATTAACCGCCTGGATCTCGGCCTCACAGTGGAGGTGTGGAATAAGGGGTTAATCTGGGACACCATGGTGGGCACGTTATGGATCCCTCTGAGCAGCATACGGCAGTCGAATGAGGTACTCTGTGAACTCTATATGAACTTTGGTTATGTTTACAACCATTAACATAGATTTGATTTTGTGTATTGGTCTCTAATCAACTTCCTGAGGTCAAGGAGCACATCAGAGAGGTCAGGGATAAAGTTGTGGAGAAGTTTAAAGTAGCTTAAAGTTATGGATCAGTGGCAATAAGTAAGTCATCATTGAAAGGAGGCTGGATGGGAAAGATTCACCATCCAACAATGACCCTAAACACAAAGCTAAATCTATGGAATGGTTTAAAACTAAACTTGTTAGAATGGGCCAGTCAAAGTCCAGACCTAAATCCATTAGAAAATCTGTGGAAAGACCTGAGACCTGCTGTTCACAAACGCTCTCCATCTAAGACGACAGAGCGTGAATTGTTTTGTAAAGAGGAACTGGCAAAACTTTCTGTCTCTAGATGTGCAAATCCTGTCTTACCCCAAAAGACAAGTATTCACTCTTGCTGTAAGATTACTTATGCATACCCAGCCTTTTGGTTTTCTATGTTTTGAAAAAGAACTAAAAAACTAAATACTCTATGTTTGTATTTGTATTTGCATTGTATTTTTTTATTTTTTCCTTTCATGACAATAATAGCTCCAGTATATCATTGAAACAACATGAATGGAAGCAGGATATAACAACCATAATTACTGAGTGGACTGAGGCCAGATGTCTTAACAGGATGTGATCGATTCCATTTCATGTGTACAGTAGAACTAATAACGGCTTCTTGGAATTGGGTTGAGTACTATTGGCAGCTTCTAAGTTGTTCCTTACAAAAAAATCTGTATAAAAACCTGTTCAATATAATTTTACGGAGCACAATAGCAATGTTTGAATCAGGAGAGGGGTTAAATGAAGAAAATTTGATAAACTTCCAAATTTAGTCTTGTTTATATCAAGACTAAATTATTATTATTATTAAATTATTATTAAGTTATTTGGTTTAGCCATATTTCAGCTCAAAAATCAAGATAATATGAAGAGATACAATTATTAGATTAAAACAAATTGTTGCATTGAAATCTGAAGTATTTTTTTTTTACAGTTAAAAATAATAAGGTTTTAGACTTAAACTACAGACTGTACAGCATCTGGAGCATCTGGAGCCTCTTTTGTGCTGTCTACTGGTCTACTGTGGCTCACAGTTGCTGGAACAAGCTCTGACCAAAGCTGAATGAATGTTTGATTTTCCAGGAGGGTCCAGGTCAGTGGCTGACTCTGGATTCTAACGTGATCATGGCTGAAAATGAAATCTGCGGAACAAAAGATCCCACTTTTCACAGACTGCTGCTGGACACAAGATTTGAACTGCCATTAGGTTTTACGGTTTTTCAAACATTTTGAAATTGTTTAACGTTCTTATTTATTACTATAAACTGCCTATTGTGTTGCTACAGACATTCCAGAAGAGGAGGCTCGCTACTGGGCAAAAAAACTTGAGCAGCTAAACGCGATGAGAGACCAAGATGTGAGAATCTGTTAACAATGCGTCCTTATTCCTGTATTATCTACACATTTCAGCTAAATCTCAAATGTTGTTGTCAGTATGCCTATCAGGAGGAACAGGAGAGGCCTCTTCACGCTCCATCCACACAGTGCTGTAAGTACATTTTTGTTTTTACGTCTGTCCCTTTTCTACAGGTTTTTCTTTCCAGAGAACAACAAATGGGCCTGACCGGAAGCAGAAATTGAGCTGATATATGGAGCAGAGGCAGGAAGGAGGGAGGTTGATTTGATGAATCGTGGACAGAACTGGAGCAGTCCTGTCCAGGATGACTTATAAGTGCTAATGTGTGATGAATGTGTTCTGACATACTGTATGCTGACGCCTGTCATCTCTTTTATTGGGACCACGTTGCCTCATGCTATTTATTAAGCAGCATGGGTGTGTTTTCTTTTCCTCTCATATTCATTAATACCTACAATATAATTTTGCAACATTGATCAATCTTTATCGTAAAAAACAAACAAATGAACTGAAATATTGACGGTTTTATGAGGACTCCAGTGTGAAGGCGATGTCTGTCACTTAACATGTATTTAGTATGTATAATTTGACCCCCTGGCCCTGTGCTATGACGTCATATATATTTATAACTAAAATATTAATTAACCCCGTTTGGCACAATTACCTATTTTGTTTTTTCATTTCTGTCGCTGATTTTAGGATTCTTCTTTATCTTGGGCTCCACCTTTTTCTGTTTGAATCCAACTTCTTAAAAAATTCCCCTTGGCATAACCACCTCCAGTTTCTTGATTTTCTCGAGCAGAACACTCAAAGATTTGAAGTATTTGATTTTTTATGGCCACAAATTATAAACAAAAACATTTTCTTGCAGGCAATTGGAGTATATGGGGCGATCAACAAAGTAAGTTTCGATCATGTACTTTTGAGCTAATACTCGCCATGTAAACCAACCATAACTACACGTGTATACTTTGACGGATGCCTTTTTAAAAAATGCTTGTATAGATGATGATCCCGACAGTGCGGTTGATGACCGGGACAGTGACTACCGCAGTGAGACCAGTAACAGCATCCCCCCTCCATACTACACCACCTCACAACCCAATGCTTCCATGCACCAGTATCCCATGAGGCACCAGCACTACCCTCACTCCTACAGCGACGACATGCACGAGATGGACTACGATCACCGAGCGCTCAGGTACACACTACTTCTCTGTGAATGACAACAGAACTTATACCCGTGTACCCCTTTCCAGCGTAAACACAGCCTCTGTTGTTATGGGTAAAACAATATTTCACGTTCCCCAGGGGTCAATCGCAACTGGGGATATCGTTTTCTTTGTGGAAATTTGTTTATTACTTATGTTTTGCATCTGGATATTTTTTTATCTTAATTTTTCATTGTGTAGGGAACTGCTTTTATTTAACCTGACTTTATTATTCATTCTGAATAAAGTAGAACTGAACTAAAACTGCACTATATGTATAAGGGCTCGTTGCATTCCTTACTTGGCAGGATATTATTATAAGTATTCTAAGTAAGTAAGTAAGTAATCTTTATTTATATACCGCCTTTCACAGACCAGAGTCACAAAGCGGTTTACAATTGTTATTTTTGGGCACTTGTCTCTCACTCCACACAGAGATGGGAGCGGGGTCGCCGAACAGGAGGCGCATGCCAGAACTATTGTACATATTTTTAGTGGTAGGGGAAACCGGAGTACCCGGAGGAAACCTACGCAGACACGGGGAGAACATGCAAACTCTGAAAGGCCCTGGTCCGACCGGGATTCGAACCCAGGAGTCTGTTTAGAATAGGAAATAAATTATATGGCTGTTTCTTGGGCAAAAAACATCTGTAATATTATGTATGTATCACATGCCATAGTAGCCCACTGACTATCAATGTGCAAGTTGCAAGTTATGAAAAAAAACACCCCTGTAATACTCTTGCGTTCCCATAGGCGTACGCTTACCTCTTGTTGGGAAACTGGTATAAAGGAACTGTAAGCATATTTAACGGTACAGTCATGCCGCAGTTTTGTTGTTGTTTTGATGTGGGTTTTTAATCATATCCCATTGTGACCTCCTCCCCTAGAGTAACCCAGTCCCCCAAGTATACAAGACTGCTTCTTGCATACACAGGCTGTGCGTAAAGGGGCCACTGGGATTTTTGTGTAAGAGTAATGTAACAGTGCATGCATGGCCTTTATCTCTTCTGTGGACACTTTTGTAATTAAACTTAAAATAACATGTAAACACTGTAAACCCACATGAAGAGTCCTTAATAATACTCAAATGCACATTTACAAGAATCTTCATTAAACCGTTTGTACCCAACAACTTTTTGTTTCTAAATTACGTGTGGTTTGTCCCGACAGAAATAATCTTGTAACATTTTGTAAACAAATCACAGTATTCTGCTTTATTTTACCTTTTGTGCACTGAAAGTTAATCTGAAATACTTTTTTTCATATAGTATTGTCATGAGAGCGAGGAGAAACTTTTTGGGGTTTCAAAGTTAATTACTCCTGCTTAAATTATTCTGCTATAGGCTAATTTTATCTTCTTTTTTTTGTTTTAAGGAAAAAACACATTCATTAAAAGACATGAAATATAAACTATTAATTATTCTATTTGTTGTTACCCAATTGAATGTTGATAATTGGATGTTTATTTTGGCGTGGTGTTTGCTGAAGAGGTGCTTGGCTCATTCTCCTCTCCTGCCTCTTCCTTCCACCTGCTGCACCAGGCACTTTGATAGTTTAGACTCTGCCACCAACGGGCGCAGTGACATGGACTCTGGCTCAGGGTCGAGCCGGCGCACCAGTCGTCAGTATTCTCTAGACAGTAGGCATTCGCTGTCCGATAGGTGGGTCTCTGCTCAGTTCCTCCTCTCCTCCAAAACTCTCTTCCTGCTCCGGCCTGTGACTCCGTCCCGCTGTGACGTCAGTAATGGACTTGTCCCGTCCTCCTCGCTCACTGTTGCTTGCATGCGCTCAAACCCTCTTTTTCTCTCTTTACATGTACAAATGAAACTCAGAAATGTAGAATATGGTTCAAACGTTCATTTTTTTCTGCAATTCAACTTAAAATGTGAAACCCATATATGGTATAGACTCATCACATGCAAAGTGACATATACTTTGTAGCTTACAGTCAATTTGATATAAATACGTTCTAGTTATATCCATGGATCTAATAACGGCTTATTAAACGAGCACGAGGTCTGTACGGAGGCCTTTTTGTACAGACCGAGCCGTGGCGAGGTCTGTGCAAAAAGACCAAGGTCTGATATTTCTCTTTACAGACCGAGTTTTATTATATGAATATTTTTAATTTATGCAAATATCGATCGGTTTCAACTAAAAACACATGCAACCAAACTGTCAAATGGTGACATGGAGAACTGATCAGAGGATTGAGGCGCCCGCTGTAAGTTCTCAGTCTCTTCTGTGTCTTTACCAATGCTTTTTAGATATTTGTGAAGTGTGTTCATGTCCGATCTGGTTTTCTTAATCCTGTTCTGATCTGTAACGAAAGTTGTCAATCTCTTCTTGACTGTTAGGAGTTGTGTTTTCGTCGTTATTTGCTGTTATTACTTCCTCTGGCTCTTCCAACTCGTCCGGAAAATAGAATTCACTGAGAATGCTCCCAGTCCTCGCTCATTATTTCTTTTTTACCGAGGAAAGATATCAAATCTGATACACGCTGCGGACCAATTGTCATGGTAACGGTCCGAGATGGGAAAATATCAGACCGCAAATCAGCCAATCAGAGCGCACGTACGATCCAAGTCATAATAATAATAAAGTTATATCTCACTTTGCGTGTAATAAGTCTCTAGTTTTACATTGTAAGTGAATGGACTTTGAAACAAGTTTTTAGTTTTCTGAGTTTCACCTGTAAATATCTTATTGAATATGCATATTTTTACTTTTACCACATAGAAAATAGGCAGTTTGATGTTACTGAAACATGATTACGTATGCTTGCTTGTTATTTATTATGCAATGGAGTTTTTTTAAGTGTGTGTGAAAATGTCTAGCTCTGTTGTCCTGACAGCCACTTATTAGTCTGTCATCCTGTGAACCCTGGCTTTACACAGGCGCTTGGTAATTATGCATTCTTAATTTCCGCTTTCAGCCCCCTAATGGGGATCTTGCTGAGTAACCTAGACTGATTACCTTAATTTTCATCTTCATTTGCCGTTTGAAGAAAGCTGCTTTGTGTTGAATGAAGAAAGAGGGCCGCCAACGTGTTCATAATCTGGTGCTTTCTGTTGTGTTCTAATCGAGGCTATTTGCAAAAGTGATGTGAAATATGTCATGTATGTCTAAGTGGCTTGTAAGTGTAACTATATGTTCTTGTATTTGTTTTCATATAATCATGTTTACAACCTGTATTATTAATTTCCCAAATCCAATCCTCTGCCTGGATGATACTAATTTGATTGGATGTTCTTAATAATTGTTCCTGAAATGATTTCAAACTCCAAATGTCTGTTTCTCATACAGTTGTGCGTGAAAGTCTGGCAGAAATGTAATTATTTTGGCCATATTTTGGAGATCCTTGATTATAACACAAAAAGCTTTTTTCCACTCATCATTGTTGGTTGTATGTAGCATATATGGTCTAATAAACAACTAATAACAGGTTTTCTGCTTTCAAATTACGATAAAATGGAGTGATCTCAAACGTGCATTTTATGGAAGGCAGCCCAGGAATTTACTGAAACAGGAGCCTTTTGCCAAGAAGATTGAGCAGCTTTACCATCGGCGAGGATGAAGAACCTCATCCACAACTCCCACAAAAGACTGCAAGCTGTTATAGATGTTAAAGAGGCAATACTCACCACTGAGAACTGGCAGATGGAGACTTCTAATCAGGGCCAGAAGAGGTGTTTCTGTTATTTCGGTAGTTACGATTTTTTCAATGGAAAACAAAACATTTATTTGACAATGAATAGCTTCACACAACCACGGACAATGAGTGAAAAAATGTGCGTTATCATTCATAATCTCCAAAATATGTGTTATATTCTTGAAACTTTCAAGCACGACTGTATATGAAAAACCTCCATCTAAACATAAACTATGTGTCCTTTCAGCCCCACGGACAGTCGCTACGCATCCTCCGGCGAGTTGAGTCGAGGAAGCTCCCAGCTCAGTGAGGAGTTTGTGGCTGAAGACGGGGACAGCTTGCGGGGTTCCGAGTTCTATGACGAGAACGACTCCTACCACTCCTGCCACTCCTCTGTGAGTTGCGGCAAAGAGGATTCCCCGGGGTGGGAAGGAGACGACGCTCAGGGTGTCTACAGCGACGAAGGAGGCTATGTCAAAGATGGAGAGCTGCTTAATGATGGAGAGTTGTTTGTGGAAGACTATAACTACGAGGAAGACGAGATGGTTTATGGGGAAAATGAGGAGATGTACCCACTGGACACTACGTTTACAGAGGACCAAACACTACCGTATACACCAACACCGATAAGCACTGCCCAGTCGTTGATGCCTCCTTCAGACGGGCTGACTTCTACAAGGCCCCCATTAGAAAAGCAGGCATCCCTGCATCAGCAAAGGCCCTCACAAGACCAGACCCAACCCCAAAGTACAACCATGGGTCTGCCGCAAGTCACAAAAGACGATACGATACCTACAATGTTTTCTAGCGATACTTCAAAGACTATGTATACTGCAACAGATTTGAGTACGACCACGACTACTTCTACTACTACTACTACAACAACTACCACTGCGGTTTCATTAGAGGTCCCGGATATAGACAATAAACATGTGGAAGCTGAGGCAAGATTGGAGCTACCCCCAGAAGAAACCCACTCTCCTGAAAAACCCCCTGAACCAGAGAGTCCGCCAGCGATGGTAGAAGAGAAGCCGGAGCAGCCCCCAGTGAAAATGTGAATACTAAATTCTACAGTTTTAACAGTTTAAATAAGACTTATCTAAATCAAGTCTATACAGAATGTTAAGTGCAAAAACGCAAGTAAACATGAGCCCCGAAACAAGCAATGAGAAACAGATGGTGTAACTTGAAGAACGTTTAAAGGGTTGGCATAGTAGCAATTTTGACAATGTTCATTTAGTCTCGTTCTTACTAATATGAAACGTCACGCTGGTAGATTTTAAGACGGATTCTAAAGTCTTGAATTACACAGGTGGAATAAATGTGCGAAGGATGCCTGTAGAATTACTTAAAGCTTTGGTCTATTGAAACATGGAACATACATCTCAAACAGTAAGAAGTCCAGTTAGTAAGTAATCTTTAATAGTATAGCGCCCTTCAAAGACCAAAGTCACAAAGCGCTGTGGGAATTTGCCTCTCACTCCACACAGAGATGGAAACAAACGACTGACACTGGAAAAACAGAAGGCCTCTTACTGAATTATTCTAACTGTAGCATAAGCTGCTCTCAGCATAATTGGTAGAACGCTTAAGAATCATACCTACTATATCCTAGATCCATGACTATATCATGATTATTATGATCATCAAACCAGACAGTTCTCTATCAATATGATTAAACATGATTTGTTTATGATATATGTTCTAGTCCCTTAGCTTTGATCAGTGGATTGAGAATTATTCAGAGTGGTTGCTGAGAGCCAACACTAAATACAAAAAAATTGAAGAATGGATCTGTTATTACAGGAGGACATTATCTTTAGTAGTCATGCACATCGGAATATTTAACACCGGCCCATCAGTCTCATTGAGGTTGAGTTAAAAAACTGTTGGAAGCATCTTCGGCCTTAAAAACGGTCCACTCATCCATCCAACATCCATTTTCTTCCCCTGAATCCATTTCTGGGTTGAGGGGGTGGCCAGAGATGCCACCCAGTTCACAGAGCACCAGCCCCTCACTGATCCTCCTGCAGGTAGTGAGTCCACAGGAGCGGAGATCTTTCAGTGGGAGTGTCAGGATTCAGCAGACAGAGACGGATCGTGGTGTGCCAAACTCTGGAAGTTTAGCTTCAGGCAAAGTGGGGTTAAGTGTCTTGCCCAAGGACACAACGACAGCAGTCATCAGTGGGAGTCGTGAAGTAGGTCTTACGGTGGGCTCGAACCCACGACCTTCAGGCTCAAAGGCCAATGCTCTACCAACTGAGCTACTGTCGCCCCTGTGTGTTAAGTTTCTAGATAAAAGTGTTTTGTTTTTCTTCCGTTCTCTTTCTCTTGTAGGTTTCCAAGAAGAGAAATGATGGAGCCAGGTCATGCAAGAGCGAAGTCTAATTGGTTGAGACTTTACGGCAGAGTGCGGCTCCAGCTTCAAGAGGTACATTATGTCTCTGCTGCGTTTCATTGTTACCTCACAGTCCGACCGTAGATACACTGCTTTCTTTCTGCATTATCCTCTTGTTAGTGAAAACCTGCACGCAGAGCTCAGCCCTGTTGTCTGACGATGTGGCTTCCTGTCCCTTTTGATTACTGTTGTAGAATGTTTTAGATTATCCCTTGTTTTGCCATTTCATTATTTTTTCAGTTTTTTGCCATCCTCGTGCCGATTTGCATGTTGTCCTTTCTGATTATCCGTGGCTGGAGCAGACTTTCAGGTGGGTGTTTCATGTGATAAACAAAGAGGACCACAGGAAGCATGTTGCCCAAACACTGTCACGAGGTGGGAAGGAGGAGGACTCAAAATGCGAGAATGCCAAAAATAATGATTTAATAAAATAAAGTCCAAGGTAAAAACAAAACTCAAAATCCAAAATATGGAACCAGGAACACAAAGGAGCACAGGGTAATTATAGACAGAGACACAGGTGAAACACATTAGGGCGGGGCAGACAATCAAGACAGGGGAAACAGGACGTCAAAGTCAAACCAAAGCACAGAGAACAGATATCAAAATAAAGCTAAAGTCCAAAATAACAAAATCCACACCATGACAGTACCCAGTATCCTCCAGTATCTGGAGGACAGGCCAGGGGCAGTTCAGAGGCCAGAACATGCAGGGGCAGGAGCTGAAGCCTAGTGGTGACCTTCCACACGGAACTGGCTCACCCCGGGCGGAGACACATGCCCGGCGGTGACGACAGACAGGAACAAAACCACCCCAGACGGAACTCATGTCTGGCAGTGGCAACAAGCGAAGGGAAGGAGAGGTCATCAAAGGGTATCAGGCGGACACAGGTGGGGAAATCCAGGCAGACGTACCTCTCTCGTGGGACAGGGGGAGGAAACAGGACCACCCCGGACGGAGATCAATGCCCGGCGGTGGTGCATGGACAACAAACCACCCCAGACGAAATTCTTGCCTGGCGGTAGCAGGTAGAGGCAGGCAGTGAAGATGGCAGAGAAAAAAAACCAAATAGAAACCTGGTGAGAAACCTGGTGGCAAACTGGGAGCAGGTGTGGGTGGAAAGAAATAAAGCATTCCGCTGAGTCCAAATGTGGTCCGTCCATTCTGTCACGTGGTTGCATGAAGAAAAAGGGAACCCAAAATGCAGGACTGAAAATCAAATGTAATTTAATAAAAATCGAAATCCAGAGAGACAAAGGCACAAAAATTCAGAACTGAAAAACTAGACAAGACAAACTTGGTAGAGACAATGGACGGACAACAAGTGGGGAAAAGCACAGGGTATATATACACACACAGGAGACACAGGTGGATCACATTAGGGCGGGGCTAACAATCAACAGGACACTCAGGAATCAGGAAAACTCAAAATACAAGAGAATTAATAAAGTAAATAAAAGCAGGTTAAAATAATCCAAAAAGTCCACACCATGACAAACACGTCCATGTCTGTGATCATAATGTATGGCCTGAAACATCTGTGGATGAAATGTTGTGTTTTTCATTTTTGATATTTGTTTTTAAGTCAATGGGAGATCATTTATGTGAGCATCAGTAGAATCATTCAGAGGAAAAACATACTATACAATCAACAAAAACACTCTTTTCTATCTCACTAGAAGGAAAAATGCAGTTGTGTTTAAAGTGGTTTATATGAATTGTTGCTTATTACCTTTTTTCCCTGGTGTCTCATATCTCTGTTTTTCTTTAGGCTCGAGGAGAGTCTGTGGGCATTGCCTCTCTACTGTTATCGGCAGGGTAAGTATGAATACGAGCTTTGGCCTTTTCCTTTCCAAACTACACAGTCATCCACATTTGTTTATTTTTTTCAGAATGGGTGGAGCTCTGTACAGTATCGACAGCATGCCCGACCTCAGGAAGAGAAAAGCTATGCCTCTAGTTCGAGACCTGGTGAGTTCTACTAGAATATAACTATAGGAAAGATTAACTTTACTCGCTATTATGCAATTAGACTTTCAAAAACAGACCTGGAGTTGTTTTCATATGCAATCATAAGACGTTCTCTGCCTTTTTAAACAAAAGTATTGCCCATCAATTAGTTTTGGCAATTTCTAAGGAGAAATAAAAAATGTTGCAGTCATTTTTGAAAAAAAAAGAAAATCCTCTTCTCCCTTTAGCAGGAAAATGTCTTTCCCTTCATACTTGTTTCAACATATACTTTATTTGAAACAAGTATGAAGAAAAATAATAAAAAATATCATTAAATTTTTATTTAACAATAATATAAATGGTTTTTACGTGGTTTTTATCTGTACTTTACAACTTACTTTTAAACCCAAACATGTGTCCCCTCTTTTCCATTGTCCAATGTCACATGGACTAATACAGGTTTGACGCAGTTAGCCAAACCTGCACTGAATTCAATAATTAATAGCTCTGCTTCCAGGTTCAGAATAGGAAAACGGCTGCATTCTGCAGTACTTTTGCCACCTCTGCATTTAAAAAAATGTTTTATTTCAACTGTCACTTAGTAAAATCACATTTATCTTCTTTCTTGTCTCCTCATTTTATCATCTACTCAAGGCTATGGTGAGCAATATCTTTGTCTTCTTACTCAGTTTAAGTTGTAAAGAGTTGATAACAGAATGAAATGTATGTAACAATTTCTCCTCTTGTGACAGTCTTTGGTTCAGAACTCCAGAAAGGCAGGAATCACCTCAGCCCTTACATCCAGCACTTTGCACAATGAAGAACTGGTCAGTCTGTGATTTCCAACGCTTCAACTTTACAAAGCATGAATTTCACTAACAAGTTTTCCTTTTGTGCTTGCAGAAGAGTCATGTCTATAAAAAGACGCTCCAGGCTCTGATTTATCCCATTTCTTGCACCACTCCACACAATTTTGAAGTGTGGACCGCCACCACTCCCACGTACTGCTATGAGTGCGAAGGGCTGCTGTGGGGCATCGCTCGTCAGGGCATGCGCTGCACCGAGTGTGGCGTCAAGTGCCACGAGAAGTGCCAGGACCTGCTAAATGCCGATTGTCTTCAAAGTAAGGACACTGTTCATTTTCTTCTGACTATTCAAAAAATATTACTGCAGATGCTTATACTTAAAGGGGACATAACATGCAGACGCTTGATTGCTAAGTTCATCTGAGCAGAGCCTGCAGGGCAGACGTGACCATCCTCCTGCTGACCTCATGTACTGAACGCATAATTACACTGTTTAAAATCAATATTGATCATTCAAGTGTACATACATATAATAAGAATAAGCTTATATTTGTTTCAGTGGCAAAGGTTGGTGTGTTCTTTTAGACACATGTCTTCCGACTTTCAAAATATTTTTATTAAGTCAGGACCAGAATTTCATTGTGATCCCTGTGGAGCAATCTGAACCATTTCAAACACATTTTTACACACTAAACTTTTTACGTGTATTATCACTAAACACGTGAAAAGTATTATCACAAGTATTTTGTGACGTGTTTCCACTGAACATGGCTCGGCCGTGTGTCGCACAGCAAGTTAATTGTCAAGGTGACCCAAGATTTTTGCGGAGTGGGAATGAGGCTTTGGATTACTTACTACATGGCACAATATATCTTTATAGAAATAGCCTTGTAAAAGCAAATTGTCTCATTATACAAACCCTTTTTTCCCCAGACACATTAAAGTAACCCTGTAAGTCAATATTCCCTGAGAATATCAATATATTTTAAGAGTGAAAACGTTGGATACACACATAGCCACCTTGTGAAACATGAAACCTGATCTAAATCTCTCTCATTTTTCCATGTCCTCCTTCACAATAGGAGCGGCCGAGAAGAGCTCCAAACACGGTGCAGAAGATCGCACCCAAAATATCATAATGGTGCTTAAAGACCGCATGAAAATCAGAGAGAGAAACAAGCCGGAAATCTTTGAGCTGATTCAGGAGGTCTTTGCTGCAGCCAAATCCCTTCACGTCACACAAATGAAGCAGATAAAACAGAGCGTACTTGACGGCACCTCCAAGTGGTCGGCAAAAATCAGTATCACAGGTAAGAAGGAGATGTGTGTGAATATTGCACATGTTTTATCACTTTCATACAAATAACAAGGTGAATGCATTCTGTTTTTAGTAAAGCATTGAAGTGTAAGGTCAAAAATATATCAAAAAACGTAAAATATGTTTTCTCCCCAACAGTATTATGTGCTCAAGGATTACAAGCAAAAGACAAAACAGGCTCTAGTGATCCTTATGTTACTGTGCAAGTGGGAAAAACCAAGAAGAGGACCAAAACTATCTATGGCAATCTGAACCCAGTCTGGGAGGAAACATTCAATTTGTAAGTCTGACTTTGCTTTTAAATCTCGAAACTTGTGTATTGTGTGGATCTGTTTTTGATTGAACTGCAAGATAGTTCATTTTAACCAAATGAATGGCTTATTGTTTGGTTCAGTGAGTGTCACAACTCCTCAGACCGCATCAAAGTGAGAGTCTGGGATGAGGACGATGACATCAAATCTCGTGTGAAACAAAAATTCAAGAGGGAATCCGATGATTTCCTTGGTCAAACTATAATTGAGGTTCGCACGCTTAGTGGAGAGATGGATGTGTGGTACAATCTTGGTAAATTTGATGTTATACTTAATCATTTTAAAGACTGTACTTAAAGTAATGGACACTGTTGTGATATGTTCAGATAAGCGTACGGATAAATCGGCTGTGTCCGGGGCGATCCGTATGCATATAAGTGTTGAGATTAAAGGAGAGGAGACTGTTGCACCATATCATGTTCAGTATACCTGCTTGCATGAGGTAAGACTTTTTCATTTTAAGAATCATTTGAAGTCTACAATATGACTTTATATAGATGCACAATGCTGGCTCAATTCAGCTTAACTCATTGACTGCCATTGACGTATTTGTCTGAGACCCTCTGTTCGACTGGGGTTTACAGGACAATTAAAATAGCTAGAAACAAACTTATTTTTGCGGATGAAAGTAGACAATAGAGTCTTTCAGAATCTGGTTTCATATTTCACATAGTCTTAGGAAATAAAATTCTGTGGGTCTTGAGAATCAGTTAAATCATCAAAAATGGCTGGCAGTCAATGAGCTAACAGGGAACTTACCCATTGAAAAGTCAACTCTTGCTGGAAAAACTGGAAACACCACGAAAAAAGTTCAGTTCTACTCTCTGGCAAACCTGTTACAATACATATAAATGGACACACCCCACCGGAGCAGACACTACCTGGTTAGATATAGAACAATCATTATGCAGAGACATTATGCATCAGACTTTTCTCACACAAAACCATACTCTGCAATTCCGTTGTTTAAATAGTGTCCATGGAAATTAGCAAATCAGCTACAGCTAATCAAACCAGCACTGCTTCTGATTGGCTCTTTGGTTGCTCGGTTGTTCCTAACCATCAACTTGACTTCAGATTCCCATATAGGACGCTGTAATACCTTTTCAGTGGACCTTTAGTATTCAGACTACATTACACTAAAATACTCCCATTATGTTATGTTTATAATTACATATAAATGTTTAAAATATATACAAGTAAAACAGTACGTAAACAGTAAGTAAAACAAACAAAAATCATCTTTATGAGGTTTATCTATTTTCCGACATTAGAACCCCCATCAAAATCATACTGAAGAAAATGACAAAGATGTAAGCAGGACACATCGTTAGGGCTTATGTTTGGCTCAAAAATAATAACAAATAATGTCTACTTATTGTCTGTTACTTTGCAAATTGTGATCAGAGAGTGATACTTTTTGAAGACAAGCACTGGTTAGACACTCCCCTTCAGCTTCCTGATTGGTTGATATGAATAATTAAGCTTTAGCGCAAGTTCAGAGACGTGATGCTGCCACACTAACTCCTCCCTCTGAAAGCCTGTGCCTGAGCTCAACAGTAATCAGTAACAAATCTGAGGTCATCATCACTTCCTGGCTGCATTTAAACAGAGCCTCTCAGTTCTCTGCAGCTCAAGCTGCAACCCACCTCCTCCCCATCACTGCCTTCCAGTGGAGTATCATGTCACAGGCTCAGCTTCTTTGCAACCAGGTTGTAGGCCCCGGGGTTGAAAGCTCATCATTTCTATTAAAATCCCTTCTGTAATGCAGTATTTCTGACGGGGTCTAATCTCCAATTATAATGCAATAAATATGTTAGTACTCAGTTTATTTTAGACTTAGTCTGCATACATGCATCTTGATAATAAATATTCTAATGCAATCTTCATCTGGAGTCTCTCCAGATTGAAATATTGTTGTTGGAAAATACTTACTGTGCTTGAAAGTACAGTGAGTGTCCCATAGTCAGAAATATACATTATTCTATAAAGGATAATGTTTTCAAACTAATAAATAAAATAACAGCTTTGACGTCATGTTCCTCTGACTCACTTTGCTCTGACTTGTGGCTCTCTGCTGGCTTGAACTCTCCACTTAACCAATTACTCAGCAGAAGTGGCTCTTAAACAGTAAAAGATCACTGTTATTGTTGCACAGAGGCGGCCATAAACCACTCTGACAGTATTAAATGTTTATAGCAGCATAATGGCTTTTGAACCTAATGCACTCCTTCTGAGCGAGCTGCTTTGTGCTCCTATGAGAAAGTAATCCACGCATAAACCTTAAATGATTTTACATGGATTGTCTCTGACTTATAATATTTCCTGCACCAAACACCTATCACTTTCTCTTCCGCAGAACCTCTTCCACTATGTAACGGATATCCAGAATAATGGCGTGGTGAAAATCCCTGACGCTAAAGGCGACGATGCGTGGAAAGTCTATTTTGAAGAAACCCCCCAGGAGATTGTGGATGAATTCGCCATACGTTACGGAGTGGAGTCCATCTATCAGGCCATGACGTGCGTATCTGGGCACAGCTGTTTTGTGATCATTGCTTTTTAACATTATTTTTTTCCTCCTTTTGTCAGTCACTTTGCCTGCTTGTCATCCAAGTACATGTGCCCTGGAGTCCCAGCAGTAATGAGCACTCTGCTGGCCAATATCAACGCCTACTACGCACACACCACACAGGCTACCAACAATGTGTCAGCCTCTGATAGATTTGCTGCTTCTAATTTTGGGGTGAGTAAATATATTGTATGCGATTATATGTTACGTCCATGACCGCAATCATCAGTGTGATTGATTGTTTTTTACAGAAAGAGAGATTCGTGAAGCTCTTAGACCAACTGCACAACTCACTGAGGATTGACTTGTCGATGTACAGAGTAAGAATGTGTTTTATATATGAGGGGTCTGTAAAGTCTATATATAAAGTCTATATGAAGTCTATATATTTGTTTATTTTTTTAACAAAGCCAATCGTATAAATGCACTCAGTGGCGGTCTGTGCATTTCAGACCTGCGCCTGCAGTGATGTCCTAACCCAGCGATCTCCAACACCGTGCCTCCGGTGTTAAAATGACAGGAGGCACATCGCTGTAGTTTGTACACACGCATGACGCACTCGTGCACAATAGTTTGTGCACGAGTGCGTTAGTTTGTGGAAAAATAAACATAGGAAGAAATGTGTGTGTATATATATATATATATAAATATATATATAATACATATGAATGCACTTCCTCCAAAAATATTCTTTGAAAATCACCACAGGAACCACACACTTTTGTCATATAACTTTTTTTATAGGGCTTTATTTTATGTGACAATGATTCTGTTAAATGTGCAGATTTAATCATTTGAAGTGACAGTGATGTCCAACTCAGTCAGTCTGTATAGTTTGGGCTCTTGAGAAGGTGCACTCCTCCATCCATCCATTTTCTACCCTTTAATCCATTTCTGGGTCAGGGGGGTGGCAGTCAGAGATGCCACCCAAGTCTCATAGCACCAGCCCCTCACTGACCCTCTGCAGGTGGTGAGTCCACAGGAGGACGGCTGCTCTCTGAGTGTGAGCATAGCCTTGATCTTTCAGCGGGGGCTTTTGGGCAAAGTGGGGTTAAGTGTCTTGCCCAAGGACACAACGACAGCAGTCATCAGTGGGAGTCGGTGGAGAAGGTGTAGAGGTGGGAATTGAACCCACGACCTTCAGGCCTGAAGGCCAATGCTCTACCAACTGAGCTACTGTCGCCCCTCCTCTGTAGGTGCACTCCTCTGTAGTTCAATTGTTCGGTCTTTGGGAAAATGCTTGTTAATAACTCCAATAGAAGTAACTGTATCCAATAATCCAAGTATTGTTATTTGTTTTCCTGATGCAAACAGTTTGAGAATCACTGGTAATATGTTTCCTATTAACCTTTTGTTACTTTTGAAGCTCAACTATGATTTATGTTCTTTATTGCTTTTTTATTGTTTGAATAATGCCTGCACCTTCTCTTTAACATGCGCAGACATGCCCTCCCACACTCTGTTAAGCAGAGAGCCTGTGTGGCAACAATAGCTTCCACTTTAAGAATAGAAAACCCACTCATTTACAAACAAACAATCAGATGGAAGGTTTTTTTATTTGTCATTGCAGAATAATTTCCCAGCCAGCAGCCCTGAGCGGCTTCAAGATCTCAAGTCCACAGTGGACCTCCTCACAAGTATCACTTTTTTCAGAATGAAGGTGCGTTTCATCTCAAATGTTTCCAGATGTACGGACCGCTGCTTGATAATTTTGTATGTTTTCAGGTTCAAGAGCTACAGTCGCCTCCCAGAGCCAGTCAAGTCGTGAAAGACTGTGTGAAAGCATGTCTCAACTCCACTTACGAATACATTTTCAACAACTGCCACGAGCTGTACAGCCGCGAGTATCAGACCGACCCGGTAAATGATGTATTTGAAGTTATTCGACGCTGCACTGCCGGCTGGTTCACAATCCCGGTTTTAGCTGTTTTTGTCTCATCAACAATATTCTTTGATTTGACAGCACTAATTTAATTGTTTATATTAAGAGTCAATAAGAATATTTGCACAATATTTTTACTTTATGAAACCTGAATGGTATATCAAGTTGTTGTCAAAATGTGGCCATACTTGCATGCAAAGCCAGACCCCGTAAGACATCTGAAGCTGTGCAGGGCAGGGCCTGGTTAGTATTGTGATGGGAGACCTCCGGGAACACCAGCTGCCACAGTGGGGCGGCTGCGACTGTAAAAGACCAAACTGTCGTTGTGTCTTTAGGCAAGACACTTCACCCACATTGCCTAGAATTAGTCTGGTGTGTGTGTGAATGGCTACTGGTGGCACATACTGGTTTCCAGTAAAAATAACTTTTTCAAATGTGAAATGACTTAAATTGCTTGGATGCCAACTTGGTCCCAGAGTTGAATTGTTCTAGTATTATGTGTTGTAATCAGGCTTGGTTGGAGTTGTCAGCAAAACACATGTATGTATTGTTACTCAATACTTATGATTGATATTGTAATAATAGCCATACTTCAAGTGTGTTCTGGGAAGTAGCACTTCTTCCTTGTTCAGTCACAGAGTGTGTTGGTTTCTTTCGCTGATTCTCCTCATGCTGTAGATTTCACTGGGGGATTCCTGAAGTGCCCAATTAAAGCACAGTTCTATGCAGACTCCTTCAATGATTTCAAATAAGCTCTCTCCTTTGAATTAAACATTTCATCCTGAAGGACGTTGCTAAGAAAAAATCTTGCAAGATCATCTCTGGCTTTTCATCTCGTGTGGTGCACACACTTATACATATTCACAAGAATAATTTGGACAATTTGCATCTTTATTCTGAGAAACAAAATGGACTGCGAAGGAAGATGTGTTTAATCAGGAAGCTCTTTACTTAAATAGAGTTCACATTGTCCCGGTACATTTGCATCTAATTAAATTTGTTTTCTAGGCCAAGCAGGGAGCTGTTCCCCCAGAGGAGCAGGGACCCAGCATCAAGAATCTGGATTTCTGGTCAAAGCTGATCACACTAATCGTCTCCATTATCGAAGAAGACAAGAACTCATATACGCCCTGCCTCAACCAGTAAGGGCTGTTTAATAAGACCTTTCACCTTAATGCAGTGACAATCTATGCAACTTTGTATTTCTATTTGCAGATTTCCCCAAGAACTTAACGTGGGTAAAATCAGTGCAGAAGTCATGTGGAACCTGTTTGCTCAGGATATGAAGTATGCAATGGAGGGTAAGCACAGAACTATTGCATGTGCAGAAATGGATGCCATGTTTATTGCACTCTTCATCTGTTTAATGTGGTAAAATGTGATTGATATGTTGATAATAATATCCACTGATCATATCTTAAATAAGTCTGCTGCTTTCACCTCAATAGTGTAGTGACAACAGAGAGGCAAAGACCACACACAATGACATGTGTGTATGTGTTTGCAATTAGAGATGTTCAGAGCTAGCACTCAAAATAATTTGGTCCAGGTTTGACAGGGATAATCAAGACCAGATGTCATATTTAACAAAAAAACAAAAAACATTTTGCATGGGTAATTGTAATCTGGCATTATTAGAAAAGGAGAAGACTTTTAAGAGCATGTTCTGTGCCTAACTAAGCCAAAACGAGCCACAGAGAGGACCTGCTTCTAGCCAGGACTGGTGCATTCTGCCTTTCAGGATTGGTTTGCCAGAGATGGAGAGTGGAAAGATATTTAGAATGTTTTACATGGACAAAATGTGGAAACACACACGGGGTGTGAACAAAACAAGAGCACTCTTAGGCCGAGAGAAAGGGCTCCTCGGGTCTGGAACGATAAGGCACCATCTTCTAAATCACTTCTTTTTATAATCCCTGTTCTTATGATTGGATGGTCTCTGTTTTGTTTGTTGTGTGCTTGGTGTCTGTCTATATTTTAATGATTGTGTTTCTTTATCTCTTACTGTGTTTTATTAATGATATAATTAATAATCTATACTGTATTTTATTGTTGTGAACCACTCTGTAATCTCTTCTTTTTGGTGCTATGCAAATAGAGAATATTATTTATTATCATCACATGTGATTGGATAATATGCTTGTTAGCTTCACTCGACTCTGTAGAGCTCATAGAGGAAAGCGTCACTGTTTGATGGATTTGATGTGTAATAATGTGTATTATTAGTGCCACTAGTGTATATGTTTAAAGTAAACAGAGCTAAGAAAGATAATCTACACACTATCACAGCTGCTTGCAGAGAGAAGCAACGTTACACGAAGGGTTTTTTGGTTTTCCTTATTATTCCCCAAAGTAGACTGAACAGCTTTTTGTATGGAAAGGCATTACTACCACCTTTAACACCCGGTCCAATCGGCCCGCAACAGTAGAGAAGCAGCTATATTACACTTCAGCTAACTATATATGCTTCAGGTGTTCATCATTTGTATGTTTGTGTTTTTGTTTTATAGAACATGAGAAAAACCGCTTGTGCAAGAGCGCAGACTACATGAACCTACATTTCAAAGTCAAGTGGTTGTACAATGAATACTGTAAAGACCTTCCCTTTTTCAAAAGCAGGGTGCCTGAATATCCTGCGTAAGTACAAGCTCCACTCAATGTTTTTGTGGCAAAACAGTAAATAATGCTTATTCATTTGTCTTAGGTGGTTTGAACCATTTGTTATTCAGTGGCTGGATGAAAACGAGGAGGTTTCACGTGACTTTCTGCATGGTGCTCTGGAGAGAGACAAAAAGGATGGGGTAAAACATTTTTCACCAGTAGAAATGGCTTTGTTCAGACTCACCTGGTTCTTGTGGTTTTATATGTGTCAATACCAAACCCAAGCAAGCATTGCCTATTCCAAAATGTTATTTTTTAGATGACGTTTCATCAGATTTTTTTTTTTTCTCTTTCTTTGGACCACAAGATACAAAATGGTTGCCAGTCCAGGTGCTCATATATCTCCAAATGAAAAGGGAGATCCCAGTGATGTCTGCCCATTTACACTACAAGAGATAGAATTACATACTTCTCAAGGAAATCCAAATACACTTTAATCTTAGTACATCTATGTGATTTTTGTGTAATACGTACTTAAATTGATATGTGCCAATATAACAGGGCTGGGTTGCTCAATCAAACCTACAAATAATGAAGTGTTTATAATCCCTAATGCTCAAAATATGGAAGCATAAACAATTACTGTGGCCTGATCCCTTACTCTCTGAGTCCTCACCGGGTTTGGGGATCGCCGGGACCAGTAGAGGTGGAGAACACTGTCCACTCACACTCAACGTCAAAGCCCAGGCTCCTTCCCGTGAAGTGAGATGCCTTCCATGTCCCTACAGCCAAGTGCTGTGTGTGGACTGTGTTGTCAAGGCCCCTTCCTCCAACCCCCACCCAGTCCTCTGCGCACCTGACACTCATGTTGACACATTGTCACCTCAGGCTGATCCCGGCTGGGCCCTATGGTCAAAATTGTTTGATCATATAAATCCTCGTATTCCCAGTAACTTAACGAGTTACCAAATTCCTAAAAAAAAGACGACATTCTGGCCTACCTCATTGAGACAATTTAGAAGTAAGGTGGTAACTTTTTGACATTTATTCTAAAGTTTTAACAGCAAGAAATGGTCTCACCTAATTACCCAGACTCCTGGGGGTAGCACCTGTACACCTCAGTTCAATTCAATGCCCGTCTCAAACCTGCAGTAAATTGCAAGACAGACAGCCGTGCTCCACCTGTCACCGGGGAGCTGTCTAACTAGTACAGGCCTTGCTGATTCTGTGGGCACAAAAATATAAAAGCTTTGGATTAAAATAGCTCCCCACAACGGCTGAACTATGCAGCCCCAGGAGGTTACATCCTGAAAGCGGGTCTTGTTTTTCAGCTACTCATCACGTCAGACTTAATTTTTCATTATCTAAATAACATAAAGTCATAATTAATTTAGTAAAATGATGCAAAAATCATCCTCTGTGACCTTTTAACATATCTGGAGTCAATATTAGGCTTTCAGTCAAAATACGTAGAAAATATTCTTGTGTATCGACTAAATAAGCACCACATACCCACACATATTTAACATTAGAAGGAGGGCTGGCACCAGTTGACAGTGATCCTGAATTTACTTTGTTTTCTTTCATAAAATCTTGCGTCTGACTAAAACAGCCCAAACAAACGGTGAAGACGAACACTCACATTTGGATTGCATGTAGCAGTTATTTGGGCTGCTCTGTCATTTCTACTTCTCAATAGACTGTACAGACGGCAGCAGAGGCGCCTTTGATCTGAAATCAGGGTAATACTTATGATACACGACCGCCCATTCTGGCATTACACAGCCTTTAGAATATAAATAGGGTTCCTTAGAAAGCATTTTAACATTTGTTTTTTGTGAATTCAGAAACAATACCTTACTTGAATTATTGATTGAATGATATTTTTGGGACTTACATTTTGTGCAGTATGTAACTTCTCTATTATTTCATCAAAAGGTTCATTTGTCAACCACTGTCGTTTTTGATTGAATAACGTAGCCTAAATAAAAAAATTATTATTTTGTTATTATTATTTTTTATCTCCTTTTGCTGTGGTTGTTATTACTGCAGGAATCCTGATCAGTTGTTATTTAAATCTTTAAACACAATTTTCTTTTCGAGACCCTCTCATTTCCCATTACATGTATTCATTACACACATGTATTCAGTCAAAATAACTCGGTCTCCTTCGGGCTGCAGTTTCAGGTCACATCGGAGCATGCCCTCTTCTCCTGCTCAGTGGTGGATGTATTTTCCCAACTCAATCAGAGCTTTGAAATCATTCGGAAATTAGAGTGTCCAGACCCACAAATAGTTGGACATTACATGAAGAGATTTGCCAAGGTACTTAAAAGTTGTTGTGGTGTAATTTCAGAAGATGATGATGTCTAATGTGTTCTGTGTGTTTAATCTTTGCAGACTATCAGCAATGTTCTTTTGTCTTACGGTGATGTCATGTCACGGTTGTTTCCAAATTACGTCACAATGGAGAAAGTGGTGAGTAACTGAAATGGTTAATTTTGTTCAATGAATCAGATTATTTGACGAATGCATACAATTGACATGTGCCTTATTTTAAATCATCAGCCATGCATCTTGATCAACAACATTCAACAACTGAGAGTGCAGCTTGAGAAGATGTTTGAAGCAATGGGTGGAAAAGATGTCAGTATTCAATGTAGTCATCTGAATCATTATAAGTGCAATATATGTTTAAACAGGATCTTTTTTTGTTGTCAGCTGTGTGTCGAGGCCAGTGACATCCTCAAAGATTTGCAGGTCAAACTCAACAATGTAATGGATGATCTCAGCCGGGTCTTTGCTGTCAGGTGATCCTCTAATTCTTATTTGCAAGTGAAGATGTTCATCATGTTTCATTTATATTATTGGACCAGTTAATTATTATTGAGGCAGGTTATTTCTCCAGCCTTTTACAAGCATCCACGACTACCTCTAAACTTTGCAACATTGCTGTTCAGTCACGGCCACTTTTCTGATCCAGAGATTATTCTATCAGGACACTAGTATGTAGTAAGTTGCCGGTTCCTGTACAAAGCAGGGGAATGTCCACATAAAGAGGTCAGTCATAATGCCAAGGGTTCAAGGCCAAAGCAAAATGTGGCGTGGTGCAGAGGTGCTGCTGTTCGTGCACAGATGAAGAGATAGTGCTGGAGTCATTATAGGTTGACAAGCTGCTTTGGCCCCGACCAAGTGCGCGCGGGTGCACAGCGCTCTGGTGTGGAGTGGGTCCAGTCTGTTCCAACAGTCGCCATAAGCCACCTCAACTCTAAAACAGGCATGTGGCCTCTTTCCATGGACCACAACAACTGTTTGTGCAGAAAGGTCTGTGTAAGATGTGGCTGAGATATTTGTAATGGGCTTCAGTGTAGATATTTTAGTTCAGGCAGCATGAACTCCGGCAGCATGAGGCCAAACTCTTCAAGTCAAAATTTTCAGCCGTTAGGATAGTGGCCACTTTAGGTATTAAAGTGTTTGGAAAATATACAGTATTTGTTGTTGGCAAGAAATGGTGACTCTGCGCATGCTGAAGCTTGCAATGCTGTAGAAGAAGGACAATTTCTGTGGTTTGCCTTTTGTTACTTGCAATATGTGAACTTCTGTGATGGAATAATATATAATAAGAATTCTTTAACGTGCTGAATTGTGTTGTTTAGTTTTCAGCCTCACATTGAGGAGAATGTGAAGCAGATGGGAGACATTCTGGCTCAGGTCAAGGGAACCTCTAATGTAGGGAATGCCAGCAGTGTGGCGCAGGATGCAGACAACGTCCTGCAGCCAATCATGGAGTTCCTGGACAGCAAGTGAGAACATCTCCCCACTTTGTCCAGTATTTCAGTTATATAACAGTTTAATTAACTCATTTGTTTGTTCTTCAACTTACTCTTTCTTCCCGAATCTTGTGGCTCACTCTTTCTATCCTGCCAGCCTGACGCTGTTTGCAAAGATCTGTGAGAAGACTGTGCTAAAGCGTGTGCTGAAGGAGCTTTGGAAGCTGGTCATGAACACTATGGAGAAGACCATAGTTCTGCCGCCGCTGACAGACCAAACGGTGAGATCCCCCACTCTGCTCATTAGTCGCTATATCATTACATTGCATACACATTGAATTTACTTTACTTTGCACTGGATTCATGGCAGAAAATCCTTCAAAAGCACCGTCAAAACCCCAGGAGCATCAAGAGCAGAGCGTATCCATCTTCCTTGTCATTTCGATAAAGAAGCTGGCAGAGATTAAAACTGCTTTTACAGCATCTCTCTTGCTTTTTGTCTGCATCTCCACCCCCAGACACATTGTATTCAGCAACCCTATAGTGAAGTATCTGAAACAGACCATTTACTTTAACAGTGGTGTGTCATACCATTCTAACTCGTGACTGCTCTTCTGCACGACACACAAAAGCTATTTCCTGACACATAGTATTTTACTGATGAAATCACTAAACACATCATACATGGAAAGCAGCCTCTTATTTTGTGTTCTTTTTGGGTTCCCATGTCTTTATTTTTGAAAGAGCCACATATCACAGCAAAACAGACGCGTATATCGTGAATTATTCCCTTCCTATTGGCCGCAACGCTGACTCGTTTGCGGCAGCTCGAAATGAGAAAATTCGGTGCTACCTTGCCTCTGACTTGGGCCTAAAACATTATGTATTTCTTCACTGATGTGGGGCTCTTCACCATTTTAACTGACACTTCTCTTTGGTTGTTGTTGTGATTATTACTACATCCTGCTCCCACCGCTCTCCCTCCACAGATGATTGTAAGTACATCACTCCTGAGTGTGTGTCTGTATGTCCGTCCACGGGTTTTTCCTGCTGTATATGGCTGCAAGTCTCCCCATATATTTAGCTATGATCACTACTACTACTACCACCCCTTGTTTGATCTTTCTACCTTCTCGTCTCAATCCAGTCCTGTCTCGGTTGTGTAGAGACAGACGCATGGTGCATTCTTGACTGGTTTTAATAGCCCCTGTCCCTATGTATTCTCTAACAATACTCAGTTAGGGAGTGCTCGGTCTCCTTATAGCGTTGCAGTGTGTCTTTCATCCTGGACTTTGGTTGAACTTTGTATTGGTTTGATTATATAGACGTCTGCACCCTTTTCCCCTCTTATATCTCTCTGTTTGAACTGTGTCTTGCCTCTCACGCCTTCCTGTGGGTTTGTTGCTTGCATCTGATCTAGTCCAAGAGCACAATCTTCACATGAGACTGTTTGACACTGTCAGTCTTTTGTGGTTTGACTTTGATGTTTTGCCATGAACTTTTTGATGACGTCTTTCTCAAGCAGGAATTCTCCAATCTTCAATTTGCTATTAAGTTCAAGTTTACATCTAAATACTCTGCCGTGTTATGATTAAAAGCTGCCAAGCCTGTAGTATGTCTCGACAAATATGTTCAGAAGTGGAATTTCTTTCCATTCTCCACTTTTTCTCAAATATGTAGGACATTTACATTGTATATTGTTCTTAACTTCAGTGGTGTTTGACATTGAGCCCTGATTCCTTTATTAGTTTGAAGATGCTTCTGACAATTATCAACAAATATTTAACATTATTGTGAAGGAAAAATATATGTACTTCATTGGAAAATATAATTGTTCAAAGTTTCAGAAAGAATTTCTCAGAATTTCACTCCCAACCAAGTCATAAATTGTCAAGAAGAATGATCTATTGAAAGTAAACTGACCCTTTTTCAGAAACATTTTAATAACTTTAGAAACTTTTTCTGCAATGTCTAAATTCAAGCTAAGATTTCTTGTAACATAGAGTTATCTTAAATCCTGTAAATTAATCTTGGTCGCATAATCAATTGACTTGTTGGTTAAGAACAAAAACCGTGCAACGACTGAGATGTAAGAAGAAAACCCTTCAGGCTTCACGTTTATGACAAAATCTATTATTTTTTTCATTATACAGTAGTGTTGTAAGTTTTATCGCTAAATGGATCAATCTGCTTCTATCAATAGATAAAGTCAAAGAATTAAAAACTTGTTCCAATCCAATCTCTCTGGTCAAATGAATTGTCCTGATGTATTTTTGCTGTTGAGCTCTGCGTGTACTGTATTTTGAAGGGAAGCCAGTGGTCTGTGCGTTTTTGACAATAATAACCCCATGCTCTTTTCGCAGGGGAGACTGAAGAGCGCTTCTCACAGTGATGTAAGGACTAAACCTTCAGATCTGTGTTTCGTCTCTCCTCTATGTCCTTGTCTTTGTCTCTTTTCCTCAGCTGTCAAACTGAGCTCTTGGATTTTCGTTTATTTAAACTCTATCTTCCTTGATTCTGGGTTAGGGTTACTTGTACAGCAGCTCCCTTAAAGTAGACATATTATGCAAAATCAAGTTTTTGTTGTTGTTGTTACGACATTGTTCTGTCATCAAAAACAGACCTGGAGTTGTGTCTGGATACGCCACGCTCATTTCAGAAACTTCCCTCCCCTTCTTTCTAAAATCCCCTGTCTCAGTCCTGCAATAGGCAGTTTGATGTTTGTAGGTAAAGACGGCTGCGTGGGTTTCTTACCAATGGAAGTTTGGCTTTTCCAGCAATTTTTTCATATTCTAAAACATAGATGTCAAATAATGGTATTAGGCGACAGTGACATGTTACTAATCCATTACTAATTTTCTCAAGAAAACAACCGTAAAATGTAATTCCATAAGAAATCTTAAGCCAACATGTAATTAGAAGTTGGTATTATTATGTTTTTTGCGAGTCTTCAATTACATTTCACAATTTTCTTTGGAAAGAACCGCCCTCTCCACTTTTTGAACAAAACTCTCTGGTCTTATTGGACAAGCACGAATCACCAGAATGATTGACAGTTGGGAGGACCAATAGTCTTGATGATCCACCGGAAAGTAGGGAATCTTCCTAATATGACATACCTTCAATATTTGGTTCAGTCACAGAAACTGAACTAATTCTAATCAGACAAGAATCTCCAATCTAACTAATGTGAAACAAGTCATTTATATAGATACCTTCATATTATAAAAAAGTATAATTAATGAAACCCACTTATTCTTTCAGCCCCTGACCAGCCCTTTCATTTTTTAATTCGGCCCTCAACCAAAATAAGTTTGACACCCCTGTTCTAAAACATGAAATGACAAATTTAATTGTCTCTTTTTTCTATTGGCCAAAAAAATAAGGCATAATATTTCTTCTTTAAACCCTATCCTAGCTATAAAACTCTAGTATAGCTCACACATTAGGAAGTGGCTTGCATTTATGTTTGAACAGCTCTGTTTGCCTCCACAATGAGCTGCGGCCTTCTCCCCTGTGGACGTCTCAGTGTGTGTGGATGTTCAGCGGCGTAGGCGTAACATGGCGGAATGGCAGATTGCGTTCGATATCAGGGCTTGACAGAGAAAATACCTCTATAACCGTAAAGCTTTTAAGAGTGTTATTATTTTTAAATGTGTGTGTTAGAGATGTCGCTGTCTTCTGTGTGATGCTGCACTCGCTTCTTTTCTTTCTGCCTAATAACGTCTGTTTCTCTCTTGTCTTCCTCTCCCTGCCCCTCCCTTTTATCTCGGGATTTTTCCCATTTCAGGGAACACAGCTCATCTTTAACGCTGCCAAAGAACTGGGGCAGCTGTCCAAGTTGAAGGTTTGTTTTGATTAGCTGTTTAACTGACTGTATGCAGTTTCCACGCCCAAGCAGAAATGTCTATGTATTTATTTTTAGGCTAAATTCTGGAGATTATGAATGATGACTAGGGATGTTGCTAAAAAATTATATTCATAGTTGGGCTGCACGATATATCAAAAAAATATCGTTATCGCGATATTGGTGCGTGTGATATCTGTATCAAAAAGATGCACGATTAAAAAAAACATTGAACAAGAACAACAATCAAACAAAAAAGTATATAATATATGCATTTGAAAGTCATTAATGTTGTGCTTATTTTTGGTTATTTGTCTCTTGCGTTTCAATGCAGATTGCAATTTTAGGTGAAAGACAAAAATATCGTAATGTTATCGCAATACTAAACACTCTTATCGAATATCGCGATAATTTAAAATATCATGCAGCCCTAATTCATGGTTTATACATTTTGACTTTGATATTTTGACTTTTAAACCTTAACTGAACCTTACTGTAATCTAATGTTTTGTATCGAAATTATTGAATTGAAAGTCCCCTGTGTTTACTGTATATATATGTTTTAACAGGCTCGGAAAGACACCCAGCCCACACAAACACATACACTTTTTTTCACTCATTGCTGTCAATCAAGAAAATTACAGTAGCAACAGAAATTCTTCTTCTGACAGTGATCAGAAGTTCTCAGTAGCTTGTATCACCCATTGTACCTCTGACAGCTTGGAGTCTTATTTTAGAAGCGGTGGATGAGGTTCTTCTTCCTTTCTAAGTGTAAAGCGGCCCCATTCTTGAACAAAAAAAAAAATTCCTGGGCTGCCTTGCATGGCCTGCATTTTTGAGATCCTCCTTGAGCGACTCAATATTATCACCATATATGGCTTCACACAACAATGAGTGATGTCTTGTGTATTCATTCTTCACAGATACATACTGTAGGGCCAAAACAATGACATCTGTGGCTGGGTGGATAAGCACAACTGTATTTTATTCTGAGATCTTTGAATTCTAGGAACACATGGTCCGCGAGGAGGCTAAGGCTCTCTCGCCGAAGCAGTGTGCAGTTATTGAGCTGGCTCTAGACACCATTAAGGTAAGGAAGCAGGAAAGCATTTTGATGGGTTAGGGTTAATGTCATTGACTGAAAGAATAAATGTGATAATAATTACACTATGTCTTTTAATTGTGTCTTCAGCAATACTTCCATGCGGGTGGTGTGGGTTTGAAGAAGACATTCCTGGAGAAGAGCCCTGATCTTCTGTCCCTTCACTACGCTCTGTCCCTCTACACTCAGGCAACAGACAAACTCGTAAAGACCTTTGTCCAATCACAAAACGCTCAAGGTAACGGTCAAATTAGGATTAAGAGATCCTTTATTTATCTCACAGTGAAGAAGTCTCTGTGTGCATCACAGGATACAGAACAGCAGGAACGAGGAGCACACAAAACACAAAATAAGAATTTCAGTGAAAATTAAATATAGGCCAACTCTGTAATATATAATAAAATAAAATATAATAATAAAAAACAAAGTATACCCCTATAATACAGATATACTCAAAGTGTATATATTTGTATACATTGAGTATATATTTTAGATAGCTTTGTGATTAAGACAAATATTTCTTCTCTTCAGACACCTGTTTTATCATTAGGGCCATTTCATTTAAGATGAATGTGAACAGATTAGATCTCTGGATGATTTCCTTACATTTATCAATACCATGCATTTTAGGGGTAAATAAATCATTATATTTGGCACATACTTATTTTGTGCAGACACATTTTAACAACCAAAACAATTATTACAATCCTTATTACATCGTTTAACTTTCATTCATCTGTCCTCACACTTGATTGACGATCTTCGAGCTCTGGTTCAGGATCCTTTGGAGTTTGTTTTGGTTCTTCATGCTGAGGGTGCCAAACCACATCAGAATGTTAAAAGTGAGGATGCGCTCCACCAGGCTCTTGTAGACGTCTCAAGGATAGAACAACTCACACCAAAATTATTTAGTTTGCGAAGCAGATACAGTCATTGTGAGCATTTCCTGAAAATGAAGTCTGTGTTCTTACAAAAGGAAAGTCTCCCATCTGTATGTGCCAAGGTATTTGAAGTTATCAACCATCTCAACATTGGCACCTTGAATCTTCACTTCTATCAATGTCTCTTTATCAATGAGCACAATGAGTTCAACAATGAATAATACACATTCATACATACCGATATTTCCAAAACATTTGAACAGAAGGAGCGGGAAAGAGCGTTATCATGCCTTTGCAGCCTGATCCGCGTGATGTAGATTATGAGTTTTATAAATAGCCTTACTGCTTGAATTATTTAGAATAAAGAATATGGAAATAAGTGTGTATCCCAAATGATAAACAAACCTTTCAACACCAGTCTAATAAACGCACCTTGCATTCATAACGTACAGGTCCATTATGTGAAAAAGGCTAACAATGTAGTCACTACATTTTTTAACACATGTTATTATGCATACAACAGAATTAATGTTCAATGTTTGAACACAAACTGTCGTGCACTACTGTATGTCACTAATGCTCAATGTGAGTGTACGTTTCTCTGTGTAATTCTCCTGTGTGTCCGTGTCTCCTCTCTGTGTCCGCTCTGCCGATCTGCCCCATCTGTGGGCCAGTGTTCGGCGGGAAGGGGGTGAGGTTCACCAGTAGTGAGGATATTTACCCAGACAAGGGTATGTTCAACTCAGGACAGAGCCTGAGACACTGAAGAAAAACCTTCTGACCAAAGCCCAACTCCCTCCACCCTCCACCCCATAAACATCCTGATGCTCCTGCCTGATTCATGTCAACAGATCGATTATTGAACATCCACCCTCTTTCACCGTTTATCCAAATGAGTATTGCTAAGTCAGACTCTGACTTTATGCATTGGTGCATGAAATGTACACACTGATGTCTGTGTGAATGGTGCTGCACTCAATACATACACGGAGTATGTATGGGCGGACCAAAGCATGACGTGTGGACATCAGAGCATAGAAAGGAAATGCATTAAAGTGTAAGGAATCCTACTCCAGCATGATGTCACTCAGAGCCCCAGGGTCCAGCAAGCATGAATGTGAAAGTGGGCTGAAAGAGAAAAAGGCTGTCTGAGACGGCAGATACCAGGCTTGTTAATGCAACATGAGGAAAATTATCTTTAAATATATCCTCTACTGAAGACAACACTGTAGAAAAGCACTGCTGGGAGAGACCCCATGTTGGCCTGCTGTGTAGACTGGAGTCACTGCTCATGCGCAGTGGAGCCCCCTCCCCAACAGCAGAGTGCTCAACTGACCTATAGCAGCCAATCAGAAACAGGTTGTCAGGTCAGGTGATCACATTTGTCACTAGTGTTTAATGTCAGAGGACATGACCATTGCATGCTCTATTAATGAAGAAAAAATCGTCTGCTCCATTGTCAGCAATGCAAGGCTAAATATAGTTGGATCCTTCAAACAAAAACAAACGAATGAATTGCTGATATGTTAGTCCTTGTGGGTGATTTTAAAAAAAAGTTAAAATACTGTTCATCATCAGAGGGAATACAATTTCTGCCCATAGTTTTGTAGGAGAGTGGAGCACCATGCTTCTTACATACTGATACTTCCTTATCTGCAGTTTTTCTTGTGGACATCTTCCACAGACTGAGCCCAGATGGACGCTGCTGCTCTCTTGGGTCTTGTTGGCACAGAGACCATGGATCTCAGAGTGCTGCCCGGAGAGCTGCGCGCCAAGAACAGACACCTTGTTCAGTGGGTGGCTCGTACAGAAGACTCACATGTCGACCGGCTGATACAGTTGACAAAGTGACAACGCTAATTAAAACAGTCCAAATACATGTCCATCTGCCTCCATAACCCAAGCAAACTGCAATCCCAACCCCTTGTTCTGGAAACCCTTAACTATTTAAAGAACTTTAATCACTTTCGGGAAAAGTCAGTTAATCAGCCCCATCCCAACTAAGCATGACTAGGTATTGACTTTTTTCTCTTAAACTTAAACTCACACTTGCATCCTGGCAAACATGAACCATCTATGAGTGGGAAGAGCTGCTGGAAGACAAAAAGTTTTCGGCTGTAGGAGAAACAATGTGTGTCTACTCATAGCTGCTTTGTTTGCCATTGTACATCCTCCCCTACCTTATAAATTAGGCCTTTCTGCTACACAGTGGCGGATCCACTTACTGAATGTGACCAATGTGTCTATGAGGGGCATGCTTAGGTCTTACAAATGTTATTGAATGTATGTCACAGGTATTAACAGGCTTTTGTTTCCACCAGGATCAGTTGTTGATGACGCGGTCGGAGAGGTGTCCATACATGTGGAGATTTTCACACATCCCAGCACAGGAGAACACAAGGTTACAGTGAAAGGTACAACAATCTAAAGTTATGTTAGGGCTGTAACAAGTCAATTGATTAATTGCACTAATCAATTATTTAAATAGTTTCTGAATTAATTTGATAACCGATTAATATTTTGTTTATCTTACATGGACTAATAATAATCTATAATTCTATAACTGCTGCAGAATGAAACGAAAATGTGTTCACAATTTGCATTTTTAATCAAACAAATCAAAGTCAAGATTGAAGAATGTATTTGCCATTTGCAATAAAACCACAAGAAAAACGTGCAAGACACAGTGTGCACAGATAGCACACATCAGAGCTCTCGCCACGGCGCCATTTTTCCTCCGCCATGCGATCATGTCATCTCGATGAAGACGTTCATACACGTTCCAACATCAATAAATCAAAAACATAATATGCAAATGAATCGATTATCAAAATAATCCTGAGTTCCAGCCCTAGTAGGTTTTGTCATTATGTTTTAGGAGACATGTTATGCCAAACTGTTGTTTTTAGATCCTATCTATCCTACACATTATAACTCTAATACTGCACTATGAATGTCATGGAAAATCTCAATTTCAAACGGCATGCTTTGCAACGTGGCATTTTAGATATTAACTAAAATTGCAGAATGTAGTTACCGCATGAATATTATCAAGATGTGCAAGCGCTGTCATTACTGGGAATTTACACTTTAGGCATGGCAAAAGTTCCTCCTATTAGCGTGGATGGATCTAACGATAACTCCAGCTTTTAAACACTGCTCTACTCAGAGGCCCCTTCAATAATTACTAGGGGACTTTATTATGATTTGACTGCAGAGATAATGGTGTGTGTGTGTGTGCGTGCGTGCGTGTGTGTGTGTGCGTGTGCGTGTGTGTATGTTTTGCTGCTCATTTTCACACATCCTGTTCTCGCTCGCCCACACCTCCCTCTGTCTTCTTCTCTTCTCTTCGCAGTGGTCGCTGCCAATGACCTGAGGTGGCAGACACAGGGAATATTCAGGCCATTCGTGGAGGTCTATATCATCGGACCTCATCTCAGTGACAAGAAGAGGAAGTATGCGACCAAGTCTAAGAACAACAGCTGGGCTCCGAAGTACAATGAAACCTTCACATTGTAAGTAGCACATTGCTCCTGCCACTGTTTTAGTTTTTCCTTTTATTGGCACGTTCACACATAATAGAGAATAGGGTCATGACAACATGTTTGGTTTGTATCTTTTATCAAATCATTAGCTTTTAAACAGAGCCTTTCTGTACGGAGCTTTGAACTGTGCTTGTTCCCTATGTGTGTGTAAGCTTTACTCCCGGTGCTCCAGTTTCCTACCACGGCGACATAGCAGCATTCACTGTAATACCGCTATAATTTTGAATTAAGGTTTGTAACGGAAGTACCACAGTAAGTAATGTTTATTTATATACCAGCTTTCACAGACCAAAGTCACAAAGCGGTTTACAATTGTTATTTTTGGGCACTTCTCCTCTCTCTCCACACAGAGATGGGAGCGGGGCCAGTACAGGAGGCACATGCCAGAACTATTGTACATATTTTTAGTGGTAGGGGAAACCGGAGTACCCAGAGGAAACCTACGCAGACACGGGGAGAACATGCAAACTCCACTCAGAAAGGCCCTGGTCCGACCGGGATTCGAACCCAGGACCTTCTTGCTGAGAAGCGAGAGTGCTATCCACTCAGCCGTACCACAGTAGCATTTGTTTTTGCCACTCGGCTACAAGCTTCTCTCCTTACTAAGTTGTGCAAAATGTATGACTCTGGGTGTCAATGTAGCGGACCCATCAGTCCAAACCAAATCTCTCCTAAAGGAGACAAAAATAAACAAATCTTGATCTTGAATCTTGAATTGCAGGTGATGCCTGCGCAAAACGGGTAGATGTTAAAAGTATATAAGGGGATTTTCCTAAATTTTAGGAAAGAACCACCCTCTCCACTTTTTGAACCTAACTCTGGTCTTATTTGACAAGTATCACCAGAATGATTGACAATTTGGAGGACCAATAGTCTTGATGATCCACCCGGAAGTAGAAAATCCTCTTATAACCTTTGACTGTTTCAATTTAAAAGTATGGTGTTTTCTCCGTACAGCGCCCGTTGTGTCGACGTTGCCTTTTACCACACACTTTATACACTATGACGCGAGTCACAGGAACTGCGTGAGCCCGGTCATCCTTTGGCGTGGCCTGAAGCGAACCTGCTGCCTTAAAGCTAGTGATTTTTGTTTGTTCCAACAAAGAGTATAGTAAAAATAACTGTTTTGTAAGAAATCATACCACAGCATATTTATCTTATTCTAAAACATATTTTTTTAACTGAGAGCTGATGTGTGAGTGAGTCAGTGAGGGTGATCCTCTGCTTTTCACTTTTCTGTCTGAAAAGATATGCTTGTGAAAGCTATTGATAGAATGTTAAGAACTACATAGTTATTTGTTGTGCTGTTTTTTATATTTTTCTCAGCACTATTCTTATTGTGAATTATATTATTATCATGATATTGCCTTCTCATATGGGGATTTTTTCTGACTATTCTAAACACCCCTGCCCTACGAAACCAATGAGAACAAATAGAAATTAGCTTTGCTAATTAAATAATCAAACAGAAAACATCTATCCCTTTATTTTAGCTGTACTGACTGAATAGTTATTGGGGCTAATAGGGACTAGTTATCTGGGCTTGTATGTGCTAAATAACCTAATGTTGATTATTGTCCTACCAACAGTACTCTGAGTAATGAAGTGGGCCCAGAATGCTACGAGCTGCAGGTGTGTGTGAAAGACTACTGCTTTGCTCGTGAAGATCGCACCGTGGGTATGGCCGTCCTGCAGCTCAAAGACATGGCCTCTAAAGGCAGCGTGGCGTGTTGGCTGCCACTGGGAAAACGCATCAACATGGACGAGACCGGCCTGACCGTGCTGCGCATCCTCTCCCAGCGCAACAACGACGACGTGGCCAAAGAGTTTGTGAAGCTCAAGTCCGACCAACGCTCTGCAGAGGAGGGCCGCAGCTAAGAACCAGCAAAGTAACACACTTTTACACACCGCCTGATACTGCCCAGAGCTGTTGCTAGTGACTGCCTTTGTACAAACACAGACACAATACTTACCGTGAGCAGAAGTTGAAGTGTGGCGAGACTGTATTAGATGTGCTTTTTTGTATAACCATCAAGGGGGGTCAGGGTAGCTTTCTATTTCACAGGACCTGTACGTAGTCTCCCCTCCACATTTTGTATCACATTTCTGCCTTGCAGCTGCTCAGAAGGGATCATAAGTGCCAAAAGATAATGATGCCAAGATCCACCCCAAGCACAACAGGTCAAACTGCCGAATGACCAACGATGGCTGCAAGGCCACAGACATTCCAAAAAGTCCATCACTTTGACTGAAAACTGAAAATAGTTACTCTTTTTGTTTTAGATTATATTTATATTTAATAATATATTATATTATAATTAAATATCTATACATTCTATATTAGACAGATTATACAGCATATATATATATATATCTTTATATATATATGGATTTCTGTTTGGTACATTATTTGTAACAGAGCACACTGCCTAACTGCCCAATGCCTTGTGTGTCAGGCCCCTGTTTGTCCATAGACTGTCCGTCTCTTCGATAGTGCCTGTGTCCAGTCTTTGTGACATGTCCACCTCGTGTGGCCACCTGTGCAGCCTGTTGTGACCACTGTACTTTGCCTGAGAGCCATTTGAGCGACGGCTTTCACATTGTACACATGAACAGACATTCCACTGCCCTAGACTGCCTAACCACTGCTTTTCTTGAGTGAAATGATCAGTGGGCACAATTTCAGTCCCATATGTACTTATAAAGGGCTGCATCTCCAGAAGGCTTCAGGTTTGAACAACTAACATTTGAAATCTTCATGTTTAAGTCGCACAGGGTTATTTGTTACTTGGGGTGAAAATACAGGACTTGCATAGGATCCAATCTTAGAACACATCTTTTTTATTTATCTTTTATCGATACCCTGCTAATTAAATGCTTTCCATCGAATAACCAGGTTTTTTCTCTGAATTTTAGAAGTTCAATTTAGTGTCTTGGAGCTGACAGGGTGTTCTTTAAATTGTCACCGAGAAGCACTTAGAGGTGAATTATTTGTAACCCCTTTTAAACACGATTTAAATTTCTATGCATCTGATTTTGAACAATTGTTGTCTTCAAATGTTTACATTGTGGATCTAGATTATCAGCGTGTCTGATATGGTGTTGAAGCTATTTATTGTAACAGGCCAAATATTGCAGTAGTCGTTTTGCTCAAAGGAGAGAACATTGATATTGTAAATAGAAAACATATAAACCATGTCATGTGACGTTTGCTGCTCTTTTGTAGACTTAAAAATTTGCTTCAGGTGACTTGCGAATCTTCTGGGTACCCACTCGGATATGTAGCTTAAGTGAATGGTACGTTGAGGCGTGTGTTTTCAGAGAGTTGTACAATTGTAGATAATACGGATACACACTTAACAAAGGAATGGGAAAACGTTTATAGCATCCTGTCTTTTACAACACATCATTTAGAGCCGAAATGCCACGAAAATCAATATTTATTGCTGTTGACAATGAAATGTAAAAGACAAGTGCTGGCTGAGGGGCGACGTTGCACGATTCTGGACAAAAAAAGCACAACGTTCAAACAAATTGGCGCTGGCAGACAGACGAGCATGTTCTGTCCTTTCTCTGCACTGCCACTCGACTTCCACTAATGGTGCATGTTAGGAAGAATAAAACAACAAATAAACATGTATTGTGCCAGCACGCATCATTATTTAATGTTCAATGCCAATTGTTGTCAATTTCTATGTAAAAAAAAACAGATGTCAATTTTGGTTTCCAATTTCTCTGATGTGTGTGAATATATAAATATGTTTTGCGGATGACGTGTTGTGGTACGAAGTACTCGCATGAGAATTCTTTTATACTTGAGATGAGTTTCTAATTTTGTTTTGTTTTTTTATTCTGGATGTTCTTATTGGGAATTGACTTGGATTGCAGTTGAAATGTGATTCTGCTTCCAATAAAATATGAAAGAAATAACTATGTTTCATTATTTAACTGTCTACTTCAGGTCCTGCGCAGGAATGAGATCTTAAGGTTGTCTGGGATCTGGACCTGGTCTACATGGACCTCAGGGCACAATGATGGAAAGGTGACAGGAAACACCTGCCTGACGTCCATCAGGAGCTGAGGAGCCTGGCTGTCAGAGCGGCTTTTGAGAATCCCCTGGAAACAAGGACATGGGTTATTTCAGAAAATGTGTAGAAAGACCTCAGTGATGACCAGTACCTGGACAGAGCGGACGAAGTTTAGAGTGACTCTTTCATCTAGATCACTGTGCGGTGTGTAGAGGGTCAGAATCTTCACAATCTGAGGATAAAGCATGACTCTTATAATCTATAATAATCTATAAATATGTAATATGTAGTAAAATGAAAGTGGCCCACCTGCTGGCTGGTCAGAGCAGTGCACGTGTGAACCAAGGCCTGAGCATCGCCCTCACTTTTCTTCCCCATCTGCAGCAGCTGCACGGCCTGGATCAGAGGCTCCAGTGTGGCCACAGCGCCACCTGCCGACAGCCCACGACTGCGCAGCCATTCCTCCAGCAGACTCACGTTGTAACTTTAGTGGTAAAGCACAAGAGCAATGTTTTATATACACACACACACACACATACACATACACACATTTAACAGAGTTTAAAAATATGATTGTATAGCGCACACAGTGTACGGTAAACTGCAATTAATCATTACAGCCCAAGTTTGAGTGTTCGACTTGTTATTCGTTGTTGTCCATGTAGGACATCTTTATGTATGGAATGTCCTTAAATGCAATCATGTACAACATTTTTAGCTGTGGAGGGTGTTGCCGCATGACTGGTGCCAGTTTAACCTTTGAATTCTTACTATCCCTCGGCTCCAGCTGCACATGTCCTTTTAGAATGTACTCAGAGTACTTAGACTGTACACAGCTGAAGAGCGTGTTACCGTATCTGCATCCCTCGGCTCCAGCTGCACATGTCTTTACGCAGCAACAGACTGTTGAAGGCGGAGGAGCACATGAGGTGTGTGAGCTGGTGGAAGGCCTGCTCCATCAGCTCAGGGGCCAGAGCCTGACGACACATGGCTGAATGAAGGGCCCCCAACTCCCTCAGCAAGGAGCTCATGTTAGGGACTTCTCCCCCCACCACTCGAGGATCTGAGCTGGTACGCTTCCTGGATAATGGCAGTTTTCCAGCTGAGCCTGGCAGGCTGGAGATGCTCTCACTCTCCAACAGCGCTGGCACTAGTACAGAGTAAACACATACATTATAAATTCAGCACGCAATCAGTGTGAAGGGTGTTCTTACCAACAACATTCTGCAGACGAGCCTCAGTGATGGACACAAGCTGCTGGTAGGCGTGAATACAAAAGTCACTCAAGGCTCGTATCTGGTCACTCAGGTCCACCACAAAGGAGACGGTTCCCTCTGAATCATTAGCCTAATAAAGGAGACGTTTCAATATTTATAAATACCATGGCTATCACTTCATCACATAAATAAATGTCTCCACACATGTTCTGAGGAATGTTGGACCAACAGGTCATGCAGCAGGCAGCCATTTTTGAGCCACAGGGATGTCATGTCCAAGTCATTGCTGTGCTTCTATAGATCAACCAAATCAGATAACAATATTAGCCATATTTGAGAATTATTTTGCTAACAGTGTTGATCCTAACCTTTAAAGCAGCCTTAAGAGCAGCGACACAGGCCATACAGAAGGAGCGTGTCCGGGTTGGGTCTCCACTGTGGTCCATGTGACGCAGGCACAAGAACACAACACTGGCACAAAGGCCTGGATCTAAAGTCAGGGCCAGGTCTCCTCGCAGGTCTGGAACACAGCCAGTGGAGGTACATTACACTGTCTCACATTCTAATAACAAAACAGGCACAGCGTGATCACTGACCTGTGATTATATTTTTCAGTAGTTTTCCTTCATCTTTTTTCCGACATTCAAGTAAACTTGTAAGTGTGGCAGACTTCAGGGGTTCGGTTCCACTCTCCTGAGCCATGGAGGAGGCAGGTAGAACTGATGAAGAAGATAATGATGTTCAATTCTAAATGTTCTACATGCAACGTCACAAATGCCATGTGACACACCTTGAGTCAGCAGCCTTCTCAGTGTACTGGTGTTTTTCAGCTCTCTAAGCTCTCGCCTCAGTCTCACACACTCCTGCTCTCGAGCCTCCAGCAGGTTCTGTTCATCCAGACACAAAGAGCACTGTGCTGAGGCTGCTGACGATACTGCATACAAGACCAAGGACACTTAAAGACGAAAGTGTGCACCTGTGGGATTGTCCCAGGAGAGGACAGCACTTTCCTGAGCTGAGATCTCAATGCCTCCATTTCACCCTGCCACTGAACGTGCTGACTCCGTAACTGATGTTCCAGAAACCTGTTCAACAATTAGGGTTAGAAGATGAATAGCTTATAAAAGTTTCACCAAAATTTTGTGTGAATATCATGTTTGCATCTGACTTGTTGGCCACTCGAACAGCATCATAAGCATGAGCCAAGTCATCTTCTTTCATCTTCACCGCAGGCGCCACATCCATGCTCTCCATCAGTCCATCCTGTCACATGTGCAATCATTACATTTCTATGGACATTAAGAAAGACACACAGAAAGGTCCTGTCTAGAGATGGAACTGGACCCAGGGCTATGGCCTCCTGTCTCAGTCCTGTAATAACATGATATCATTGCACCACTATGACACACTCAACACTCAGTGCAGTATTCTAGTAAAACAAAATTATTGTCCAGAAATTACTTTTGGTAATTTCTCAGTCTCACACACTCCTGCTCTTTTGGTAGTTTCTCTCAACAAATTACTTTTGGTAATTTCTCTCAACAAATTACTTTTGGTAATTTCTTTCAACAAATTACTTTTGGTAGTTTCTCTCAACAAATTACTTTTGGTAATTTCTCTCAACAAATTACTTTTGGTAATTTCTCTCAACAAATTACTTTTGGTAATTTCTCTCAACAAATTACTTTTGGTAATTTCTCAAGTAAAATTGCATTCTTTACAATCGCATAGCTGTGTTTGCAGCCGGTAATTTTCAAATTGTTTACCGTTGTGACTTGTTTATCCATATATTATAACATAAAACATATCATTATCATTTTTAATGGCCAAAGGTAATGCATATTATTTACGTCATAGAAAATATATAGCGTTGACAAAAAAGAATTGTAGTTGACGAAATGAATACCATTGAATGCTCTGTGCTCCATGGCGGCCTCTTTTCCAGAGTGGGCGATGCAACACTAGGCCTGCGTAGTGGCTCTGGAGATGGGAGCCCGGATGGGAAAGGCGAAGTTGATAGTGGGGTGGATGGATGGGAGGACAGAGGCGTCAAAGAGGGAGAAAGAGGCTCGTACCCCACGCTCTGAGTGGAGTCTGACCTCCTGTGACCAGGGGCACGCTGATGGGACAAGCACACCGTACACAGTGAATGTTGTTACAAATGTACAGTCTAATATCTATTTTTCTTGGCTATTGGCTGGACCTCTGTAAGCAGACTCATCTCGCGCAAGTTGTCGTATCTCTGCTCTAGTCGCGAGAAGTCTCTCAACAAGCCCTGGTACTTCCTTCTCTCTTCATCCAGTTCACTTTTGACAGCAGCTGTGGCTTTCACCACGGCTTCATGCAAACTCTCTGCAGAAACGACAGAGAAGATGGTGAGGGGGACATTACATGATATTCAGAGGTTCTACAGTATGTCGCTATTTATTGTCAAATATGTTTTCTATTTTAATGTATGACAACTCCTATCCCTCTGATGGTAAAGCTGCACAATCACACCTTGCCCGGTTTGTTGTTGAGTGACGAGATGTGCAGAAAGGCTCTCTTTTTCTTTCATAAAACTCTCTCTTTCGTTCTTCAGTAATTGTATCTCCTATAGCTCGGCAATAAAAACAATACATTTATTTTACTGATACAACTTTTAGATGATGATATTTTGCATCAGAGCAGACTTGACCTGTGTAAGTATTTGTATTTTCCGAGCAGCCTCCTCACTGGCTTGCCTTTTCTCCTCGGCCTCTTTTATTATCTCAGGACTGGGCTGATGCTCATGCTTTTGATTTTGCAATTTTAATAATGTTCCTTTGAGTGCGTCCAGTTCAAGTTTCCTTGCATCTCGCTCTGCACTTAAGGTTTCTCTCAACAAAGTGCTCTCCTTGACCTGCAAAAGATACGTCATTACGCCTTTTAATCATCCCATTTGCATGCGTCAAACCCGATCTCCACCTCCTGGTCCAGGCGTAGCTGAAGCTGCATCAGTTTGACTTCCATGCCTTTGTTGAGTTCTTGGAATCTTTGCACGGATCTCGCCTCCTTTTTGAGCGTAAGCAGTTGTTTCCTGGCAGCGCGTCGACGTGCACAGCATTGCATGAAGACCACAGCGGCCTGCATTCTACTGTAAGCCCGTCTGGCCAGCCATCCACGCACCCGAGATTGGAGCAGGACCGCCGCTCGCACCCACAACAACTGAAAACACCATCAGAAATTTACAAGAAGAAATGTATTTTTATTTTTGGAAGATAGGTAGTGGTATGGTCAATAGTACACTAAGCAGGACAAGTAAAGAAGCTAATTTATACCATGGCCAAAACAGTCACACACTCATAAAACATGTGGCCAAAAGGTCCTTAGCAACCGTTGTCATGACTGTGATTGTGGGACTCTATCGTATGCTGATTTGAGTGCCTGTACAGTAGACAGGGCAGAGAGTGGGGCAAGGAGAAAGTAAATGGAAACATTGTTTTGGATATTGGGGCAGTTACAGTTGAGCGTTTGTGGTATTTGGTGTATGCACGGAACCCACATGCCCACAAAGAGCCGAGATGCAGGGAAGAGAAACGCGATTGACCTCACTAATGAATCAATAATGAAGTAGAATAACTATACTAAACATTCTGGCAATGAACAACATTTAAAAAAGACACACACACACACCCATAGGAGATAAACTTCAACTCTCTAAATATACAAAATGAAACATGTTTAGCATCTTAAGCTAAACATAAACTGTATAATAGACCTTCAAAAGTAACTTCATCATGAAAACTCTAAGCAGCTGGTTGTGCTTATTGCTGACTGTTGCTATGGTGATTCCTCAGACGGAGGGACATGGAACCTGTATTTATAACATGAGATTTAGAGTTTGCATTGGAATCCTCACTCCGCCTTCTCAAATACTCCTGGATCATCATTGAATCTCGACAACAGTGAGCTCGTCTGGTTTGCTCTGACCTGCGTGTATCGGCGTCGTGCCAGTGTGCCTCTGGTGAAGGCCTGTATGGTGATGGTGGCCTGTCGAATCATCTGGAACAGCTGTCTGACCATAACCATGCGGTAAGTCTTCTGGATGGTGAGAGCAGCTTTGGTGTAGCGCAGTGTCATGGCATAACTGAGGCAAGACAGAGGGATTTTAGTCACACTTGTCCAAAAGGCAAATACGTACATATGAATAGGCAATAATAGACTTTAATGCATCTACATTTTTGGTATCCTATAGAAATGGGGAATTTGTTTTTGTTGGCTCTATACCTTGGCTGTGGCAAATTCTTTGGCTAATTGCAACTAATTAATATTGAAATCGTTGACAAATAATTTAATGATTTATTATTTATTTCTGAACCGTATGTTCAAAAGCAACACTAACACAAAAAATCCAACATTTAATTCTAGAATTAAATAAAAATTCAGATTTTTTTTTTTAATAAAACAGAATTAAATTGAAATTCTGAATCAAATTAAAATTCAGAAAATACAAATATTCAGAATTAAATTAAAATCTACAAAAATAGGTTTTAGAGCAGGCTTGTCTTGTGTGTGTTGGTACCGTCGGGCCAGTGCTCCCCTGCTGTATCTCTGCACGGTCAGGATTGCCCGGAGCGTCCTGTGGAAGAGTCTCTGAGCCTGCCACCGCCGCACCCAGCTCTGGATGCTCACGGCGGCCCCCCTCAACCTCTCGGCCCGCAGGCGCTCCAGCAGGGCCACCTGTCCTGCCCGGAAGAACACCTTAGTTTTGCCGAAGCTGTACTGGTCCGGATCCGGAATGAGCTGAGGTAAGGCCTGCCCACACGAGACCCGGGCCTGAGCCGGGTCATGAGCCCCACGCAGCAACACTCTGTAGCGCGAATAGAACTCCTCGTATGTCCATCTGCAACAGGAGCATTCAATCACTTATTACCCACAGATATAACACCGCATTGTTCATTTGGGTCTTAAAGCTGGGGAAAGCCTGCCTTTCAAACCACATTAATAAAACTTTGTCATAAACTGCATTTAAATAGCTCCTCTCTCTCTCTATCTTCCGTTCACATGATTGTATTATAATGTTAGAGCTATAGAGATATTTTTCAGACAGAAAAGTGTAAAGGGCCAATCAGCTCTCACACCAAAACGTCAAAAAGTAACTCACATGGTTCTTATTAGTTTTTAGTGTTCACAAAATATCATGTGTTCTAATATGTTTCCAATAAATGAATTCTACCTTTCCAAGACTCTTTCTCTTGGAACAAACAATATGTGTTATATATGGAGAAAACAGTTAGGTACCCCAGCTGTAAATGTGATCTTTAGAATATTTCATCTCTTTGTAGATTTTTTTTAAACCAAATTATAAGATTTTTCTATGAGAAAAACAGCCCCATCTATAACTAGAAGTGGGACATTACATTCTATTTATGCAGTAAATAACATAAAATAGAGTCTTTAAACAGATGGAGAAACCCAACAAGTCAGACACATGTTGCATAATCAATCCATAATTCAAGGAGCATCTGACCGTCCATCACAGACAAACATATGCCCAAGCTACTGGGTGATACCACAAGGCTTTGGCAGTACCAAAAAATAAAAGTGCTCCTTCTTCTTCTGACATTTTCATAAAACTAATTTTATGGAAAAACGTATTGTATTTCTTTGTTACCTGGATGGATAACCCGCTGCACTGATGCGTATGGTCTCCAGTACGCCACAAGCTCTCAGCTGCTGGACCGTCCTCTTTGGATCAAACCTGACACCAAAAAGTTCACAATAATGACAGTAGTGACATTTAGCAAAGCCATGGTTAAACAAACTAATGTGGGCTCACTTAAAAGCCTCTTTGTCGTCATTGGGTTTTATACAGCGGACATAGTGAGGAGTAGTGCTGTTCAACGTGTCCATCAGCAGCTGCAAGGACTGACGAAACTGAAGGACACAACATGTTGGGTCCATGTTTAAGAGTGGTTGGGGTTAGAAGAATAGAATAGTTTTGCAGATCCTCTACCTGAAACCCCACAGTGAGTTTGTGAGCTTTTCTTCCAGGGTGAATACTCTCCTGAGCCGTAGAGGAAGCAGTGCTTTGCAGCTGGATTAATTCGGCCACAAGTTCTGACTGACGCAGAAGAAATGACATACAGGTGAAAATGTTATTCAATCATTAAGATAAGATCAGATAAGATACACTTTATTGATCTCACAATGGAGAAATTTATAATCAATCTTTCCATTTCTGGGCCACCCAATTCACACAGAACCAGCACCTTTCCCAACATTATATGGGATCATTTTGGCCCTTAAAGCTTGTGTATGTAAAGCTTGTGTACCTACTTTTTGTTTTATAAATGTGTCGTTGTCCCAGAATGTATTGTAAAAGTAAATTCGGACCATGTTTATCTTATGGGCAAGTATGTTCTCTTTTGGTTAAGAAAATGCTCAACATTTGACACTTGGCTGATTGGCTGAGTGAGTCCAACAACTAGTTAGATGGATGGTATTGCATAGATAAGTAAGTTAGTTAAAAATCCGTAAATGTCCCGGATCATCAAGACCCTTCTTCATCGGCAAGAAACAAGCTGGTAGTTTTCCAATTTGGAGACAGACAAACAAAACAAATGATCCCACTCCCTCTGGTGGTAGCAAAGGGATAGGGCAGGTCACTCGCAAAATTTACTGACCTTGGTTTCATCATTTATTTTCTACTAAAAATATGATTTCACTTTCTAATACATGGAATGACACAGTAAGGCAGGTCATTGTTATTTTTGCCAATAATGATAGGATAGGCAGAAAAACCTTATCTCCACTCACCTGACTTGCTTTCAAAATGTTGAGCAGCTCTTCAAAGACTGTATCTCTGTTTTTGTCCAGAAAGCCTTGACACTCGTACTGAACCTTTAATCAGAGATGTCACATGTCACACCTGAGCCCGAGGCAGATTGGGGATGTTTTTCTCACCGTGTCGGCAAAGTGCAGCACAATGAAACCGCTTGTGGACATGCGTGGCTTCTGGAAGTGTGGGTGAGGCCTGCTGCCAGAGTGCTGCTCATAGAGTTTCCTCACCCAGCTCTCATCGGAGCCTTTAGGCATCTGCCCATTGGGAGAGAGCAAACTCATTACTGCTTGTGTTGTGCAGTTGTGCTTGACCCAGGGGAAAAAAAAATATTTTGGCCATGTTTTTAAGATTATGATTGAGAACACAAACACTGTCTTTTCATTCTTTGTCAGTGGTTTTGTGAAGCCACTTATTGTCAAGTAATCATGTTTTCTATTTTCAAATGTTAAAGACAGCAAAATCTCTACTTCTGACCCTGATCAAAAGTTTCCATCCCCCAGTTCTCAATAGTGTGTTTCCCCTTTAACATCTGTGACTGGAGTCTTTTGTGTTGGTTGTGGATGAGGTTCTTCATCCTCTCTGATGGTAAAGCTGCACATTATTTTCCGCAAAAAAGTCTAAAATCTCAAATATGTCCAAAACAATGACCTTTCTGCCTGGGTGTGTAAACTTTCAAGCACAACTGTACTTATTATTCAAAGCTAAGGGTCAAACATAAGACCCGACTTCTTTAGTGGCCCTTGCAATACATTGGCAGGTTATACCTCATTTTAAAGCTTTTTGTCTGCAGAAAACTTTATTTAATTCAATTTATTCTGTATGTTCAACCAAACAGGTAAATATTCATGATTAATAATATCAATTTGGTTAAATCTCAATGTAACTGAACTAGTTTTGTTCAGAAAAATCTACCAAAAAAGAATATCCAAACTCTGATTTCACTGCTGATTTGAATTCAAGCGTCAGTAATCGTCATATACCACACTTGAGAATGCGATCCGTCCATTTTTGGCACAGCTCTAACTACATATTGTAAACGTGTCCAATCTGCATTAAAAAAGTTACATATTTTCAACAGACGACACATTTTTCGGAGCGTCCGTAGCATACTGACCCTGCACTCCTCGTCCAGCAGGTCCATCAGCCCCAGCTGGCCCTCGATCAGCTGGATGCACGGCTGGTTGTCACTGAAGTCGATCCGGTTCCAGTCCAGCTCCTCGCGAGTGTACTCCTCCTGCTCCAGCTGAAACACATGCTGAGGACACACATGACAGACATCCATCAGACCACACCCAAACAAGTTTATAATTCTTAGCACATGCAGGCTTATATATCGATCTGACAATATGTGCCAATAGAACAAGCATAAAAAGGTTTGAAAAAGACAAACGATTTATCAAATAAATGTAAATGTGCACTATATTGATCCCCGTAGGAAGATTTGTCCTCTGCATTTGACCCATCCTGATGCCACTAAGGCTTACGTCAGGGTGGTGGTCGCCGTAGTAACAGCACCCGGAAACCCATCTCCAGATGTTGATGCTCGGCTTGGTCAGGACCAGAGTTGGAGGATTTAACCTAGTGAGCATATTTTTAGTGGTAGGGGGAACCGGAACACCTGGAGGAAACCTACGGAGACAAACTCCACTTAGAAAGGCCCTGTTCCGACCGGGATTCGAACCAAGGACCTTCTTGCTGAGAGGCGAGAGTGCTATCACCTCAGCCACCATGCCGCCCATCACTTGGAAGTATTGTATATAAAATAAGACCTAAAAATTATCAGGACAACATTCAACTCCATTTCCATAGAATTGTTCTCTACTAGGTTGAACTAAATAGAGAAAGTAGAATGTTTACGAATTTGCTCCAATCACAGCAAATAATGTGTTGGAAAAAGTTGCAAATCTAACATCCCACTAAGGAAAGAGGAAACAAGTAAAAACTATTGTGCTCAGTTAAGACTCGTACCATTGGCTTATTCTCTTTTCAGGCAAATCCAGATACTGAAAAATTGCAGTAACTGAAATAACATTGAGTGCATTTTACCCTGTTGAATTGCTGCTGCAGTTTTTCGTTTGCATAATTGATACAAAACTGCTCAAAGCTATTCTTGGCAAACGTCTCAAACCTGAAAGAAAGAAAGAAAGAAACAACTGAATCACAAAACCAAACATATTCAAATGTGCCCAGACCATTTTACTCAGGCACCCAAATACTCTAATGGGTTGGGATTCAAGATCTTTTGGGGCAGCACTTTTATACCTGCTAAACTGTATTATTTAGGGACTCTTTTTTTTTTTTTTAAATCTGTGGCTATCTATATATATATATATATATATTTTTTTTTTTTTACTATTTATACTCTATTATGGATGTATATATTGACCAAAGGACTACAGTTGGGATTTTCGGCTAGATTTTTATTTTATTTTTTTTATTTTTTTTATTTTACATATTTAGTTCACTTAGGTTTGAAATGAACAAAAATTGATTGATTTTATTTGATTTATTTTCCAATTAAAGGTAAACAATAAATGAAAAGATTATTAGACTGATTCACCCAATTACATTTAGGTTCAATGTTTAGATTAAAATTAATTATATGGATGTGCTCCTCCAACTGGCAGAGAACGCAGCAGGCTGACATGCAGCAGGTGGACATGCAGCAGGCGGACATGCAGCAGGCAGACATGCAGCAGGCGGACATGCAGCAGGCGGACATGCAGCAGGCAGACCACTGGTTTCCACAGAAGGGAACACATCACCCCTGTGTTAGCATCCCTCCACTGGCTCACTGTGCGTTTTAGAATGGATTTTCTGAATAAACTGACCACGTTTAAAGCTTGTTTTGGTCCGGCTCTTAACTCACCCCTCAGCGTTTCCTCGAGGAGATAATATCCTCTTTTAAAGCACTTCTTTAAACCTACTTTTATCAAACGACCTTTCTTTAACTGTCTGTGGTAAACTTCACTTGTTGCATTTTATTGTTCCACATTGTCCTCGTTTTGTCGTTCTCATTGTGTGTTCTCTTTCTGCCTTATTCCCCTGCTTTTCTTTTTGATGTTCTAAACTATTATGACTGGTTTTTTTTATGCTGACTGTGCAACATTATGTAAATACTGTCTTTGAAAAGTGATAATAAAAAACTATTTGTAAATGAGCTTCATAATCAGGTCAGAATCATCTGGGGGCCTCATCTGGATGGGCCCCTGTTCTATCTCATGACACAGAAGGCTGCAGCAGACCCGTATATATCCAGCACTCCGATGAAGCTCTTGGGCTGCGCTCGGTGACTCCGGAGGGAGGAGTTGAGCCGGTGCACAGTCCATGTGAACGTCTGGCCATAGATGTGTTTTGACAGGGCGTCACGGGCCTCCAGAGCCTGCTGCCCAGTCACCGGCTTCACCAGGGTCTCCCCCCCCACGGTCAGCCTGCGGTTACAGAGCCAGTGGGCCACCTGAGAGCCCTCCACGCCGAGCAGAGCAGAGAAGATGGACAAGGAGCTGTCGTCCGCCTACGGGAGAGAGTCAAGTACAGGTCATATCAAAGGCCATGTGTGTAGTCAGATTAAAGCTTTGAAACAACAACTAATATATTTACAATTCCTTATATGTACTACTTAAGAATTTAAGAATCAAAATGAATATTTGAAATCCTGTTTAAAGCTGGGATACCGCAATTTATTAGTTTATTAAATTCATATGGACACAACAGTTGCATTGGACAGACCAGATGCACTGCCTTTAGTGTTAGAGCAAGACCAGGCTAATGCACACATTTAAACATTTACAAATATAAAAGTAATTAAATATACAGTTCATTAATCATGTGAACAACGTTGCTCCGATTTTAGCCACAGTGTCAGACGTCTGACGAAGATGTTTAAATCTGTTTGTAGTTTTAGGTCAGTGGAAAGAGCGTTCCACAGTTTACCACAAAGAATAAAATCCATCTAACTAGTACCTCGCTCTCAAAACTCGTGCACAAATACTGTATAGGATATTATTGTCACATCTTTAAATAATCTTTTTCACACAGAAAAGTGGAAAAACTGCTCCAATCAGCTTTCAATATGTAACGGAAAAAGTTAAAGACAGCATTTATTGGTCTAATTTTTTCACAAACAAAAAAAACATGTTTTTGAGTTGAGTATTTTGTCAAGTAAATAGAGCTTTGGCCCCCGTTTACTTTGTGGGTGCTATCCATACCCATGTCATAACTAGGAATAAGGAATAATTAAAACATAATGTCAAATGTTATAGATTTTATTAATCATATATAACTTTTTAGGTTTTTTTATAGTTACATTTTATCTATCCCAACAGAAAGAGTTAAGTGTTACTGATTAAAAAAAGAATCTGAGCTAAATATGTGACAGAGACCAAAAAGCATGCCTGTGTGTGTAAGTGGGTTTTACATGGATTTAATTACAACTATTTATCATCTATATTCATTTCATACCTTTTTGTGGTTTCAAAGTTAGATACTATAATAATAATGATAATAATAATATGTTTTATTTATATGAATTATGTACAGTCATTTTAGCCTCTGTTATAGATAGTCACACGTGTTAATTTGGTTTTAATATCTACAGTAATTCCTTATTTCACTGTTTGAAACTCAGGTAACCCAGCTTTAATATGATATGAACATGTTTCAGTGTGATGTGGGTGGGCTTGTTTACATTATTCGAGCTTCCTCTTAGTTCAAATATAAAATATCAAACAGAAAAAGTCACTTACATCGATGTAACTTCTGTCTGAGTTCCTCCCACTAGATCTGATGCTCACATTTCCCAAATGAAGAATCGCTGCCAGGATCCGAAACAGCTCCATCTGCTGCTCAGCCTTCACTCCTGCAACACCAAGCACACATTCTATGAGGAGCTTGTTGATTGGCTATAAAAAAGTATATTTATTATTAGTGTATAATGTCATGTTGCCTAAAACAGTGAGAGCGTCAGACGTGCGCTTTAACTCTGCCAGATCGTTGGTCCCAGGGATGTGGCCTCCCTGACCCGTGTAGCGGAAGTCCTCAGGTGCACCTGTCACATGACGAGAGTTAGAGCTGCTGCACATTCTTTACAAATTATAAATACAAGATATGTTTTTACGCAGTTTGAGTTCGCCCAGCTCAGGGTAGTTTCTGGCAGAACAAAGTTGGTAAAAGATGTGGTAGTTTCTCTCTGAAGTGGCCTGTGTGCGTCACAAATGAGTTTTTAGTTTGATTCATTCAAGCAATTAGTGAATTCATGAATTATATTCAGTTGTTTCATCGACTGCACGGTTAATATAGATGCATACGTACACTGTACGTACACTGTGCGTACACTGTGCGTAAGCTTTATTTATATAGTTTACAATTGTTGCGTGGCGGTGCCAGTACAGGAGGCACATGCCAGACCTATTGGACATATTTTTAGTGGTAGGGGAAACCGGAGCACCCGGAGGAAACCTACACAGACACGGGGAGAACATGCAAACTCCACTCAGAAAGGCCCTGGTCCAACCGGGATTCGAACCCAGGACCTTCTTGCTGAGAGGCGAGAGTGCTATCCACTCAGCCACCGTGCCGCCTGTAAATACACTGTGTTTCTCTCTGTGTTTTTTGTGTATCTTGTGTGTATTGTAACTTGTATATGACAATGTTTTTGAAAATGTGTTTCCTTCAGGGGACAATAAAGGTCTATTTATCTTTATTCTCAAGGAAAAAATAAATATATCAAGCGGCCAATATAAATATTTGGCTCAGAACATAATTCACATTAGATCTTTGGTCAATCTCTTTACATTTAGCATTAATATGTGTTTTGATGACAAACAGTTCTATGCTCCGTTACACTGGGAGAACATGCAAACTGATAAGATAAGATAAGATAAGCTTTATTTATCTCACATAGGAGAAATTTACATGTCACTCGGTAAGGCCCTGTGCCATCCAGGAGCCAAAACCAGAGCTTGTTATCTGAGCTTTACTGATATTATTATTGACAATGGATTGATAATAACATATATGTGAGTGGTTCAAACCTGAAAAACAACCCTGGACTTCTCCAAAAGGTAAGTCCTCATGTTGGCTCCGATGATGTCTCCTTTTTTGCCAAAGCCGATCTCGATGTACTTCCCGAAGCGGCTGCTGTTGTCATTTCTGATGGTCTTAGCATTGCCAATGGCCTGTAAATACATCCGAACACACGAATGAACTGGTCCTAATGGCGATTTAAGGCTGTATATGTGACAGCCGTGCACACTCACCTCCATGATGGGGTTCGAGGCCAGGACCCTCTCCTCCACACTGGTCTGCTGCACGGCCCCCCCCACCACCGCAAAGTAGCGCATTGTAAATTTGGCAGACACTGTTTTGCCTGATCCCGACTCTCCACTGATAATAATGGACTGGTTTTTCTCCTCTCTAAAATGTGAAGATGAAAACATACTGAATATAAAGGGAGTTATTTTGGTCACCCTTAATTCATGGATTAATTCAGGATGGATTCATGCTAAGATTAAGAGGTTAAGAGATCCTTTGTCCCACAGTGGGGAAATGTAAGCGTTGCATCAACAGTTCAGAACAGTGGGAACGAAGGGCACACAGCAAAAGATAAGTGAACAATAACTACTAAAACAACAGCTTTTGGATAATACACAAGCAAGTAAAAAACCTCCAACTTTAGTATATTAAAGAATCAAGAATTAAGTATAACATCTCTGATAATAGCTTAATAAAGAAGTATGGAAAAAATGACTTGAATTCATGAATGAAGGACTTGAGTTTCTCAGTGAACATTAACTTATCATAGTTGTAATGAAAACCAGAGGCATTCATCATGAACTATCATGACTCATCTTCATTCATCATGAACTATCATGACTCATCTTCATTCATCATAAACTATCATGACTCATCTTCATTCATCATAAACTATCATGACTCATCTTCATTCATCATAAACTATCATGACTCATCTTCATTCATCATGAACTATCATGACTCATCTTCATTCATCATAAACTATCATGACTCATCTTCATTCATCATGAACTATCATGACTCATCTTCATTCATCATGAACTATCATGACTCATCTTCATTCATCATGAACTATCATGACTCATCTTCATTCATCATGAACTATCATGACTCATCTTCATTCATCATGAACTATCATGACTCATCTTCATTCATCATGAACTATCATGACTCATCTTCATTCATCATAAACTATCATGACTCATCTTCATTCATCATGAACTATCATGACTCATCTTCATTCATCATGAACTATCATGACTCATCTTCATTCATCATGAACTATCATGACTCATCTTCATTCATCATGAACTATCATGACTCATCTTCATTCATCATGAACTATCATGACTCATCTTCATTCATCATAAACTATCATGACTCATCTTCATTCATAAGTCAACACAATCATAAACTAACCATGATTATATCATGACATCATCATGACTTCATGATGAGTTCATGTTCACTTTGAAACTCATGATGATCATCATTAATGTCCTTCATTAATTAACTCATGCCATTAGCATTAATTCATGTATGAATTACCATGAACTCATCATGATGAATTGGTAATAGTGTGTGTCTGACCGGGTCATGGTGCGGTACGCCTCCTCTGCCACAGAGAAGATGTGAGGCTCCATGTCGGCCATGTCCTGCCCGTTGTAGGCGTCCATCACCTCCTCTCCGTACAGAGGCAGCTGCTCGTACGGGTTGATGGCCACAAGAACTATACCTGCACAAACATGAAAGAGCCAGGAACTAGCTACACAGATTTGAACTACATTTGTTTGTGATCTGAGATTTAGTCCTGATGCAGGATGTTCAGTTCTGGCTAAATGCTGTGACTCCATTGGGTCACAGCATGAGTATCGGTGTCATGGCAACACATGCATTGGTACAGAGATATGAAGAGTTTTAGATATTGTTGTAGATTGTGTATGAAACTGTTACACTTATATACTTTTATACTGCAAAGCAAAATCGTCATGACATGTTCTTCTCTGCTCGTCCTACCACAGTAGGTGTAGATGCTGTTGTAGTCCTGGAAGCGGACTCTTAGTGTGTGGAGAACCGCAGCCTCGTGGAGAAAGCTCAGAGCGGTCAGGTCATTCTCTCCTTCCATGATGTCCGGATTCCCCAGAGGTGGCAGCTCCGACAGAGACGGCACAGGGAAATCCATTTCCTTAAGAACCCAGAACGAGAGGAATCCTTGTTAGGATTAATGACAGGAATGATAATAACACCTTTTATGGAGCACTTTTTAAAGCGCTGTTAGCAGATCAACAATTTAATTCAATACAATAAAGAACAACACATAGTCTGTTAAAGGAAGATTGGAATTGCAACATCACATTCCAAAGAGACCATAAAATAAAACTGTGGTGGAGAGCAGTCTTTCCTGGAAATTAGTGTTAACTGTTAGATTTCTTGTTTTAATTTAGAACTTTTTTTAGATTATTATTCACATAAAAACGATCACATTTTACATATCTATTTTTAAATATTTTGTTTGTCAGTATATGTCATCTATGGTTTAATTTATTTTCTCATAAAGGTGTTTAGAATTGGTCATAATATTTAAAGAAGCTAATCACTGTTGTGGTGCTACCTTCAGGTGGAAGATTGATCCTCAGACCTTAGAAGCTAAGCAGGGCAGGCCCTGGTTAGTTATGTGATGGTAGTAGCTGCCACAATGTGATGACTGCGGCTGTAAAGCGCCAAACCCACATGATCTCGTATCTGAGTCTGGAGTGTGAGTGAATGGTTGGTGGTGGTACTGAGAGCGGCTTTGAGTGTCCAAAAAAGAACCAATGCATTATTTTGTATTACTTAATCTGAGATAAACGTTTATTCAAGTTGAGTGGTATTGGTACCTGCCCTCAAATTGAAATAGAGCTCCTGGACATGAATGTAACTTTTGTGTGTGTGTTTTATCTTCTATGTGTATGGAACAAGGTCATACCAAGGCTGAGGCGTGATCCTTAGAACCTTTTTACAAAACGCACAGCAGGGAGCAAGTGGATGGACATTAAAACAGAGGTGACCTTCTTCCTTCTGTCCAAAGCAGTGAGAAGTCTATGGCCAATGTCTAAACTACCGTTCCATTGTTGAGTTGCAGATGGAGAAATCTTTCTTCAGGGTTGAAGTCCTGCAAGAGTTGAGCTGAAGCCCACACGGCGTCTTCATCAGGCACCCACACAGTCGCTCCCTGTAAGAGATAAAATCATACAACAACATAAAAATATAAGAAGAAAATCACCTCAAACTCTGCTAAGATTAAGCTGCTGTCATTTGATTCTTAGTCTGATATGGCAAGTTTTCATATAATCCATAAGGTGACAAATTATTTAGTTCAATAAAAAGCTCAGTAGTCATCACATCCATTCACTGCTCAGGATTCCACCCACTGCATATTTCTGTCACATCAGCGAAAACGCTCTGAAACAGCTCTTAAACAGCGTTAAAGATTAACACCACGTCTTATTTTGCTTACAACATGTGTTTCATTCTATACATGCACTCATTCATTTCCTCGCCCTTATTTTTCAACAATTTTAGATTTATTTTTGTATGTGTTGAATTTAAAATGTATTTCAGCAATGATGTCCAAATACATAAGAAAGGGAAAATATGGGTCATTGCTTGAGATTGAGAAGACTTTTTAATGTTTAGAAGTGAAATCCATTATTGTGGCTACATTAACACAATATTTCATAGTCATAGCTGCATAAGTATATGTTTGAGAAGCGGAAAAGTGAAAGCCATCAACCAGCCAATATATCAAAATGTTTGTAGTTATGAGATATCTTTTTTTGTTCAGAAAAGCAGGTAACCGCAAACCAAACATGCCATGGACTCCAATTTCAATTAACTTTTTTTCTTTTTTTTTTACAAAATACATAAAATATTTCACTTGGATTTTGAAGAGACACATCTCCCATACTAAGTTAAATCAAATCTAAAGCTTTTGCTGCATTCAAATTGGTTCCATCAATCATTTACGCACTTCTAAAACCTTTGCAAATCCTGAATTAAATAGAGTTCAGATTCACATTTCTAACACATTTCCAAGTCTTACCTTGCAGTAAAGTTCCAGAGGTCCCATCACAGCCGTTTGGGAATCGTTCTGGCTCCTGTGTGTCCTTCATTCATCCAACCCGGCGTCTGTCCAATAATATTGCTTGCACTTTGCTCACACAATTAAGTTAAATGTTAATCCAGAGCAGGATACAGCGGCTGGATAGGCCAACACTGTATCACCATAGCAACAACAGCAAGTTTTAGAATTAATTTTAATAATACAATCAATTTTCAACATACAGCCTTCTGACACACACAAAAAGACAGGATTTCGGTGGATCCATAGCATTAATAATAATAATATTAATAATAGGGGTAGAGACAAAGGAGGCAGAGTGTCGTAACATGAAGTTTTTTAAAATCCTGGTACATTAATTTCAATGTTAAATAGCATCAAAAACACCTGTTGATTACAATGGAGGAGCTCTCATGTAGAATTGTGGTCAGTCTATATTCAGGTTAAATTACAGTTGTTTTTATTATTATTTTAAATTACAAAACAAAATGTCTCCTCTTTGGTCAATACTGAAAAAGACTCATTTGCTTCATTGCAGTCCGGGATAAAAATTAAAAAAAGGGTAGAAAAGGGTGATTGTCACAAACACTGTTTATGTCCACTTCATAGTAGCATCAATCAAATCAATTCTCAACTAAAACAATCTTAAATAATCAAAATCATTTGGGCGCAAGGTCCCAGTCAGTTAAATGATGCAGAGTCCAAAGAATCCATGATGCGTTTGCGACAGTGGTGAAGAGGAGGACGTCAGCATGTTTGTGGCAAAAATAATCAAATACGCTTGAGAAGTTTGAAACCTGTGAAACAAAGTGACAAATTGTTACAAGTTAAAACGATAGAGCTACATCAAAAGTTATGTAAAATATCTACTGCTTTTAAACCGACCCTTTGTGAGATTGAAATCATGGTATTTTGTCTGGTATTGAGAGAAATATTTTTGCTTTTTCTAGTTTTTTCTTTGAATTTGTGATTTTAAAAAGTGCATTACAAAACTTTGCAACTATAGCTAGTAGAATGTGAATACTCAATCAGACTTAACTGATTTTAAGTAATAAAGATTACTAGATTACTTACTTAACGCGAGCTATTTTAGACATCCAAAGACCCTTATCACCCATCAGCCCCTCCGACCACCCCCAACTATTCACCCTCACACCAAACGAATGGATGACGTGAGAGGCGTCATCACTTCAACTCAATAGATCCCTGCGCTTCACGATTGTCACTTTATACTACAGTTAAAGTGGGTTTTCTTATGAGTTGTTCCTCTGATGCAGGAGGGTCTGTTGGACAGTTAGTGTCCAACTAGACGGACTGTGATGATCCAGGACACTTTAACATTCTACTACATGTATGACATTTATCAACATGTGTTCTATGTTCTTTATGTGTTTTAACTGTTGATTCTCTGATCTGTGTTGGTGATTTCAATGGTTTTGTTAAGTCTCTGAGATGACTTCTCTTGTGATTTAGGGCTATACAAGAATAGATTGTATTGTATTGTAGTGTTAAAGATGCTCTTTTGAAGAAGTGACTTAACTTAGCTCCATTACAGATCATAACCGAGGAGAAGAGTGCTGTCTCAATGTAAACATTTGTATTGAAACATTTTTAAATAAACATTTGAAGCAAGCATGTCCAATGTTTCTGTTATAAATCATCTCCAGGTAGATTTTGGAAAGTCCATTTATGAGAGAGGGTGGCTGCAGGTGTGGCCAAGACCAGAGTGAGATCAAATTAATGCCACTTTGATAAAAGGTCAATGAAAGGGGACGAGAAGGAAATAGGTATTCTTGTGTCATTTCAGATGCAGCCACAGTTCTTTCATTTCCAGACTGAACTTTAATGTCACCACGGTCAATGCAGGGAGACAGAAATGAAGTATGCTGCTCTAAGTGATGATGATGATGATGATGATGATGATGAAGTCTCCCCAGACTGGACGGACCTGTGCTATACATTCTCGCTGCCCTCGCTGGCGTCTCCCTCCTCCTTCTGCGTCTCTCCTCCGTTGGCGGCCTCCTCCACATGGGCCAGCATGTCGGCCATAAGTGCCTCCTCCAAGCGTTTTCTCACACTGTACACCAGCTCCTCCTGCTTCCTACAGGCGCACACAACAGGAAACCGTTACACGCTTTTAACCAACTACTACTCACTCCACTTCTAAGAAAAGCTTTGGGTTGAGCAATAACAGTGTCCTTGAAATGGTTTGCATCTGGGGAAATGGAGACGTTGGTTTTAGTGACCAGGGAAGCTACAGGTTTACTCAAGTTTAAGACCTTTTAGGAAACAGGTAATGCCACCATTGTAGGTAAACAAACATATATAATACATATTTGGTGGATAATCTAGAGTATAACCAATAAAATTTGTTTTGTTTGTCACGCACTGCTGCTACTTTAAAATGAATTGCTGGTAAATACAGACTTGGGGCATTCATCATCATTTAAACGGTTATAGGAGGATTATCCCGAATACCAAGAGGAAATGCCTATTAAAACCATAGACTGTATATATTAACGGACGTAGTCACACCTATCTCTGCCGTTCTAACTAATGGGCCAAACATTGGGCTTTCATGGAGTGATTCAAAATGGCCGCGGGGGCTGGAAAATGTGAAAAAAAACGCATCTGCGCATGAGTCAGCCGAACGAGTGACTTCAAAAATTCACAGCGACTAAACTAGAGTGGTACAAAACACTCCCCTCAGCATTGACACACATGTGGAACGGAGCTTTGGGCCAAGAGACAACTTTTGGACCATCCTGTAAAGACGTTTGAGAGGTAAGAAAGAAAGAAGAAAATCCTCCTGTATACCTTTAACTCAGAGGTCTCATATATGCGGCCCACGAGCCATTTGCGACCTGTGAAACGGTATTTTGTGTTCCCTTACAGGACATCAAAGTTTAAGGCCCCCACAGTCCGGGCTAATATGGCATGTTGTGTATAATTTTATATGATTAGAAATATTGAACCCTGAACGCAGTAATTAAAATCATTCAAATCTAATTATTACAGTTTACACAAAGCCTTTGGTCCTATTAGGTCTGTGTGAAAACCGCAATCATAGTCAACAAATGTTAAAAATAGTATACACATAACACGATGAGATAAATGAGTTATAGACTGGATTTTCAGAACTGGATTTTGTTGGATTTTGAGACCAACCTGATGTCCTCGTCTGTGACTATAAACGCCTTGCACAAAGGCTGTGTTGTGTTGAGCCACACTCCGGGGTTCTTCTCCACCGCCGCAGACAGCTGACCTGTGATGGGAGCCGCGCTGGTGTGCAGAGCGCTGGCGATGGCCGAGAGCAGGGTCTTGTCCGTGCAGCCGGGCCCCACACCTGACCACAGAGTCAGAGGTCAGGACATGTACAGCTGACCCTTCACAACGTCATGAAACACACTGTACCTTGTAAACCTTTGGGCAGATCCATCGTTTTGACAAGTTCTTCTGCGATGTCGAACGCATTGAGACCACTAAGCTTCTTCTCCCAAAATAACTGCAAAACAAAAGCACTTGTAAACATTTGGATACATTTGTTTATTTGGTCAATCTGGGAAAATAATGATTTTCTTCCTCTTTTGGGTCTCTCTTGATTTCAGTTTTTTATTTTTGTTGAAACTGAGACATACTTGGGAAACGTGAAGACTAAAAATCTTAAATTTTTTTTGTTATTTCATGAAGAACATAAGCAATGGCCTTTTGTTATTAAGCAAAGTGTTATTTTATGTATATTATATCAAAGTATAATATTGGCGTTGCCAAACGCCTGGCAAAGAAATGGCTCCTGTCAAATCAATCTTGCATCCACATGTAACTGGATGTATGTCTGTATGTGTGTTCTGAGGTCTAAAAGAGTAGACCTGAGTAAATGAAAGGTGTGTGTATAAGAGTTTGTATCTGATTGTTGTGCATGTGAAGATTTGCTTTTACTATTATGAACTTGATCAATGCAAATGCCATTATCCATGTGTGCATGATGTTTTTATGTTTTTTACTATAACATCAGCCTGCCCAGGGACTACGGGTGGAAATTAGCTCTTGAGCTATAACTTGGTACAATGCATCTCTCCCCTTGGGGTTAATGTTTATTGTACACTGTCCCTGTTTCTCTAAATAAAGAAAATTACAAATTACAAAGTAATTTGTGGAAAGACCTGAATACTGCTGCTCACAAATGCTCTCCATAATCTGGCAGGACATCAGGTGTTTTCTAAGGACAAATGGGCAAAAGTTTCAGTCTATAGATGTGAACGTTTGTAGAGTTATACCCCAGAAGAAAGAAGGCTGTGATTGCAGAAAAGTCCCTACATTTCTAATTGTATTATCTATAAAATAACTCCAAAGTTGTTTGTTACTTTGTTGTGGTCTTCCAAGGAAAATGCAGGAGCAAAGTTTTACAGCAAATGTATATAAGCCACACATTGTAAAAAGGCAACTGACACTTTCCGTCTATTCATATTCTTCAACCCTATGATCGTCATCTTTCCATTTGAATTACCATAAAGATTGAGAAAAGTAGAATTTCTTGAACACTGGCTTCTTCTCACCTGTCGCGGCTGGTCTACTGCTTTCTGAGGATCCGTCTTCACTTTGTTGTTGGGATGATTGGTGACTTTTGTGACCGGCTGTTTGAAGATGGAGGCCGTCTGTCTGACCGGGAGTGACGTGTTCAAGTCTGGTTTGCCCTAAACGCACCAAGAGAATATTTACATAATCGCCTTTGCTACTGTTCCGACTGTATGTGCCGACGTGATGGACCCACCTTGTTCTGGCTGTTGTTGTCGTACCTCATCCTCTGCCGGTTTTTGTTGAGTTTGCTCATCAACATCTTTCCTGTGCGGAAATCAAAAGAGCTCAGGTCCATCTGGTTTCCGAGGTATCGAGCCAGTTGTGGCTTGCTCCGAAACTTCTTCCCAGACGGACTGTTGTAATGGTTAAAAAAAACAACAACATTACACACAGAATTCAGCCAAATAACAAGAGCTTCACCAGATCACTAGGACATCAAAAGACAAGACCACAACATGCAGTAAATGAGATCACAAAGAGCCAAATGATCAAACTTTGACAGAGATGAATGCAGCTGATCTGGTTGTAATCCTATTCCACTGAATGCTGATAGTCACGGGATGTTTGCAAAGATACCATCACAACCACTTACAACGATTCATGATATTATGTTCATGATAATGCTGCAAAAACAAAATAAAAAACTACATGGGAAGAATAGAAGCAGCTGGAAAGCGATGACCATCAGCTGTGATACGTGCTAGATAACCATGCATTGTATTCATATATTTTTTTTTTTACATCACACCACGTTTAACACGTATAAATGCAGTTGTCCTACCACAAACTATACAACCGACCCGCCTCCCCCCTCTCCTGCCTCTGCTCCTCATCTTGCTCTTCTCCTCTGCTAATAGAAAACGGTGGTTGGGACATTTCAAAAGGAATTTAATTGGGATGATCCAAACAAATGGAACCGTATAGGCCTAGTAGTGTGTGTTTATTCATTTGGCATCCACCACAGCGGGGGCCTGCACAAACAACCCCCACCCTCACCCCAAACTTTACGCGTAACAGTCCCCAACTTTTCAATATGTTCGTATATCCTCTTTATAAAACTCAAACTGTTAGTGTTGTACCTAAAATAATACACGTCGCTTTTCCCAGCGGACAAACCGGACTTTCTGGTCACTTCTTCCATTTTCCAGCCCTTGGGAAGAGCGGTGCAATCCCACCTTTTCTTCTCCATAGCGCACGGATCTGTCTCGATCTTTAAATAATAAGGAGGTAAAGAAGTGGGGCGCCTCGGTGGACGTGCGCGGAGCCTCTTCACGCCTTTGTCTGGGCCATAATAAAGACGGAGCGCGCCTGGAGAGGATCAAGCCGAGGAGAGAACACTACAGGCGAGCTGCGTCCTTTGTGTGGGGCAGATCGCTCCGCCGTGCGTGGACCGTGGCCTCATCACTACCTGTCTCCATGTTGGCCCACAAAGGCTACATCCGCAAGGGTTGGAAAACACGTCAAATATTAGGACGCGAAGGACGTGGCCTGGTGCGTTTCGGTTTCTGCGCGTAAAATATCTTAAAACAAGCTCGGATCAAGATTGACAAATACTAAACTCACAAATAATCTCTGCTGCCAACTATATCAGTGTTTAGCAGCAAAGTCTGAACGATCAGTTTACAAACAAACCGTAAATAATAATACAATGGCTCATTCTTGTATGGTTATTAGGTAATTGCGTTTAAAGGCACAATGTTGCAGACAGATGACAGATACAGGATTTGCCATTTTTGTTTTTATTTTGACAGGCAGCCGGAAGTCTCCAATGTCCTTCCAAAAAGGACAGTCATGTTGCAATCGCACATAAATAAAACCACGTCCACAAATACAACGTAAATACTCATGGGTAATCAAGAATAGTCCATAGATACAACGCGTCTTCTTCTGCGCCGTGCGTCCGCATCAAACGCCCCGGTGTGGAGGACTTTTCGAGCTTTCGACACACAATGCCTTCCGTTGTCATTAAACCAGGACTGCAGCCGGCTTTTATGAATGAAGAAAGTAGATCTCCGCTATTAAGACATGCATCCGCTTCTGGAGGCTTTTATTTTAGTATGTGGAACTGGACCGAACGCACGCTCAGGATGCATTTGACCTGTCCTTTTTGCGTGCATGTAAAAAAAAAAAAAAACGCGCAACGGTAAACTATCGCTGCACGAATGAAAATGTTACACTGTGTCCGCGCATGACATTTCCAGAGCAGTCCAGCGAGTGCAGCTGATGATAACCACCACGACCCACAGCGCAAGCCCCTTCGCGAATGCACCACTGCGAAACTGGCGCATTCGTGCAAATAACCGCAAATAAACGCGCACAAAGAGAGAGGCGTGGGGAAGAGGTGTACTTACTCGTTTTTATCCATCTTGGAGACAGTGCAGCGTTCCTTTCCCTCTCGCTATGTTAAATCCCTTCTCCCCTCTCCTCTTTCAGAGTCCCCTCCCCCTCTACAGAACAAATCAAAGGCATTATCAGCGCTGCCTCCATATAATGAGAATAATGTCTGTAAACGCGGCGCGGCTGCAGAGGTGCACTGACAAAAAACGTTTGCAGCTGCCATTTCTTAGACAATTACAAAAAGTGTAATTTTCTTATCTATTTCTTGCTACAGGTGCAGGCACGCAAATAACAGGCTAACAGTAGAGCAATACGAAACAAAATATATAGATTTATTTTTCATACTTTTTATATTGTTAAGGAACATAGATTTTGAACACAGGGCCCCTATTGACACATTGTAAAATTGACATAAATAACAGAGTTCATTTTTCTGGTAGTTTGGAAAGACTGGAGCGACGGAGCGACACGGTCTCGATCTCAGATGTGGTCCTGGAAGAAGAAAAAGGAATTCTGTGAAAGAAACGTGGAAATAAATGGACACTAATACTAATAATAATAATAATAATAAGGAGAGGACATTGTAATGCAACAAGTTCAATGTCCTACTTTGATAAATAAGTTGAACAGAGTGTGCAAATGACAGTGAAATAACTTTAACCAGGTACAGAGTTGATTGAGAATGTTATTAACCCTTTACATCAAAAAAAGCATTAGTGATGTTCATGTGCCGAGTGTGTATACTTTTTTATTGAGATACATACATGATTTGCATTTACTTGAATAAAAGGTCAATACACAAAAAAGGCTACAGCTTTAACTTAGAGAGTTTGTTTATTAAAGCAGCACATTGCATCCAAAAATGTAAATATTGTTATGATATAAGTGCAAGTGAAATATTGGTTTGCTTCATTACTTTACCATTTGCTGTGAGAGCAACAGACTTCATGGTTAAGAGCAAAGGCTGCTGTTCCAACACGGTCAGCACTAGATCATGTACGGAACCAGGACGGAAGCGGAAGTAAATATAACAAACTACCTATTCATGCCTAAACTTAACCAGCCATTCCATAAAATAACCCACCTTAACCCTAACCTTAACCATCTTACTCAGACCACCTTAAGCCTGACCTTAACCATCTTACTCAGACCACCTTAAGCCTGACCTTAACCATCTTACTCAGACCACCTTAACCCTAACCTTAATCATCTTACTCAGACCACCTTAACCCTAACCTTAACCATCTTACTCAGACCACCTTAACCTTAACCATCTTACTCAGACCACCTTAACCCTAACCATCTTACTCAGACCACCTTAACCCTAACCTTAACCATCTTACTCAGACCCACCTTAACCCTAACCTTAATCATCTTACTCAGACCACCTTAACCCTAACCTTAACCATCTTACTCAGACCACCTTAACCTTAACCATCTTACTCAGACCACCTTAACCCTAACCATCTTACTCAGACCACCTTAACCCTAACCATCTTACTCAGACCCACCTTAACACTAACCCTAACCATCTTACTCAGACCCACCTTAACACTAACCTTAACCATCTTACTCAGACCACCTTAACCCTAACCTTAACCATCTTACTCAGACCACCTTAACCCTAACCTTAACCATCTTACTCAGACCACCTTAACCCTAACCTTAACCATCTTACTCAGACCACCTTAACCCTAACCTTAACCATCTTACTCAGACCACCTTAACCTTAACCATCTTACTCAGACCACCTTAACCCTAACCATCTTACTCAGACCACCTTAACCTTAACCTTAACCATCTTACTCAGACCACCTTAACCCTAACCTTAACCATCTTACTCAGACCACCTTAACCTTAACCATCTTACTCAGACCACCTTAACCCTAACCATCTTACTCAGACCACCTTAACCTTAACCTTAACCATCTTACTCAGACCACCTTAACCCTAACCTTAACCATCTTACTCAGACCACCTTAACCCTAACCTTAACCATCTTACTCAGACCACCTTAACCCTAACCTTAACCATCTTACTCAGACCACCTTAACCCTAACCTTAACCATCTTACTCAGACCCACCTTAACCCTAACCTTAATCATCTTACTCAGACCCACCTTAACCCTAACCTTAATCATCTTACTCAGACCACCTTAACCCTAACCATCTTACTCAGACCACCTTAACCCTAACCATAACCATCTTACTCAGACACCTAAAACTTAACCAGTCACCATTTAAGGACGTATTAGTCTAAAACTAATTCGAAAGAAGGACTGCTACTTCCGGTTTCGTCCCGATTCCGTTTATGATCTAGTGCCGACCGTTCCACCATGCAGATATATTCATTTGAAAGAGGAAAATGTTTCAATATAAATCTTTATAAATCTAAACTGGTCACCATGGGGCCATATGATTGGGTAGAACTGGCCCCGTCTACACTTACCACTTTAACCAGCCATCACTCGTCCTTTTTAAACTTCCCGTTCACATATGGCACGTAGTCCAGGATTAACCGCCAGTCTGTGAAGTGGACCAGCGCCACACCGCCCACCGTCCCCCAGGCCACCATGTTGGGAACCCTAGAATGGAACAATGCAATCATACCAGTATATTTATAAAAAGGTCTTGGGGGTGGTAAAAATACTCAAAAATGCTAACATTAGTTTAGAGACTAGACTCAATTGAGAAAGCACTAATATGTTTTTATTGAGCAAGCACTAATATAAATATTTTTTTTTAATTCACAAACGAGATTTTTTAAAATATAATGTAGAAATGTATCTGATGAACTGAAATTGCGGAATAATAAAAATTATTATCAAGGTCTATTGTATTGAAATAAAGTTTTAAAATGTTAAAATAAATATCTACCACTAAATGCTAGTTTTTATCTTGAAGGGGACATTTAATGCTAAAATCTGTAAAATTAGATAAGTAAGTAATTTGTCCCAACAGATGATCTTGTCAAAGTTAAATGTTGAACACCAATAAGACATCAACATTGTCATCTTTCGCAAACCTATTATTATAGAGTCACTAGTTGACGCTATGGGCTGAGGAAGGGTGGTCCTCAGACAGAAGATCTAAACACGTGAATACACCAGGATATTTTTGGATCGCTGTATTAAAATGTAGTCTCGTTAAATCCAGTAAGAGAACACAGAAACAGCTGCAAAAGTCCGGACAGTGGGAATATTGCTTGAGCAGCGTTTATCAGCAGGACAGGTCACCCGAGTTAATTCCACGCCACAGAGAGACGCGGGCAGCACAAGGACACGCAGACTCCGGGGACTTCAACAAACCACAGATTCTGACCCACTTTCACGGCACACCACTCACCACGTCCTCACGATGGATATATATTTACTCCCGATGATTTTGTTGAGTATTTTCTGCACCATCCTGACCTTCTGCAGCAGTGCTTGTTGATAATGGCAGCGTAGGACCCCACTACACCAGGCTGCCCTCTCTACTGCCTGTTTAGAAAGACAGTTACAGATTTATAGTCAGGCAATAATGGGGGCAGCGCTCAGTGACCCTTTGTTTACAAGTGTAGAGGATGTTCTATGTTGAGCTTATACAAAATGCTGTAATTATAATGACAGTTACAGATTTATAGTCAGGCGATAATGAGGGCAGCGTGTCATGGATCTGACAGTAGAGGATGTTTTATGTAGATCTTATACAAAAATCTGTAATAATAATGATGCCTCTATTTTAAACCATCAAATAGCTCTGGCTTTTAGTTCTGTCTGTAATATTTATTTTATTTGAGATATATGGTACACAATTTGTCTGTACTTGACTTGTAGTTCTAGTGATAATAGACACAATAATATTAATAACAATATCCATCCATCCATTTTCTTCCCCTTAATCCATTTCTGGGTCAGGGGGGGTGGCAGTCAGAGCTGCACCCAGTCCACAGAGCACCAGCTCCTCACTGATCCTCCTGCAGGTGGTGAGTCCACAGGAGCTGAGATCTTTCAATAACAATAAGAAGTGCTTAATCAACGATTTTAAATCCTACTACAGCTAGAAGCGACCCCCTCTTGATTGTTTTCTTGCGCCCTCTAGAGGTGCTACTTGTCATCTTCTGGCGTTAACTCACTGCATTGATCCATTGAGACAAATACTCCCAATAATAAACCCTACTATCGTTTATTGAACTACATAGTCTCTCTGAATGATCAAAGACCATTAACTTCACTATAGTTTTCAAATTAAACATGTATAATACTGCTTATATTCTTCTCAATCAGATGTATGAATGAATCATGGGATGCATGGCTTTCCATTTTACTGTGTTCCATCTTTACCCACACTCATTTTAAGTTAAATAAATAAATAAAAACATTTGATACAATTCTTTATTTTATTTTTTTTCCTTTTATTTTTATGTAGGCTATACAATGTTCAAATGCCACACACTGGAAAAAGTATAATCTGTCATCAAAATGGCACATTTATTGCTACATTACTGTTATATACAAGACAGTTCAACTATATATATTTATTTATATGTATATAAAACAGGAGTGAGAGGGAAGTCCGTCACCAAGCCGCCAGACTGTCCCAGCCTCACCCTTTTCAACCCCCGTAATTCAAAGATGACCAACTATAGTTGATATTTTTTAAACCTGTTTTACAAATGAGTTCAGGCTATAAAAATGAGATATTTGTATAAATAGCATTTAGTTTGTGCGCCTAAATCGAATGATAATGTTTGGACATGAAATTGTGTTTTACTGAATGATATAATCTAGTCACACCAATTTGACCTGTGATAAATGGACATATTCATTTAACTCATTTATTGTAGTATAAAAGTAAAAAAAAAAAGTCCTTAAAGTAAACTGTCAAATCCTTTCACAAAAATGCACTCTCAGAATCAATAAAATAAGAACTTAGCAACATTTTTGACACCGAATTTGAAACAAAACTCAAAAACACTTTGAGGAAGAAGTCAAGTCGTGAAGGGTCTGAGCTGCTAGCGAAAGTCTGACGCAATATTTCCAATTTCTGTGCACGAAAAGCGATCAGCAGCTCTGGAACCCCGTCATGTTTCGTGATCTCCCAACACAAAATGAACATGTCCTGGACCCATGACCTTAAACTTAAAACAGCAGATTGAATTCAGATGAAATCAAATGAATAAACTTAAAAAGCTCTACATAACATTTATTTACTAGATACACAGAAGATTGAAACCTCTTCCAGGAAACTGAAAAAGCATTAGGAGAAAGTCAAGTTGGGAATGAACAAGTACCTTTTAATCTCCAAGTTAAATGAAATGATATGATTCACAAAATAAAGTCGCTTTCAATGAAAATACAATTTCAGGCACTGATAAGGTATCACTCTCCCATCATGACATCTTAAGTCTTGAGAATGAAAAGGCCACACTATTGATTTGTATAGGTCTTCATCTCTTTTGTAGAAATTCAACACAAAATACTCCCATTCGTGATTACATGTTGGCAAGTTCATTTACAACATGACAAAGTAGGAATAACATCGCAATAATACTGTTTTGTTCTCATTATAATTTTACCTGGCAACCAAATGTCCACATCCACCTCCCTACGCGTCAGGATCCTGCCTCACTGTAAGCCACTTGGTCAGGGCAGAAATCAGATAACGATGGAGAAAACGCCAAGAGGACAACAAACAAAGAAATTCAAGGCGATTAATATTTATGGTAGCTACATTCAAGAACCAGTTGCATAATGTTTGAGAAAAATCCCTTTCTGCATTTGCCTTGGTGTTGGACCGTGCACATGCCCGCCGCAGGGCATGGACACCGCTCAGAGGCCTTTAAAATTATACAGGAATAAAGGATACACTATACTCAATACATTTCCATTTATCACCGTTTACTTTTTCCACTGCCACCCACGTTCAAAGTTTTTTTTTCTTTTTACAATTTTATTAAAATGTGAAATATCCCCTTTTTCAGCTCATCTACAATACACTAAAGTTCAAACTAATATTGCAATTTATGTAAAAAATCTACAATGTATAGACTAACAAAAAATATATATTTATATATATTCAATCTGACAAAGAAACAAAACTGAGTAATGTTAGAGTAAGTGAATTTACATTTCACACCAAAGTGTGGACAAACTTCATAAGAAGTAGAGCCTTTCTGGGAATGCTCATTTTGTTAAAGTCAGCCAATGTTGCACAGAGGCTAAACTAACTGGTGACCATCTTTAAACCAAATAATTAGGAATTTCTCAACATAGTTGATTGAGGGGAAACAGCAGCAAATGATTTAAAGTTAGCAGGAAATGAGTTCCAAAATCTCCCCCAATATCAGTTTTTCCAGGTTCTTTCAAGTACAGATGCTGAAATTACCTGAATATAAAGATCACCAATGTAACACTTTGTGGTCAGTGGAAAGGAAAACAGATTTGTTATAGACTTGTTACCATATGAATAATTTATCCTCTACAGCCTGTGGTCTCCAGACACGGGTGAAAACACTGGGGATCGATCTGACCGCCCTTGGCCACAGGTTCTGTATAATCGCACCATCCAGACACTGTCCTTTTCCCTTCTGACCCTTTAACATGTTTCCCAATCTTCTGTAGACAAGATTACGAAAAGTAAATGAATGGGACAATAAACAGTGGGCTTGGTTACATAACATATGTAAGACTGTACCATCACACTGGGAATGACATACATTAAAAATAATTGCTCATACATATAAGCAATCCCTCACAAGAAATGTTCCTCGCATGTAAAGCAATTTGCTTAAATGTCAAATAGAAAACATGTAACAAATAGGCACAAATCCTTGATTAAATTTGTGTTCAGGTCTCCCTCTGCGCTGAGAGTAGCTCTTGGCAGTGTGCGTCCCAATCTGTGGCAGGACAAAAGAACTCTGGGGTTCCCTCCGTTTGTGGAAACCAAATATGAAAACCAAAACGCTTTACATGTATAAAAACAAAGCAAAACTTATAAAGTTCTTCACATTTGAGTTTGTAGTCATGGTTGGGAGTGCGCTGAACGAGCTAAGTCAGTTTGGCAGTATGCAAGTGTGCGTGTAAATGAGCATCTTGGGACTTCAATGGACAATACACATACATGTCCACATTTACACAGAATAATGGGTGGAAGCAAACTGTTAAGGCCACATCCTCCAACAGGCAAGGAAACACCGTCAATCTGAGAGAGGAAGGACCAGCGTTACATTAGCAGCAGACAATAACTCTGAATGTACATGGGAAGGACAGCAAACAGCCTACCTTGTGTTACATGTGACCGACTGAGTTGTGTCCATCGCCTGGCATGCTTGGATGACCTCCTGAGAGCTGCATTTGAGATTCGCCCACTACACCAGAGACTTTCTCCTCTTCTCTGCGCTTTAAACATGCTGCTTTAGGGTTGAGGTTTCGCTCTGGAAGCACAGACAAAGGCCTTACACATCTGCTCCGTGTGCATCAGTGTGCTGCAGACTGACCTCTGACTTGCTGCTCTAGATTGAGGATGACGTTGACAGCCTGATGGAGGATGAGGAGTTTGGTCTGAGGTTTGTCGTGGCTGAGGTGCAGCTGGCACATTCTCCCGAGCTCCTTGAACGCTTCGTTGATGTCCCGTACCCGGAGACGCTCTCGGGCGTTGTTAGCGACCCGCCGCTCCTTTTCACGCTCCAGCTTCACCTCCGGGGGCAAGTCCTCGTCGTCTTCATTCAACTGACTGAGACAGACACGAGCAAACAACAGGAAGGTTTAAAAAGGTCTGTGTGAGTGGCGGAACGCTAAAGAAGGACATACTACAAAATCCCATTGCTAAAGAAGCAGGATTTTCATCTCACAAAAGGTGGATATAATTATTTCAAAAAAGGTTATGGTCATAGTAAACTTAATTTCTACCCATAGGGCAATTTGTCCTCTGTATTTGGTCAATCAGGCAACGCCATGAGGGCCTCTGTACGGAGAAGAATACTGGTCTGTTGGGAAGTCAGTTAAAATACTATTATTCTTCATTAGAGGTGCTGTACAGTTTTCTTTTTAATAAATTAAACATTAAATTATCAGTTATAAACAATAAATGCAGGTGATTTTTGAAGTCAGCATAAGCCCATAGTAAAAAGCTTACTCATCATCATCTTTGGGATCTGACAGGGCAGACATCATCTGGAGGGCGAACGCCTCCCTTCTGTAACGTGAATGAGGGAACACAGTTCAGCTTAAAAATGACTGGGATACCAGTCAACACATTGTTATTGTACAGTTAATACAAAATATATTACAAATAAACATGAATATGTCTATGATTACATTCCACCTTTGTGGGATAAAACAGCTGCTTAGTTATAAGGTTTGTTGTTTTTAGTTGAACAGTACCTGCTGCGGTTGCGGGCTTTCGAATCCTTCTTCTCATCATCAGATTTGTCTGCCACCGATGAATTCTCGTCATCTTCTTTGTCTTCTCTCTTGATGTCTGAGCTGCTGGAGGAGTGTGAAGAGCGGGACATGCCCCCAGGGAGACCTACACACACACAGGGTTAAAACAGTGAACCGTGTAGAATGATTCAATATTACACACTGATCTGTGCCTTACTGCTAAAGCCTTCAGGCTGCCCAGCTGACTGTGTGGGTCCAGATGCGTGATGACCGTGGAGAAGAGTGCTGCTGGGAGGAAGACTGGCAGCCTCCTCATCTTTCCCCCCCTGATAAAAGATTTTTTGTAGATAATCAAAAAATTACCATGAACAGTTAAAATTGATAAGAAATTATTTGACCATGTATTTTTTACACATACATATAGTTACATTTATATCGGTATAGAAAAATAAGAGTAATACTAAACCGCAAAAAGCTTTTATGTGCGTTTTCCCGCATTGCTCATTCAATTAGCCTGGCCTTAGCCATCTGTAAACTCCGGGCAATTATTATTTCCCTACCTGTACGAAATGAAATGTGTACAATGGTGTGGTAAGACCAGGTTAATTCTAACCAATAGGAAAACATTTTCATGTTGCCATGAATACTGGCATGCTTTTAAAGTGCTAAAAGTTGGTTACATATGTTTTATGGTTGCCCTGTAACCTTGGTATTTGGAGATACATTGTGAAAAAAGAGGAAAAAAATCAGTACCTACAAACTTTTATCATCTCAGAATAAACAAAAAAACACATCGTTCACAGCAAATATCGGTCATTGACCATTACATAAAAAAAAAACAAAATTATAATATTGGTATTGGCCAAAATGTTTGCCTCACCATTGCAGGATGTCTGTTGCTTAAAGCGAGACTGGCGCTGGGGAAAGCAGGAGAGAGGCCCGCGAGGGCCCCATTGTGCACTGCAGAAAGCAGGTTGTGCATGTCGGGGTGGGCTCCCTCTAGACCAGGCTGGCCTACAGCATGACTGCGTAGGACATGGATGGCCTCCTCCAAACGGTCCTCCAGTTTATTTTGCTACAACACACAAGAGCACTGCATTCAGACAGTGGCCATGAGAAATATCTGTAGCCTGGGCGTGTGGAGGGTTACGTACCAGTGCGTGAGGTGGCCCTTCATAGCTGGGTGTGGAAGGTCTTTGCCACTGAGACGGAGCTCCTACACACGAGAAGCACAGTGTACATTACTCAACACCAGGTGGCACTGCACACCAACTATTGTGCATCATGTGAACTTCAAATCCATTTCCGCCTTATTATGCCCAAAACAAGGCTGCAATCAAACTGGTTACATCAAGTTACTGCCATGTTTTTTGCCAACATCCAAATTAACATTACGTTAAGAGAAAATTCACATTAAATTCACCTGACATAACAAAAAAAACAACCCAAAAACACAATGCAATCAGTAAGCTAACATTCAGTCAAGTGAGTCTCCAGAAATTGAATTCCAGTTAAAAGCTTAAACAAAATTAGCAAACATTGTTACGCATCTGTGTTTGAAAATAATTCTGCACAAAGGTACACCTGGGCGTCAGAATACCTGTGATTCCCTGAGGAGACCCAGGTGTCGATGGGGCCGATGAGAAGTTATTACTGTTGTGGTCCGACGGGTAAATCTGAGGATTAAACACAAAAGGTATACTGATTAAGTCAGAACAAACAAACATAATTTTGTTTGCCCTAAATATACAACATAAAAAACAAACATTTACACCTGATATGCTTAAGTGTAGAGCAGCACTTACCGAGGCAAGAGCTTTGCCAATTTCATCGCCCGAGCTGCCAGCAGTAGTGCGAGTAGCTGCACACAACATATTAAATTATAGTTTGAAAGCAAAGGGACGCTGGGACACTTCTGACAGAAAGACTCACCCATAATCCCTTCCCCATTGATGGCTGGTGTGTGACTGTATGTGGTGGGTGGGGGGTGAAAGCCGTTGACCTCACTGCCGTGTAGAGGATAATTCTATGGGGAGGACTTTATTAGTATAAATGTATACGGTAACACAGGAACAACCTGTGCTGAAGTATCCACACTGCTCACCATCCTGTCCTGTGGGTTTAGCGCAGAGAAGGAGCCTGGCTGCCCGAGGTGCGCATTCCCCAGCATGGCAGAATAACCAGAGGATGACCAGGGATCTTCTAGAGACACACATATTTGTAAATACATGCATTTACTTCAGCATGTATTCATAGGTATGGGATTTATTGTCCCCTTGGGAAATACCTTGCATGTAGAAAGAGCCTGGGTAGACGGCTCCAGATTTAGCAGCAGGATATCCGCTGCCATCTCTGGCATACTCATCTCCTGATGTAGAAGCATACACCTGAAAACAATAGAAGGGCACAACAGGGCTTTAGTCAAGACATTAAAACTGAATAGGTTTATAATGACATTTTGGAGTTGAGCATTTACAAAATATAGAAATGGATTTAAATGAAGTAGATTTTGTTACAGCTTGTCGCATAAAACCTTTCTATGTCCAAAGTAGTCATAAATTAACCCATAAATCTGGGACAACATTTTAATCAAAGCTTTTCTGTAATCTTAATTTGATTTTGATCGTTTCCACCCATATTCATTCACGCATAAACCGCTACACTAATCTAACTTCCTGGTTAAATAATAACTACTCAAGTTTGGGCACCTCCCATGATTATCAAACATACTTTCCATAAATAGTCTTTTATTTTTGTTCATCCAAAGATCATTTTCTCACTGGATAATGAATTATAGTGCATTGGAGCTTTAAAAGTATAGATAAATATGGAGTTTAGAATGAGTTTTCCATATAATATTCACAATTTCACATTGTGAGATGTATCAAGCCTTTATTTTTTATGATGTTGACAATTGGCTCAGAGATTGTAAAAACCCCAAATAAAACGTCACAGAAAATGTTGAAAATAGACTAAGTTATCAACAAATGATAAACGAAGGCTTGGAATATGTCTTTTGCATGTAATAAGCCTATATCATGTTTCAAGTACAGAAATATAAAATTTATACTAACATATTCTCATTTTCAGAGTTTTGCTTCTTTACTTTGATCCAATGGATAAAATACATGTATTCTACAGACCAAGAGCTTTAGAATGAGGTATAACATGTCTATATTGTGTAGCCACCAGAAATGGAAAAATAAAGCTTTATGTGTCTTTACAAACCCACAGAAAAGTACATTTTTATCTCTTATCCAAATCATCAGCCAAAATACCATTCAATTGTAGCAGCATGTGGCCACAAGATGGCAAGAGTCAGTTCTGTGCGCAGGAGTGGCTTTGGTCCTGTGGAGAAGAACACAGCGGCCATGGCACGCTGGGCACCGGCGCAGGATCCCAAAGCACAGTGAGCACTTCCTCTGAGCCCCTCCCTCTGACCAGTATCAGCTATACACATGCCATGCATTCAGCAACACTCAACACGCCAGCAAACCATAACACACTGTAGTGTGTACCACCAGAGGAAATACTCCTGTAATCAGGACAATACTAAAACTCACTAATCCATTCAAAAAACACACTTAAGAGACTAGTCGTTTTGTTCGGACGCTAGAGTCCTTCATTTCCTGACACTTTGGTCCATCTTTCCCTTCGTGTAGGATGGCGGAAAGAGGAAGGGAGAGAATGGATGCTATGCTGCAAAGAATGCTAATCCAGAGAAGGGATTTTTTCTGTAATTTGATTTAACAGGGAGAAGTGGAAAGGGAATGGAGAGATGCACTTCTAATTACAGAGCCATCTGCCTGCTCCTGGACCACATCCAACTCCACAGGCAGCTGGGCTGAGGAGAGGGAGAGAAGGCAGAGATGGGGGCTGGGATCCAGTCACTCTGAGAGGGAGAGGAGGAAGAGAGATTGCAGTGGGTAGGGGGTGGTGAGGGGGCAGGGGGGGCTGAGGGGAAAAATGAAGCCCTGATGATTTATGAAATGGTAGGGAGATAAGGGCTGTTGAGGGGGACAGGAGAAGGTAATCTAAATGACTTAAACAAAGCCTGATATGGCCAGGGGAGTGTGAAGGAAACAAGGGATTTAAATGATCACAGTTAATTCAGGGGAAAACATGATGGAGATGGCTTCATTTAACAATAGGCTTTGAGTTGTTCTTTCATGGGGAACAATGTTGAGTGATTCCTGCTGCTTTATACGTGAACAGAGCTCCACACAATGATGGTTGCTGCAGGATAATTGTATTCTCAGGAAGAAAGGGGATTTCTAGAGTAAAATCCTCCACTAATAGGGGTTTAATGTAATTCAGGTTATGACCGTGTAACCATCGCTGCGCGAGATGGGCGTGGGCTAGAACAGGGTCTGGGGCTAGATTATCATCAACTAAACTCCAGCATTTGTAATGGAGGTCTGAGGGGACCAGAGGTAGGTCAGTCCACAAGGGTGAGAGAAGTCATCTCACTCTGAACAGAACACAAACCTCACACACAAGAGATGGACAAGTTAAAAGGTGGCACAGAGTAAGTGCAGGAGTGGATGAACAGCATCATTAATCTGGGCTCAGACGCGGGTAAGAGCCCTCGCAGCACTGCGTCTCACAACTGGGTCACTCACAGGGGGAGGCCCACCCAGGCCATCATGTGGTACAGCGGAGGCTGGCGAGGGCTGGGGGAGGTTCACACACAAATAACTCATCATCTGGACTCAAAACACGCAGCAATCAGTCACACAGTGCTAAACAGCTGAGCTTTAAGACACCCACAGAAAGCGGACAGACAGTCTAACAACTTTTCTGAATGACTATAGTGGTACAAGATATGAAACACATACAAACCAACCAAACCAGAGCTGCCATCATGATAATGCATATATAAAAATCACCAACACATTTACAAAGTGCACAACATCAGTCAAATAAATGACTAAAGAACACTAGTCTAGGTGCACTTGGGAAGAGTGACCATACTAGGCGACGCAAAACAAGTCAGAACAACCACCGGTAATTGATTAAAATAATCAATGAAGTTAGTGCCGGGGTTATTCTTATTTTTTAAAGCCTTCAGACTGGTTGTTCCTCCTGAGATAAACAAATGCCAATGATACTACAAAAAAATGGCCAGTAATAAGAAAAGGATAGATTGTCTCGAAATTTCAATAAACTATTATAAAAAGTCAGTTGGATAAATAAAGAATTTGTTAATGAGACATATCCGTCAGTGACACAAGAAATGGGTTTAGTCTGGAGCATAAACGCACAGAAAGTAGCCACGGTTAATATATTGGCCAAAAAAAAAAAAAAAGCGCTTTAGTGTTGCCAAAATCAGTAAAAAAAGAAAACTAAAAACGGGTCTTTGCCTGATACAAGAATAAATCATTAAGAGTCATTTATTCCAACCCAGGATAGGTTGCCTTCATGGGCCTGTTGGGGCAGTTCCAGAGGGAGATTTCTCACAGGGCAAAATATTGAAGAACACGACTAAGTTGTATCGATGGTTTCTCCAAGGCCACGTGAAGGCAACATAAGCACTAGCATGAAGTTTAGGAGGCCCAGTACTTTAACGTTACCATCTCGGAATATGTTAGTAACTGTGCGGATTTAACCCCACGTTTTTTATTCCAAATATTTACTGGCTATTTTCAGAGTCCAGAGCAGTTTGCAATCATGGGCAGCTACTCATAAAATACACTGCACCAATTATATCAATAACAAGGAATTAGGGGCGGGCGATATGGGCAAAAATAAATATCGATTTCTTCCCCCCCCAACTCCCGATAACAATATTGTCACGCTATCTTTAAAATCTATCATTTTTTTAAACAAAATAATTCAACATTTTGCTTGCAAGGGCATCTATACAATAGCAGCTTTTTATATGTAAAGTGCTTCCCACATCTTTGCAAAACATACAATAACATTAAAAATCTAATTGAAGTTAGAGGAAGAACGCACCCAAAAAGGCTCAATATTTACTGAAATGTACAATTAAAGCAGTGATTGGCTTTTTAGGCACACATTTCACGAATGGGCATCTTACTTGCTCTAAACGTGATACGTATTGACGAAAAAAAGACAATACAAAAAAGCATATCTTCAAATTGACTTTCACGATATTATTGTCTACGATATATTTTGCCCACCCCGAGAAATAATAAAAATAAAACAAGCAATTTTTCACAACAATCACAAACTGAAAGAAACAAACGCTGGCGGGCTTCGATCAAGTGCCACTTTTTTATTGTAGATAATTATATCCTGCACAGACTATTTAACCTTTAACATGTTTGCACACTTCTGTCTTTTGCGATTCCATCTATGCCAAATGTGACATGTACGTTTCTCCAGAGTGAGATCAATAAAAAGTCAATCTTATCTTATTTTAACTGCAGGATCTAGAGGACCACGCTTTATTACAGCAATCAGAAATGTATGGTTTCGCCAGACTACGCAGATATCATGAGTCTATTTTAACACCTGTTATTTCAGTATGTTTTTTACACTGCCCTGAAGAAGGCCCTGCACGAAACGCGTTGGTCCCTTCTCAATTAAAGAACTTTTATCAGAGTGCCTCGGATTTCACCCTGTCTTCATTTTCCATGGAAAAGGGTATCTTTGTTTTTCAATATCATTTTTAATCCTGAAGAGCACCTGGTTTAAACTACTTTTTTGTACCCTGTAGCACTCACTCCTCCTGCTCTCTATCATTTGATGTCATTTGGATTCAGCCCTTAGTGCAGAAGAAACAGAGGTAAGACTGTTTTCTGATGGATTTTTTTGTTTGCAGTTTATGTTCATAGATGGGCGCATTCACATGTGTGTAAGTAAGTAATGTTTATTTATATAGCGCATTTTACCCCTTTTTAAAGACCAAGGTCACCCAAAGCGCTTTACAATGTTCAGAGTCAGACATTGTTCCAATCATTCCACACACTGGACCATGAGCCCCCAATCAACACCATCCATTCACTCTCTCATCTACATTCATACCTATTGTGCATGTTTTTAGTGGTAGGGGAAACCGGAGCACCCGGAGGAAACCTACACAGACACGGGGACAACATGCAAACTCCACTCAGAAAGGCCCCGTCTCTGTTGCTGCCTTCAGTCAAACCTCAAATCAGCTACGTCCTCTATAGGTTGCCCCCTCTCTAGAAAAGGTCAGCTCTACTCATACGTGAGTGTGAAATGTTCGAAGCCGGTCACACAAGAGCCAGGCTCGTGTGAAAAATATGGGGCCGACCTAAATCTACTAAACAGTTAAATCATTCAGATTAATATGAACATCTCAGTCCCTCACAAAAATAATTTAGGCTGAAATCAATCTTTTTAGGGTTCAATATTTTTTTTCTGTACGTCTTTCATGATGGCTGAAAATGCGTCTGTTTAAAAGCTTGTCCCCGTTTATAATACTAATAATCTCTACACCATAACCAGCCATAGGAGCTCCCTGTAGGGCCCAAGAAGTTGTTTTCTAGTTTGATAATGTCAGAGGTGGACGTATACTTTATCCAACAATATATAGTTAGATGAAAGTTACAGGGCTTCCTATAGTTGCTTTAAAATGCTGAAAACGCCAGCCTCAGTGTGGAGTGAGCTACAGTAATGTTGGTGCATCTGCAGTGTGCGATTAGAGCCTATGAGAACAGCATGAGCGGACAGAAAACAGGGTGCCAGATACTGTGAAGACTAGCAGGAAAAGGGTCTCACCGAGGATGGTAGACCGGGGGGTTTCCGAATCTTCTTTGGCTGAGAGTCTGAGCTCACCAAGCAGAGAACAGAGAAAACAATGCGGTTAATTGGGCATTACAGAATAAACGAGGCCTTAGAACACACAATGACAATCAGCATGCGGCACAACATAAAGAAGCTACCGCCGATATTTCAGGCACGATATTTGATCAGGAGGAGATTTTCAAATTGACAAGAAAGAAATTGCTATTCCTCTAATCAAATAGAAAAACAAAAACAATATTTCTTATAACCAAACTTTATCAACTTTGCAATATTTAAGCCAATCACAGTGGAGGGTGAGCACCGTTACTGCCATGATTGAGGTCACTTCTAATTCAGGTCTTGATAATTGCAATTCACAAAACATGAGATTGCGAATTTTCAATATTTCTGTTTTTGACACGGCTCTAAAATACAGTAATGTGATTTTAGATTTTGTAATAAATAACAAATACTTAATTTTTAATACTGGCTTTATCAACATTAAGTTGGGATGAGAAGGATCCACCGTGTCCACGTACCTATGCCGCTCTCCGGAGGCCTTCTCCTCGGATTGTTCGTGTACGACGGGTAAAACTGGGAGCTGGACTTCAGACCAGAGGGAGACATGGCATCCGGACTTGGCAACGCGATGTCACTGGGAAGAAACCCGGGCTACAAGGAGGCAGAAAATATAATCAAATACATGCATTATTCAAATTTGTGAACGTTACACTTTTCTATACAAGTTGTACATATTAAAACACACATAATGTACATTATTCATGAAATGCAATGAAATGAAATTACACATAAAGCATATAGATGTCGTTTAAAGCTAAACTTATATAAATTAGGAACATCCCCTTTCAAACAAATATAAAATAATAATAATACTAATAATAATAATAAGAGGCATTTAGTCGTAAACATGAGTAACATACCTGACTTCCAAAGGGGGGGTATGGTGGCCTCTCAGCTTTACCTGGGAAACAAAATCACCAATTTCACTTCACAAATTCATTACCAATCTTGGAAAGATACACATTCAATAATATAAAATAAAACAATAGTTGTTTGTTATGTCGTTCTGAGCACAAGACGCCCTCCCCTTTTGCAGTTCGCTCAGCTGCATAAAGCTGCCTGCCAGACAAAACCCTGGGGAAAGTTTCCGCGTCAATGCGCCAACATCCCCAACATTTAACGAATGAACACAGACGCACACACATGTAGGCACAGTTTGCCATGCAGAAAACTGTTTTTAGGTCATAACATTTTATGCTCAAAAATTAAGTTGTTCATTAACATTAAAACGATTGTGTACTTAGTATTTAAAATATTTAAAAAATATGATCAAAAGTGACTTATTTGGTGGGTCTAACTAAAATAATCCTTTATAACCGCTAGGACACATTTTAAATAAAAGATGATAATAGTGACTAGAAAAGGAAAAGCAGGTACCTGTTATTCCAGAACTGAGGAAAGGCGAGGACAAGGCCTCGTGTTCGTTGTAGTGGGATCCTTCAGCGTAACCCTGGAACAGCAAAGAACAAGTGCTGCATTTTACAAAGCCAAAAAATGGGAACAATCCCTGGGGGAGATTGAGTTATAAAACTACCTTCTCTAGGATCAATGCCAAATAAATCTACATCTGCTCTGCAGATTCAAACAGACATCCTTAATTATCAACTTGTGGTAATCAAAGCTTTTTGCATCTTTTTCACCCCCTCTTCCTTGTATTTACACAGACTTGTGCCAAGATAGTTACGGTGAATGTAAAACCGCAATTACCGGTGGGCTTCAACTGAGGTTCTTGGCTAGCACAGAGCTGGCCAAGAACAGACAGCCAGCCAAGTTTTAGGAAGAACTACAAATCCAATAGACAATTTGACAAACAATAGATTTTAATAAATTCAAAGGATGCTTTAAATGAGTGCAATTAGAGTAATATTCAGAATGTATGTGAGAGCGTATTACCCTTGGTCCTTGGCTGAAGGAAGGACTGTTCTGTTCAGCTGATCCCCAGGACCCTGAGCCACTGCGCTCGTCTATAGCTGAAAAAGATCAAACATTCTCAGATCTTAGACATGATGAAGGCTGAACAGGTAAAGGAAATGACGGCTACATTCACAAGGCCAAACAGCATCAAGTCTTGGCAGGTCCAAAATTCCCCACTGTTACGCTGTCCGTTACCAAACACCACTAGGCAGGCACAAAGGTACACACACACATATACCGAGGATTAAACGAAGGAGGCCTTTATTCTGAAATGTTTTTTTCGCAGTTGTTGGGAGATGGAAACAATCCTCATTCTATTGAACAATTAGCAAAAAATATGTTTAAAAAAAAGTAAGAGACGTGCAGTGACTGTCACAAAGGGAACAGAGCCAAAGGACTAGTGGAGCAGAAAACTCCAAAATACCCCCATCATCCTCTTCTCCCCGTCTTCTGCACTAATGCTATCCAGCTCTCTAGAGACACAAGGCTTAATTGCATGCTGATTTGCATAATTGTGCATATTAATGTGGCTTCCTTATGAATATTCATATTTAGTCTTTGATTTTTGCCTAATTAAAAAAATGTGTGTGAGAAAGCAGGAGAGGGCTGGAGCAAGAGGAAGGGAAAGCCGTGAGAGGAGAGAGAGCGGAGTCCAGGCCGATCAGCAGCCGGCGCAGACACAGAATGAGTGATGAGAGCAACAGAGCGGTGCAAGCACCTACACAAGCAGAGACAGCCTGATCTATGGAGCTGATGCTGCTGCAGCCACAAGGAGAGGGCTGAGCTCCGAGCCTGAGCCATGGTCAGCAGGTTATGTCAACGATCACCACCTTTACATCAGCATCCTATACAAGCTCAAAATGAAAATCAAATGTAGAAACAGATGAAAGATTTACATGAATGAAGAGGTGGACCAGACTTGACACACAGTGATTAGAAGTTTTTCCCAAATGACAAAAACACACAATTTTTTTTATATTTATAGTACATGCAGAGATAATCCTGTATATTTTTACAATTAATGTAGTTATTTTCTCACTCTGTTTTATAAATATCTTGGCATTGAGCCAATAGAAATAACATCTAAAACAGATGAAGTATACAAGCCTTTTTACATAAATGTAAACGTACGGTGTGTTCTATTTAGTCAAATTATTAGAGTACATTAGCAGCGTTTGCAGAGTCATGCTTGACCATCTTAAATGTGTTTAAATTGCTTATGACTGATTAGATGACACATTCAGAACAAAAGCCTGCTCTGACATAATCATCAAAACAGCACAATATTGTCATCCCACAACTTCACCAAGTTCTTAATCATTTTGACAATAAAATCAGTGCCCTGGATTATTCTGTGACGCCCCGTTTGGTCAGCAGGGGAGCAGAGGATAGAGTGAAAACATGGCAGAGCAGAGAAGTCTGACAACATTGTTTCACACTTAGTGGAGTAATTAACTTGGAGCCAATTAAAACAAGGTGAAGAGCTGCTGAGGTGACACTGACACACTGCCAGCCCAGGAGAACAACGCTCTGCCAACAACATGCTTGTTTTCTACTGCCTTATTTTTATTACAACTGCAGGAAGCCAAACATATTTTAATAACATTTGCTAAATGTTCCATGCTGCTAAAGCGATTAATTATCTGACATATCAGAGATGTGCTCTTCAGTTAAAAAACATCCATTGTTGAGCTTTCTGGAATTTCTGGACAGAACCCAAAGCATAATCTCTGCACAACAGCTGAAAGTATGGAAAATACGCAATTTAGCTAGTCTTTAAAAGAATACAGTTGGGCTCCCAAATTCACATCCACTGGTAGAAATTATTTTTCAGAGAATTAAAGTGTTCATGTTAATTTCCACTTGTGGTTAGTGTTTGGCTAAAGGACGGTTTCATACCATTCAAACCAGTCGTGTCTATGCATCAGGCCACAAGAAAAGGATCAGAGTATGTATTTTGGACGTTTGTTGCCATTACCATTCAAAAAATAAATACAGAATAAAACCAAGTTGTTTAAGGATATTGCTTCGTTAAACCACAAACCATGGCAATCCTGCAAATTCTCTGAGAAATATGAAGCCTCTCTCCCAGGGTATGTTTGTATGAGCACAATACATCGATACAATATTGGTATTGGATATCGGTGCTGATAAACTCCAGATGACGTTTTTACTTTGATGCAATAACACGACTGCTTTTGTTCAGCAAATTTAATAACTTAGCTGTGATTAACAAGAAGAAAAAAATACAAATACACATATAAAAATATATATATTAAATTGAAATTCTGCTGATCTTAACATTTTCTAACAACAGTACAGTGATTTAGTATAACAAAAAAGGTAGACTTTAAAAAAGGAGAGAATTTGTTTCAGTCATCATTGTAGCTCTATAGAATCTAAACTGAATTTTGAATTGAACGCAAAAGAATACTGAAGTTGTGGACAGCGGACAGTGGTAATGAAGCACTAGTGAAAAACACAGAAGTGTTCATCAGTCATGCAACATAGACGTGGCAAGGAGGAGACTGGGGGTTTCTGATGGCACAGGTCGGTTGACCTCTGAGCAGCAGTGGCCGCAGAAGTCAAATGCAAGAAGGTATGGAATAAGAAAACAAAAATCTAAGCCTTAAGAAGAATCAAACAATGTCCACATCTAAAGTGTGGATCCCCACAATTCTAGATCTAGAATATTGTTGCGGTTTACAAATGTGTTTGTGTCGGGGGCTGGCTGCAAAGATGGCCCAGACGCCTGAGGCCCATGACCTGAGCGGCCGCCCTCCCAACGCACTGTTCCCGCTCACCGCCACACTCTGCCCACTGAGGAAGAGCCAAGGACGCTTAATGCAATTAGCACCCCTCTGAGCACTTTTGTGTTGATGAATAGAGGTGGTCTGCTCGGCCACTAGCCGCTCACTGCAGTTCCCGCGCTGTAGGTCCCTGAATATACAAACCACATGTGACGTCAACTGTTTTGAACATCAGGGTTATGGAAACCTTTAGAAATGTTGTGACTGTTATACAGTTTCTCTGCAGCAGATGCCAAGAATGCATTATAAATATAATAATTATACAATTAATATATAACACACTAAAAATCTTTTTGTCAATTTTTTTATGCCAAAACTATGCATTATTTTTTCCAGAAGCAGTAATTTGGATTTGTCGTGAATGGTAATTTACATCAAATTCCAGAAATACAAGTAAACCAAACGTACATCGGGGCAGCAGTGAGCCAGAGTTTGGGGTTGGTCAGAGCACACAGACGTGGGTCCAATTCTCTGGAGCAGCTCCTGCTGTGTCTGTGGTCCAGTTCAACTGAAGGCAGTGAGGCAGTCATTGTGACAGCTTCAAGTATCACATTAAAATGGGTGTCAATGTCCTGGGGCCACACTTTTGGACATGAGGAGGGGCAGGGGCATTAACTCTTCAGTGCTGAGTAATTGCCTGCTGTAATAGAAACAAACAGGATTGGGCCTTCCCTGGCTGATCTCTCTATTCAGCGAGTGCTCTCTTCCACTCTGACCACTTGCAGCATGCTGGGCTGTTTAAGAGGCTTGGAGCTGTGGCTGAGGGACATTGTCTCAAACTCCAGCCATTTCCTGCAGATCAGTGGGGGTGAGAGCCCTGTGCAGAGTTGGGGGAGGAGTATTTTACAATTCAGGGTGGGGGAGTCGTTTCAAGTCCATAAGCCCTTTTTTGCCTTTGTTCCTTAGTGGCCAACTTCTCACTCTGGGGAGCACCGCGAGTGTGACTCCATTTCACACACCAGGTTGGCAGGGTGACAGAAAGAAAGTAACAGGCCTTACTAATAACATTCAGGAAGAGGACTCACTCAAAAGCGTAAAAGGTGGCCAGAGTGATTCACTTGTAGCTGCTACTTAGCACTCAAAACACAGGAGAAAACGCACAGGTAGCTTTTCGAATACAACACTTTCGTATCTAGTCCCACAAATCAGCTGTGACAATCATGGACTATGCAGCTGTTCTTGACATTATTGACTCATTAACACAAACTAGAGCTGCAACTAACGATTATTTTGTAAATCGATTAATCTATCGATTATTTTTACGATTAATCGAGTAATCGCTTGGCTGTGAATTGTGTAGAAAAAAATTATTTTTTCATCACAAACTTAAAGTAAATGTTTGTAACAGGCTCTTTGTGCTAATTCTGCTATCTGATTGGATGAGACAGACAGATATTCATGAAATTATAAAAACAAAGTCAGTTTTAATCAAAAATACTACATTTTCATGTCATTTTTGCTCTGTTTGAGTCCGTGTGAACCAGAAAACGATTAATCGATTACTAAAATAGTTGTCGACTATTTCAATAATCGATTAGTCGTCGATTAATCGATTAGTTGTTTCAGCCCTAACACAAACACTCACCTGATCCACCAAACTGACTGCTGGCGAGGGTCATGGGCCTGTTCTTTCCATTGGCTACTGGTGGGGCAAACATCTAAAAGACAAAAGGAAGCGCACCGTTACTATGATGAATGCAAGCACACTTCACACTTTGGCTCTGGGGCAATAAAGGCATCATGTTCAATGGGTGAGACAGATTTGTGTCAACAAAGGAGCAGCTACACTTAAAATTTGTAAACCATTTTGTTTGTTTGTTTTCCCCCTTTGTTCAAACAATACCTTTAAAAACACATTGATTGCAGACCAATTACCATCAACATTTCTTTGACAAGACCACATTGAAAAAGCCGGACATAGACAATGCGACTCCATGGACAGATTTGACATTTTACTTAAAAAAAAAACCAGTCCAATAACAGGTGCCATATTTGTTTTTTACTAGAATTGACTTGTCCAGGCAAACAAACATGGCTGATCAGCAACCAAACAAAACAAAAAAAACCATTTTGGAGCATTCAGTCAACAGTTTTCAATGTTGAATTTACGATGAACATCTGTTGATAGAAATTGGCAGCAGATCAATCTGACTGAGCATTTCTGACACACACACACCCCAGTGTCTAATGAGGACTGTCCCTCTACAAGCAGCGCTGTACCCCAAGTACAGGACAACATTTGCCTTAAATGATCTCAGCCTTTTACAGAGATCCTTCCATCATACCATTTCCCAACCAATAGTCATTTACATGCAAAACTGACAAAAGGCAAACCAATAAGCGCACTTAACAAAGATATCCAACATTTTTTCATTGCTTTCTTATGGCCTATATGTTCATCCAAAAGATATTTCACTGAAGTTAGCATTAGACCATCGCAAATAGCACAGCTACGAGAATGAAGGCCAAAAATAACACAATGAAAACAAATTACGCTGGTTGTGCCCCTTGCCTCCCCCTCTCCCCTTTACCCAAATTTTGCCCACCTATCTCCCCCCATCTCCACAAGATTGATCACAGTCTTACCGCGCTGAAATCCAGGAGGTCGCTTAGTTCCTTGTCTGTTCCAACTGCAGCCATTCTTTGCTGCTGTTCGTTCATAACCCTTAGCCTTAATAAACCCTAGGAGAGAAAATGTGTGTAGACTTTAGTGCTTTGGAAAGAGCAGAAATGGTACAAGCAGCAGTTGAAGGTTCAAATCAGTCTACCTGCATTTTCACCTCAGAATAGCCCTAAATTTCCCTTCAGCATTTCTGTCATTTGTTTCCATTTCTGATGTTATGTCGATCGCTCACTTATTACAGAACAATGTAGTAAACATGTCAGCTATTGTACCCTCCCCCAAAAACTCAAAATAATCAGTGACTCAAGCTAGAGGAGAGGAAGACACAACCATGGAGTAATAAGAACAATGCTTTTTGTCAATTAGGTCCGTTATTAAAAATCAAACGTTTGGCAAGTAACACAAATCTATGCCCAGCCCATAACTTTTACATAGCTGTGAATGCAAAGCATGTATATATAAATGTGTAAAATTATCATGGAATACGTTTATATATATATTTAGTTAAAACAACAAATAAAAGATAAATATTGACTATGCAAATAAGTCATTACTACATAACCACATAGAAAATAAAAATAGAGAGACTGAACATAAACAGTGTTTTGCATTCCAGTGCTAGCGTAGGGCCGCGGAGAGCGCCTCTCCAGAGCTCAGAGCCTCGACAAGAGGACAGGCATGAGGACACCAACAGGTGGTGTGCTTTTGCAGCCCCTTTGCAAATATTAAACACATATTCTCCAATTGTCGGAAAATAACTTCCTGCATGTTTCATGTTTTATTAAACGACATAAGCAGTCAAAAAGTCCATTTTAAACAAAGGCCTACGTAATCTTTGATAGACCACTTCTTTGGACAACTCTGTGATATGCATAAGTGTTTCGAGGAAATATATGTCTGTATAAACTCAACAAGTGGCCATGTTATAATAAGCCTTTCTTCTGGTCCTCTTCACTTGAGGTGTAGTATAACAAAATGGCATCTCCAGCTTCTGCTGGATCAATATCTGAAGCAGCATAATATGAGTCTTTTGTCACCAAACTCCAGCAGAGAAGCATCCTCTAGTTCGTCCAATGTAATGTTCCGAGATGAAATGGCTACAAGTAAATAAAGATATAGGCCTGGATGAGCAACCCAATAAACTTGGTCTCTTGAAGTCATCTCTGCCATATAATTTAACATTGGCATTATTGCTTAAATAGCATACAGACGATAAACAACATCAGGTTTTAACAAATGTTGCTTATTCAAATGTTGAAAAAAAAGGTTTCTTAAATCTGTCGCTTGAAAAGTCAATTCGGCCTTTTAGAAATGTTGTCAAAACAATATTGCTGTTTGCAGTTAAAGTGGTCCATTCTGTGCACAACATTAGCATAAGCCCTGCAGAGTCAAAGACAGCGCTCTGATGTCAAGAAGTGTGCGGAAAACAGATGAGCGTTTTAGGACAAAGCAGAAAAGTTGGACTGATCCTTCACATGTGAGGGGCGAGCACTGGGACTTCACAGGAGGAGATGTGGGGGTGGGCGGACGAGGAATTTCCTGCCAAATGTGCAATAAAATAAAGTCTTAACTGTTGGCCAGACACGTCCATAAAGGCTGTTTTAAAAAGCCACAGGGCCTTTAAACTTTGTTTCCTAATAGCATAGCCCAATGCTAGATGCTACACAGAGTAGCTTAGACCTAGAACACCAACTGGAGGCAAAATGCGACCCTAAAGGCAGGACGCTACATTTGTGACAAGACGCAAAACGCTCCACTTCAAACGGATCGCTCTTTATTATGGATGAGCTGAACATTGGGCTGTTAGAAGAACAAAGGGGTCATTTCCTCTGTGGTCGCTGTGTGGAGACCATCACACACTTGGCTCGCCACCTCAATCCAGACAAAAACTTGCGTCCCCCGCTTTAAGCACACATTCCCCAAAACTTTTCCCAAACGCTGACAATTTCCACACACAAAATGGGCCACAGCACACACACACTGAGCTTAGTTTACCTCTCTCCAGGCGTGTAGTATCCAACAATAAAAAGAAAATCAAGTCTCCTATTGGGAAAAACATAAAACTTGAAGAGAATGTCGACCTCCGCGTACGAAACGCATTGGGGCAGTGTGCACGGCTCCTTTTGTCCCCGTGAGCCCGCTTCTCCTCCGCACCCACGTGTTGGCTTCAGTGGAACAAGTCTGCGAGAAAACAGATGTATAATCGTGTCTAAGCTCGCGTCTTCTCGTTTTGTTACAACTGAGATGATTGCATTCTTCTCGCAGACATCTTCGCCACCTCCGTCCACATTGTCAGACGCAACAACGTATCCTTCCGCCCGAAGTGAGGGCCTCGACAGCAGCGGTATCCTATTTCAAACGCCTTTCAAAGACCCGTGGCTTCAACAAAGAGGAGAATGGCTTGGTAGCGTGTGGTAGTTGTCTGAGGGCCAAACGCACCCAGCAATGGAGACGAGCCTGGTTTAACTCCAAACGAATCTGCTAAAGAGAGCGCGCATTGAGCACTAGGTTATTCCGCGGAAGCCTATCGTAAAAGTTACCTGCGATTACACACAGCAGCAGCTCGACGAGATGGCAAGATAAATGCGAAAGAGCGTGGCCAATAGGAGCGCGTGTCGGCGTGATTGACAGTCCGATGGGCCAATCAGCGCGCGGAATTTGCTCCTGGTCTTGCCTTCTTGTTGACGCTCACTTTCCCTGTGCGTCGGGGAGGTTGGTGTGGGGATCCATGCCGCTGACATCATTTTACTGTGCAGTTTGCAGGGCGCTTCCTCGCTTTTATTTTCTGTTGGAAAAATGGACACGCTCTGCCTTATAGAGGTATATAAAGAGAGGCGAATTCAGATAAGTCACTGCATTAAGACTGAAAAAACCTGCACTACTATTGACAATGTTTCTTGACTGCCACTTTTATTGTACATAATATATCCTGCATTTCACATGTTTGCACATTTCTTACTTTTTGCACAATCTTGAATGTTTCTATCCATGCCAGATGTGACATGTACACATCTGGCATGGATAGTGTGAGATTAATAAAGTATATCTTATCTTAATGTTCATCCTGGGGAACCCAACTTGTTTTTATGTTGTCTCAAGAAAGATATATTTGTAATTTTAAATTATGTGTTGTGCCACCAGCATGTGAAAGCCGGATCCCGACAGACCTCTGAAGCTAAGCAGAGCAGACCCTGGTTAGCACTCTGATGAGAGACCTCTAGCAACACCAGGTGGCTCAGTGGGGTGGCTGTGAAATGCCATGTTATTAATATAGGGTCAGTATATAAATTATTATGGATATAGGTTCAGTATATAAATGATTATGGATATAGGTTCAGTATATAAATGATTATGGATATAGGTTCAGTATATACATGATTATGGATAGTATATAAATGATTATGGATATAGGGTCAGTATATACATGATTATGGATAGTATATAAATGATTATGGATATAGGGTCAGTATATACATGATTATGGATAGTATATAAATGATTATGGATATAGGTTCAGTATATAAATGATTATGGATATAGGTTCAGTATATACATGATTATGGATATAGGTTCAGTATATAAATGATTATGGATATAGGTTCGGTATATAAATGATTATGGATATAGGTTCAGTATATAAATGATTATGGATATAGGTTCAGTATATAAATGATTATGGATATAGGTTCAGTATATAAATGATTATGGATATAGGTTCAGTATATAAATGATTATGGATATAGGTTCATATATAAATGATTATGGATATAGGTTCAGTATATAAATGATTATGGATATAGGTTCAGTATATAAATGATTATGGATATAGGTTCAGTATATAAATGATTATGGATATAGGTTCAGTATATAAATGATTATGGATATAGGTTCAGTATATAAATGATTATGGATAGTATATAAATGATTATGGATATAGGTTCAGTATATAAATGATTATGGATAGTATATAAATGATTATGGATATAGATTCAGTATATAAATGATTATGGATAGTATATAAATGATTATGGGTAAACATTAATTATTTTAGTTTTTATGCGGTTGATCATGTCCAGTCTTCCTAGTATTAAGTTTATCATTGTGGATTGAATAAAGTAGGTTTTATAAATGATAATTACCAGGAAAAATCAATAAATTGCTGTGTTTTGTTAAATTTGAGACTCAGTTTTCAAAGTAGTGGGCAACCATCAGATCAACCAGCCTGTTGAGAGTGGAGTGGAAGGCAAGGGGAAGCTATAGCACTCTTATGTATTGCTCCTGGGATGTTTCAGAAGACGTCTTTCACAAAAAACATTAGCCTATACAGTTATGAGAGAATAAGTGACAGACAAAACAGCGACACGTAAAGCCAGATTATGCACCCTATTTATTGTCACGTTAATCAATGAATAAAAAGACGTTGTTTTTCGGCTGGTCCTCTAGACGCACTGGGCTCTATAGCAAAGAGAGTGTAGGTGTTGGACAGCTGTTGTTTTTAACCTGAGGGCAGACCTTGTCAAAGAAAAAAGGAAGTTCAAATGACCCTTCTTTGTTTCCTGTCAACAGCCTCCAAAATCACGGCACTCTGTTTTCATAAAGTCTTATCACATTTTAGACACAACTGATTAGAATTCCCCTTATGTTTATACAGCATTAATACCAAGGATAACATACACTGATAGTATTGTTAGTGTAAAGTCATACTCTAATTACAGCTATGGGTTTCTGCAACACAATACTGTTCAGCATATTTCAGTTTGCCATCAATAGGACTAGATGTATGTTCAATTTGGTGTATAAGGAATTTGGTTTTTGCTCAAATGAATTCAATCAAATGTATGTAACTTGAGTAACTTTGACTTACTCAAATACTGCAGTACATGTAGTAAGTAATCTTTATTTTTATACTGCCTTTTCACTGCACATCGGAGTCTCAAAGCGGTTTACAATTGTTATTTTTGTGAGTGGGGGTGCCAGTATAGGAGGCACATGCCAGACCTATTGTACATATTTTTAGAGGTAGTGGAAACCGGAGCACCCGGAGGAAACCTACGCAGACACGGGGAGAACATGCAAACTCCACTCAGAAAGGCCCTGGTCCAACTGGGATTCGAACCCAGGACCTTCTTGCTGAGAGGAAAGCGTGCTATCCACTCAGCCACCGTGCCGCCCACGTGTAAGTGTGTTCTCTAAAATGCCTCCAAACTGAATCTGTCTGAGAACCCTTCGGATCACAAACAAATGGCGGCATCTTTGTTAAGCTGAGGTCCTGTAGTTTTGGCCTCTGATGATCCTTTTACTGTAATTATAAGTGTGAACAATGCCGGCACAGAGAAAGATCAAACTACAAAGTCGACTTAAATGTCCCATGGTAAATGTAAATGTAAACTAGAGATCTGTAATAAAGCAGTGAACTTGGACTGGTGCAGGTTAGGGTTAGCCCAGGTTAATATTTGGGGGAAAAAATCCAGTTGAACCTGTACATGCACGTTAATGTAGAAAAGGTTTAAGTATTAAACTCATAGGACTTCAATATTGACGGTTTTTTAAGGATAATTACAGAAAGTTAAAAAGTAAGGATGCACATGCGCTGACTGAGACGAGCCACTGACAGACATTTTGTGTTTTATAGATAGAGGTTGTATAATCACAGTAACTACATACTTCTGTAATGAGATATTTCCAACCAAGCTCGGACCTAACAGATATGTGCCGTTTAATTTTATCTAAAGCAACAGCGGTTTTTGTTTGTGAATTTTGATAGAAAATGTATTGAATAATCTGCTTAAAAAGAATAACTGTTCAGGAAAGGCTAATATGATCTGGGGTTATATCAAATATATATAAAAGATGTAGTTGTGAGTGAGATGGGAATGTTTCATACAGGGCCTTTGATGAACTATTTTGGCAAATGTGATGTCAATAAGATCAAATTATTTGTTTGTTTTTATACATTTTGTCAAACGTGTCATTGGACTCATCATCATGAACAGGTGGAATGTCTGAAATATTAGTAATAACATGTCATTCTCGCTTCTCTCTTCTCTCCAGCCGTTCTCTGCCTTCCACGGCACATACGAGGGAAGTACGACTCAAAAGATGATCATTTAAACAGGTGGAAACATCTGTTAGGGGAAATGATTATTTTAGCGGACACAAAAAAGCCTCATATTCTCACTTTTTCCAGAAGACGCTAAGCTCGGGGTAAGAATGCTGTTGTCAGTATTAGCAGTGAGGCTTGTAAGCCCTCCAAGTAGTTTGTAGTAACAGCTGGGTCTGACATGGAGTGCATGTGCAAGGGCAGCCAGGCTGAAGAGGGAGGGGGCCAGAGAATAAAAACACTGTATACTTGAGCCACCTCAGAGTGAGTGCATCTAAAACCCTGATGTAAAAGAGTTGGACAACAGAACATGAGGAAAGCGCAACATTTTTTCCCTTTTCAAAGCTGTACTCATTACAATCAAAGTGACAGGACCAGCCTTTGTTTGGCTTAAAGTCCAAGAAGAAATAACATGCATTATTTCTGTTCATTAAATATTTTTCATTTTATGATTTAGAACGTGAACTACAATCTCCAGTAGAAAACAAATGTTGAAAATATGAAGGCTCCTCCTGTAACCCCTGTGCAAAAAGAGTGATTGCATTTCACCTGAGAAATGTATAAAAATAATTTCTGGGCAATACTTTGTGATGTTTTAGTGGTGCAAAGATTATTACAGACACAAGCTTTTTGACAGAAGGGGCAGAGCGACATGTTTGTGCCAGAGGATCCAGATATTGGCTTGGATGGATCTAAAAGCATCTCCCAGGTCTGTTTTTGACGATGGAACAGATATGTCTCCATTGAAACAATATGAACGTTCTTTTCTTTTCTTTTTTTTAAAGAAACAAAAGAGCTTTGTACATAGTCAAAACATAACGAATTGGAAAAAGAGAGCATTTGAACAGAAAAGGCAAGATTATACCAGAAACTCCTGAAGGACTTTCTGTTTCATTTTATTACAAATACAAAATTAAAGCGCGTCACATTTAGTCTTAATCAGTGACATTGTATCTTTGTAAATGGGACACGCTTGAAGCAACGTTCAGCTACACAGCACTAAAACATAAAACTATTCTCTAGAATCGTGCTAAAGTATAAGTTGCATTTTTTGGGGTAATTTATTTGATAAAATCCAACAAGGAAAGCGATGAACAAGGTCAAATGTGTCGAGCCAGTGAGTGATGCATGTATTGCTCTTCTTAATATCTAAATAACTCAACATTACAGCCCGGGCAATTGTTTGATATTTTACAGTGAATGTAAAATGCAAAACATAAATTGTCATAATTTCCCACAAAAGTCACTCCAGAGTCGCACCCAAACTGATAAAAACTGTGACTTAATCCAAATAATACGGTTTATTATATGACTTGGACCGTACGCGCGCTCTGATTGGCTGATTACCGGTCTGATATTTTCCCATCTCGGACCGTTACCATAACAATTGGTCCACAGCGCATCACACAAAACCAAGTCGGACATGAGCATACTTCACAAATATCTCAAAAGCATTGGTAAAGACACAGACGAGAGTCATATAGTAAAACATTTATTAACCTTGCTTGCTCGGTCTGTGCAGAGAAATATCAGACCTTGGCCTTTTTGCACAGACCTCACCACGGCTCGGTCTGTACATTAAGGCTGCGGTCTGATATTTCTCCATACAGACCTCGCGCTCGGTTAATAAGCCGTTAATATCATACTTTCATTAGCTTAAATTCATCAATTGCATTAGTGCACATTTATCTACAGAGCACAGTGCTTCAGAAAGATTTATTCAGACATCATCTACAATTGTTATAATTCCCAAGGAGTTTAATTCTAAGTTTTCTACAAACTGGGGCTGGTGCTATGAGACTTGGGTGGCATCTCTGACTGCCACCCCCCTGACCCAGAAATGGATTAAAGGGTAGAAAATGGATGGATGGATGGGTTTTCTACAAACTTTTCAAATGTTAATGAAGAATTCAATAAGAAATTACTTTGGTACAAACCCATTTTTTGCCCTATTGAGTATCTTAAAATACTGACTCATTTGTTACAATTAGTACTACTGTTTATGGGCATTGTACACTGCATTTTCTCTGAATTATTTATTAATGTGTAAACCAGGATGTGTATTAACAACATCGATAATGGGGAACGGGGAGAAGGATCCCTCTGACCAAAAGGATCTTGGGTAAAATAGGGACTTGTGCTTGTCGTTGGTGTGGCAGTAAACGCACATGTGTAGAGATTTAATACTTAGTCTATGGGAGAGATGCGCAATTATACCCCCAAAAAAACTGTTTTGAATTGGTGACAGATTACAACAATATAAACCACTTTATGCACCACAAAACATCATGCTTATCATAATATAGAGAATAAAAGCTCAATTCTTTGAATGGCAAAGTAATACGATAGTAATGTTGATCATTTCATACTTTAAAACAAATAAATCATTGTTTTACAGCCCCACATAAGTTTTAAAAAAATATTCTGGTTTCAGAACTTTAACACAAGGACTTGTTTGACGTGAAGTTGCCAGTAAAAAGATTGTTTATATACTTTATCACGAGGAACTAGCAAACGTGTGGATTGTAATATGATGTTTGACTCAGAACAATTAAATCTTTTAGCCCAGTTTTATAGATGTGTCACCAAGAGATTCCAGGTTTCACTGGAAAGTACTTAAGAAAATCCCAAAAGACTGGCACTTGTCCCCATGCTCCAAAAATAGGAACAAAAACCAAAATAGCACCACAAACTGTAAAAGGTTCCGACTGCGCGAAAAGGCCTCATGTCTCCTTTGGCCTATTTTTGTGATTTTTTCATTGTAGCAGGCGATGACTTAAAGAACTGCACCTCTCAAACAAAGCAGTGTGATTTAGGGCTGAAAGAGAGTGTAGCTGTAATGCGGCACACTGTAACCTCAAACGCATAATTAACCAGCGGGACAAAAGAAAAACACCTATCCTCCCGACACACGCTCACATGGACAGAAGTTCCAGGGCTGGAGGACACTGTCGCACATGCCCTGGGTGATTCCTTCCAGCTATCTCCAGCCCTTATCGGTAATTAAGCACAGATGCACAAAGGAAATTAGCATATGCTTGGCACATCCATGTTAATCGGTCATATCTGTGCATAATAATGACATATGTACACATACTTGGGGTTACAGAAATGTAAAATCACACCTGAGAAAAATACACCGGACGTCACTTTGTGGAAACCTGAACCTAGGATTTAAAGAAATCGTATTGACATAAACGGTTAGTTTAGGAATTATACTGCTCTTTTAAATTTTAATATTATTTGTAATTCAACATAAAAATACACTGGTAAACACAGAAAAGCTATAGACATACAAAGGATGTGTCATAAAACTGCACTATTTGTTCCTTTTTCAACAATACTTTGTTGAAAAAGGAACAATACCCTGGAGAATACAGGTAATGTTCAGTAATGACATTCTGTAGGCTGAAAAATTCACTATGGCTTTCTCAATAGCAGCAGTACAGCAGCAGCAGCAGGTGTAGTGGTAGCAGGATTAGTAGCAGCAGTAACTCTGGCAGTAACAGCAGCAGTAGCAGTAGAATTACTTGTAGCTGCAATTTCAATACTAGTGGTGGTTGTAGCAGCAGTGTTTCAACAATAGAAGTATTGTAGAAGTGTTTCAATACTAACAATCTATGAAGGTGGAATTATTATTATCCAACCAGCATTATTTCACTTATAGTTGGTTTGTTTAGTTAGATGTTTTGTGTAATTGGACTGTACATGTTGCATCAACACTTGCTCCTGTCCAGGGTAGCCTCCTCAGCCGTGTGAATGCTCCGAAAGCCGCACTGGCTCCTATCACGTTCTACACAGGACGATTTGCTCAGTAAAGTCGAAGCAGGCAGAGCACACACTCTCTGAAGCAGGCAAAGCTCACCTCGCTCCACTCTACACCCCGCTGTAATAGTAGTGGCGAAGGTTTGTGATGGGGGAAGGGCAGAGGTGCACAGGTTTCTCATCAGACAAGGGGGAAAAGAAAAAAAAAAAAAACTAGGCCAAAACTAAGGAGAATTTCATAAGCTATAGATCTACAGCTTCCACTCACAGCTGCAAAGGCGACACTGGAACATGGATATTAAGAGTATAAAAGTGACAATGCTCCACGCTTTTATTCTTGCATAGTCGAGCCATGATTCATGCTTCCTTGCCCCGTCAGAAGGGTTTGAGACTGGGGGTAGATTGATAACGTTGGCTGGCTGCCCGTGCTCCGAGTCTATCTATGCTGAAGGAGACACGGGGAGAAGCTGTGTGTTGTACTTGTGCTGGGCTTGTGATAAACTCCAAGCATTTCCCCCCTCATACAGCTGGCCTGGCACAACACAACGTTTGCAAACTTCTGTCCAAACAAACCGTGTGCGAAGGGAGTTAAACAAGGCGATAATCAACAACTTTATGCAGATATGGTGAACAATTATTTGGTGGGATTGAAAAGTGAATGCGTTATGGGCCCAGGCATGAACGACAGCGGAATGGATATGAACATTTTGAACAGATATAGCATAAAGTAATGGAAGCCCAATTTGTAGAATCATTCACAAAAACTTTCGGTCATGAATAATCTTTAGCCTACACAATTTCTATACACCAATCAGCAAACCGTGGCAATAAAGTCCACAATGTTATTCAACAACTGGGAAGCACAGAAATTGTTTTGGGACAAACGAGGACATTGCATCGGTCTGCACTCTTGCTCTCAAAACAGAAAAGTAAAAAAGGCAACGCAGCCTGAGCCATGGATGTGTCCTCAAAAGGGTTTGGATGAAAATGCAGTGCTTTCTCTCTTATCCCAAACAGTAATTCTAGTGCAAATGAAAATGAGTTTGAGGGATTGTTCGTGACATTAATCCTCCCAAACACTACAGTTTGAGACAGGATCCAATTCAGACAGACAAGCATGAAGCAAATCAACAATCTATTTACAAAAGGCAAAACTAAATCAACATCGCTTTTGGCTTTGGTCTAAACTCATTTGACAATAGCTTTTGTGGATGGCGTTGAGCCTGTTTTCTCTGAGGGTGGTTTTATGGGACCCCTCCCTTTCATCTTGGATTCCTATTATTGTGCATTTGAATGGGAGCCTCTTTTCTGCCATCTACACTTCAGGTACAGTCAACAGAGCCTGCTGTTTACAAAGCAGAGCTAGGGAGAATAGACTGTACATGCCTGAGGTGAAGCGTGCTCCTTGGACACAGACATGAAGAGTGTCATCGCTGTGCTCTGTATCAAAAACACAAAACTGTACTATTTTAAGTGTGTGCTGGCTAAAAGTCATAGTGGACATTTTATACTTCATTAAATGGACCCCAGAGGAACAGCTTGACTGTGCAATGAAAAAGTGATGAAGAACAAACAATATTTTAGATTTTGTGGCGTGATGCGGTCCAAAGCTCACCTCTTTCCCCCCCTCATACCCACTTGTATAGTTAATAGGAAAGAGACGGTATAAGTTCATGCATGCAGGAAGAGAAGGAGGAGGGAAAGGTGGTGGTGGGGGCAAGGAAGTGATAACATTGAACAACAGGAACCTTGCGACACATAATTCAGATGAATCAAAAGGGAGTTATGGTTTCTACCAGTGTCAAGGATTTCTGGTTTTGAGAAATAGTCCTCGAAACAGACAGTCTTTGTTTGAATGTCACCAATGAACTTAGATAGACTCAAATAATAATTTTGCTATCACACATATGATAACAATCAGATCAGGAGCTGAACTGCCTCTAAATCAATTGAAGTAGGCATGTCAGAGGGCTGCCCAGGAGGGGAGAGCAGATAGATGTGGGGCCGTGTGGGGGAAGGGGGAGCTTGTTGGTGTCGTGGGAGCACTGCAACAACAATAACAGCAGTGTATGCATGTGTGTTTGTGGGGCTGCCACAGTGAATGAGCTGGACTGGAAGTGGGGATGTGTTATGGCTCACACAAGTGATGAAATGACATCTCCTTTACTTCAGCACACAGCTGCTATTGCAGCAAAGAACACACTGTTAAGATATCTGACCTTCTATTTTCTCTGCCAGCTCCTGGTCAAAAGTGTCTGTCTGCCTGTCATGTCCTTCTCTAATTAGCAAAACTTACACAATGACCACACTGTGTCCAACAGACACATATCTGTCTATTGATGGTGTCCTCAACAGTTAGTGATCTACATCAAAATACACTGGTCGACACAGAAAAGCCATAGACATACAAAAGGATGTCTGATATAACTGCACTATTTGTTCCTTTCTTTCAACAATACTTTGTGCAAAGCCAAAGTCTTTAGACAGACCACAACATATACATTAACAAAATTGCATTTTCAACTCATGCACTCACCGGAGAATACAGGTAATGTTCTCGTCAAAGTATATTAGGATAGATTCTCTTTTTGTTGTTTTACAATTTTCTTTCATCTTTTTCGACTCCCCTCCCCCTTTCTTTGCAGATTAGAATTCATTAGCAATCAAAGAGCCTCCAGAGAGCTCCAGCTCTTAATTACCTTCTCATTTGCATTTTTGCATATTAATGACTGCAGGGTTTTGGTTAGGTTTTTGCCGCAGTGGTTTAAAGGCACCTCAGTCCCTGTTCTCCAGGGAGAAGCAGTGATGGCCGCAGGCGAGGCTCCAAGCCTGGCCGCTCTGCTCCTCCTCTCCTCCTTGGCTTGGAGCTGGACATTGGCAGGATGGGGGTGGGGGGCAGTTGGCCAGGGGCATCTAAGGAGCAGAGTGAGCATGGAGGTGACCAGGCTAAAGGTCAATGTCCCTTATCAACATAAGAAAGAACACATGTCTCCAGTGCTGCCTAATTATTGTCATATTGAGCAGTTTAAGCACCTGATCAGGAGCACATACAGCCTAAGAGGAACTGAAATCTATACTGCAGAGACTCTAGTGCGGGCTTATTGAGGACGGAGCTAGTTTGGATGAAACTCATGTCTCAGCATGCGCAGAGGAAGGGGTCTTTTTATATCCCTGGAGAAAGGTGTGCACGAGAGAACAAGCCTATTGTATGCACCGTTTGGATTTATACGTTCATGTTGCTGAGAGAGGAGTAACATTTAGCTCGCACCAACATGTAAACTGCACATTTCTGTAGCACTTGTATGTACATTTAGCCACATGGTGAGAAATGACGAATACCCCGGGACAGCAGACAACAGCTCCCAGGCATCGTGTAGCCCCTGAAGGATTGCTGTTCTTCTTATCCAATATGTTCTGACTACAACAGGGATGTCAGAACATGGAAAATACGCTCTACCCACTGTGTTTCTATGCTTCAAACAATTAATAATGTTTTAGGCCATAGACATCTACCTAACTGCTGCCCACCACAGGATATTTCATCTTTGTGTAGCCTGCATTACTGCACTAGGGCATTAGATATACAGTATGTACGCCACAAGACAAAATATATAGATGCATTATTTAGAAACTTGGCAGTAAGGGTCACAATAAATATTAACATGTGTAGAAAGCTTATGCAGCTTTTGTGTTTTTTGTTTTGTTTTTTACGGTAGGCTATGTTTAGATTTCATTATGAAATAAAATCATGGTGTCCTTTCAATGAGGTGTAGAAATGAAATATTAAATGTTAATAATATAAAAAATATATATATTAAAGAACAAAGCTGAAATGGATAGTAGACCTACATACAACATGATGTACGTTCACATCTGATGGTGGATCCCTGAAAGCATCCTGCACAGAGTCGGCTTAAGTCGACTTAGCTGCCATTAGTGAAGCTTTAAAGCAGTGTGTGTGTCTATGTGTTGTGGTGTGCGTGTGTATGATGTGTGCGTTAGTGTGTGTGTGTGTGTTGTGACGTGCGTGTCTATGACGTGTGTTTGTGTGTGTCTGTGTGGTGTGCGTGTGTATGATGTGTGCGTGCGTTAGTGTGTGTGTCAGGGGCCCCGGTCTGCTCTTCTGTGTGGGCGGCTCGGGTGGGCTTAATGAGCTGCTCCATGACCCCTGTCACCCCGCTGGACCGCCTTGGGGAGAAGGCCTGGGACAAACAGGAAGACAGGGTGACAACAAGCTTGTGGTTTGTTGTCACCCATCCACACTCTGCCCCTGCATGCACCTTTGTGACCCACTCATGGACCCACTGCACCTTTGTGACCCACTCATGGACCCACTGCAATGGGGAAAACAAAGTATTTTTAGGACATAGGAGGATGTGGTGTGTAAAATAAACGCGTTACTGTGAACAGTCCATTTCAACATCAGCAGTAAATCCCATTGGATGTTTCCTAACCTGCATGTGTTTATGTCCAGCGACATCTCAGGACGAGCACGCGACGGTCAGGAGCCTTGTGCACGCGGCCTGTGTGCGGCCTCGGGCTGGGGGCCAGTCCTGTTTCTGGTCCTGGCATCTTGAAACGATCAAAACAGCTCCTCTACCGCCACCTCCTGGTGCAACCACACTATTGTACCAAGTGCAAAGGAAGGAGGGCACAGGATGAGACAGGACAGTCTTGGACACTACAGTGTGAGCATTTTAACACTGTATGAGTGATGCAGAAACGAGAAGGAGCAAAGGAGAGGGCTGCGTGGGCACCAACTGATCCAAGCCGCTGGATCAAATCTCACATGTTCATTTCACCCTTATTTCTCTGATTATGCACCTTGTAAATGGAATACTGATGACATTAGGACCAAAGTGATTGTTAAAAGCGGTGTGGTTGTTTTGTGGATCTGTTATAAATATTATATTTATCTCTCTCTCTCATTATTTATCTATATATAGTTTTATGTAATTATACATGCACTAAAAAAAACCTGCACTAATATTGACACTATTTCTGATTGCCACTTTTTTATTGTACATAATATATCCTGCATTTAACATGTTTGCACATTTCCTCCTTTTTTGCACAATCTGAGTGTTTCTATCCATGCCAAATGTGACATGTACATTTCTCCTTTGTGAGATAAATAATTTATATATATATATATATAATATATATATATATATATATATATATATATATATATCTCCATTTCTGGGTCAGGGGGGTGGCAATCAGAGATGCCACCCAAGTCTCATAGCACCAGCCCCTCACTGACCCTCTGCAGGTGGTGAGTCCACAGGAGGACGGCTGCTCTCTGACTGTGAGCATAGCCTTGATCTTTCAGTGGGGGCTTTGGGCAAAGTGGGGTTAAGTGTCTTGCCCAAGGACACAACGACAGCAGTCATTAGTGGGAGATTATATATATATATATATATATAAAATTATATTATTTATGTATATATTATTTATATATATCTATATATATATATAGATATATATACACACATACATATACACACGTCCTTGCTTCCTTCGTATGGATCCTGGCCTGGATGTTTGGGTTCCAAGTTCCATAGCACCAGACAAAACACAATAAGAAAATACAAAAAAGTCCCAATGTTTTACAACCGTTGTTTTTAATAGAAAGATGTTATACTCTTTAAACCAGATGCCAGACATTAAAAAAGAAAGGAACAAAAATGATATTAAAAAAAATGACACAAAATGGAATTATATGGTTTGGACTGTGTGGATTTAGTGGTCTCATATAGTACAAGTGCAAATTGTCACAAATCTCTATTAGTCGTCTGCTTTCAGCTTGGACTGACGCTTATATATATTTATATAGAGGAAACAGAGTGTGGGGCTTAAATTAAGTGTTCCCTGAAAGGAATGAAAATTTGATGTCTGGAAAATTAGCTTCTGAAATCCAGTTTCTGTATAAGTCTGAAGTATTCATGTCTTTGAGTGAATGAAACTTCTATATCAACTAAATGAAATCAATCTTAAAAGTTTAGCATAAATATCTGAGTGCATGACTGTAACCCATACATTTTGATAATAATTGTTTACCTGTTCACTAGATGTGTAACCAAATCAAATGTGCACAGCAATGGACAGACCTTTTAGACATTCAATTCAAGGAAGATTTTCACAAAGGCTTTGCGACTCTTGGTGTCAAATAAAAGACATTAAACTTTTTCAATCCAGAATCAAACAAACAGATTTGAGACTGTGTAGATCAGAATTCACAACCATGTTCGAGGATGTCGTCTACCCAGAGACCACATATTTCAAGTTTCTTAAAAATCCAAATATATTCTTTGCATTTAAATAATTTGCGGTAAGAGATGCACAACATAAAACAATGGTGATCGCCATAAAATAAAACGTATAAAATTGAGGATGGCCTTTGAAAGTGCTTTTAGTTACAATCACAGAAGCTGAAAAAGGCAGTTGGAGAGCGATACATAGCAGGCCGTTTGAAGTGTCCACATGAGTGCTGTTTCGCACACAGACGCAGAATGAGGAAGGACAGACGGACATGACCCGATCCAAAGTGTCTTTCTGGCCATAACACCTCAAACTGAGAATCGCGGTCTGAACTTATGGAATGTTACCCAAATGACTTGAGACGGCTGCAAACTGAAGTGATGTTTCTTTTTATCCCGGCTGCTCTGTGATCCCGGATCAAAGAGGCCACTGAGAAGAAAGTGACGGGAATATGGGAACATGCTCTGTGCTTTTCTAATATGCCTTTTATAAATGGACTTTTATAGTTTTCACTCAAGGCTGTCTTCTTTGCAGGAAAAGTTAAATCCAGAGAGAAATGTTGGTCACAGCCATTGGACAAAGTAAACTTGTTTGGGCCAAGTTAAATGTGTTTATGAACAACATGGGGATATACATAGGGCCATGAGCCACACACTTATGAGCAGACATCAAATTAAATGCATAGCTGTGTATTTTCCACCTGAGAAATACATTGAAAACAAATGAGCCCAGTTTTCTCTGCAGTGACCTCCCGTGTTCTACATTTTTAATCAAATCTGCGGCCGTATGATTCCCCCATTGTAAGTCAAACACAATTGTATTGGTCAATAAACATTCAGTGACCTGCTTTGTCTTTAGTCATCCCTGAAATCTAAAGCCGATAGACCCAAATTCTTATCTTTTTGTATCTTTACATCCCCAGAGATGTTAGTGCCTCCCTTGGCTGTAAGCAGAGACAGCTGCCGGCCTTCTGAGGACCCATGGCTGCCTGTGTTGGTGCCAGAGCCACGCAGTGCACTAGCCGTCCTGCATATGCTGCACTCATCCTGCTGGGAATCTCAAGCTCATGGAAAACACACAAAAACACAGTATCAGGTGTCCTGCGAGATTGCAAAGCTAACAGTCCCCTTATGTCATCACCAATGCTTTTTGTCAGTTATCACTGTTTTGAAGTTGATTGTTGTGTGGCCTTACAGATTAAAACACCAAGGTCAATAAAGAGACATGAAATAAAGATTCTGTAGAGCAATGTCAGAATAACCTTGGTCTGGGGCTGAGGCGTTTGGAGCCACAGAGGCGAGACAGACACAGCTCTGGAGGTGTAGCTGCTCAATAATGTTTCCAAAGGAAATCTTTGCCATGAACTGAACAATGTCAATACAGAGCCAAAGAAACTTTTATCGTTTGGTTAATCAACAGTCTATGTGTGTAGTTTTTGTGAGTAAGGCACACTGCAGCAGTTAATGTTGCAGTTTCTTAGGAGTGAGCCTCAGCCCCACACTGCACAATCCCACTGTCGTTAGCAACACATAGAACACAAGGGTAAAGCCTGCGCACTGCTCCAGTTGTGAAAGTGACATTTTTCTCATCAAACTATACTGTGCAAATCACATGTCATCATTGATCTTTCTATTATTCTGCTTGGATATCACCCAAAATGAAAAGAATTATGGAAAAGTAAGATAAAGGCTTCCTAAAGGACTATCAAGCACACACTCAATAGTGAGGGTGGTCCGAGTAGAGAATTGTAGTTCATAACTTCTTCAGATAGAAAAGACATGTATCTATTTATTACACTTTGGTATTTATTGTTGAATGTGAAGCATGTTTTTTAAATTATAATCTGTTATTCATCCCGTCTCCATAGGGGAGCGGTTGGACTGTTTGTGGGACCACTGAGTACCGCCACACTGCTGTAAGCGAATGCAGGTAGCCGATGGCCTCAGCCCTCTTCCATAAGCAGGACATTTACTTTAGTGCAAACTTTTGCTCTCCCAGCATAAGCACGGTTTTTCCAGTGCTTTCAGGCTTTTATCCATGACCCCACCCAAGCACCCTATACCCCACCCCCCTGGCACAGCAACCCACACGCTGACCCGACACACACACACACACACACACATTCATGTCACCATATTAAGAAATAAAACAGCTGTAGCACAAAAACAAGGAATAATAACTATACATCCTTATGTCTGATTCTATTCTGACCACAAGGACACTGTTCAAAAGTAAACACTAGTAGATAGACTCCACACTTCTCTGCATAATATTCAAGAGGGCAACTGCATGTGGCTTTATCTGCGAGGCCCAGAGTTGATCAATTAAAACAGCTTTAATATATCTTCTCTACACAAGTCCTTTCTATGGGCAACAGAAGAGCTTTGGTTAATCATCAATACATGTAAGACTTTCTACATGACAATACAGTCATAAAACAAAAATGGCTCAAAAAGTGCCAACAGGTGCTGCAAAATTAAAGACATGCAGAGACTAAATGGGTTTGTGTGACCCATACCAAGTACCGCCTTCCACAAAGATCAAAGAAGAGCAGCTCTGCATTGCTCTGCCGCACTGTGCAAAAACTCAGACTATGTATATCATATCATCCAAGCAAAATAGAAACTACACTGGCCAACAAGTTTTTAAAATTATTTGCAAATCTGGACCCAGAGAACTGGAAAGTAAACAGGCAACTGTTCAATGAGCTGTTCACAATATAGCTTTTTACTTGTGTGGTTCCGCGGTCTATTATCACTGGCGCTCCTCTGAGAGTGGAGTTATGAGAGGAGCTGGTGAACAGATGGGCCAGACATGAAGTTTGTTTATCCATGCTTGTCCTGAGACCCTCCAGCCTGCCAGCCAGTAACGCTGCAGTCTCCACCATAGTGCCATAGTGCCCTTTCATTGCCTAAACCACCACCACATATACAGATATATAGACATATGCTTTGATTTTTGTTTCTAACTTCAAGTGCAATCAGTAGGAATAATTTAGGTTTTTTTTAAGGTTGCAGAGATTTTTCTGAACTTCTTCTCTTTGAGAGGTTTGAACAGCTCAGAGTAAAATATTTGGCAGCTCATCAACACAACCTGAATCACACCAGTGCAAAGATGCTAACGATCATTTGCCACCGGATCATTCACTTTAAAAGTACCCGTTTCATTGACAAACGCTCTCTCCTCAGTAACAAAGTGCATTCGCCTGCTTTTCCATGACGGTGCAATGGACTGTTGATCAGACTACAGCTCGAGAACAACCCGGTCAAGAAGATAAACTTTCTAAAAATTTTCCATTTGAGGAAAAACATTGGACATTTGAGATTATTTCAGATACATTATACAATATACAGTATATTTCTGGGTCAATTTCCCCATGGGGGCATGTCTGGCCACAGTGCCCGAGTGCGTGTGCTTTAAAGACAGTGAAAGTGCATAGGGGCAGCTTCGGGTGCGTGTTAGAACAGGCCATGTCTGACTCAAACACTGATTATGTGGCCAGGGGGACCATGCACACCCACTGCCATGCACAGAATGTCCACACAAGTGAATGCAAAAGACCAGGCATCTCCCCCAGACTAACCTCAGGCTGTTTCAGGGGCATAAGAGGACTACAGGAGCAGAGAGAAAAGGCCTGATCCGATCCCCTTCTGCTTGGAAACGTGGCTGTGAGCTGGGGAGATTATTTTTTGGAATGCAACAGACTAGTATATCCTCCTCCCTTTCCTGTGCCCCTCCCCCTCGAGCTGAGCTGCAGCTGCACTCCTATTTGGCCAAGCAACTTGGACAGGTATTTATTGCTCTCTTCATCATACAGGTTGCCTCACGGTTGTGTGGTCCCTAGGGCACAAAAGATTGGAAAAAGCATCATACACAACCTACCTCTCGCTCTCCTCTCGCACCAGCCCACTTGCTTTAAATATACTTTTGTATGGTTGGATATCTTTAGTAAAGCTGTGCAAACATAAGAAAGGTGCTTGTCTATGTATACGCGCCGCATAGCCTTCCTTTCTGGTTTTGTTGCTCCCTGCCATGCTCTTAACCAGATTTTGGTTAAATGCTACCCGCTCCTTGTTACACAAGGACCGCAAACTGCACAAAATTAAGCACATTCATTCCTCTTCATTCCCATACTTTCTATCATTAAGTGATCAGTTGTATCTACTAGGCAATTATATGCTCAACGATTAAAACAGATAGCCTTGTTCACAAATGTGAAAAAAACATCAAGCTTAAGGAAAAACCCGATTAGTAAGTACACCTCAGCATTAAGAGGGGACCCATGTCGCTATATACACATACAATTATAAAGTGTCAAGTACCCAAAGCAGTAAGCACAAACAGAAGACAAAATTAAGACATATCAATTGCAGGACATGGAGGGAAAATAGGCAACATAGTCAAGCCAAAAATATACAATGGTAGTGCTTTTAAAAACACAAACCCTCCAACCTGCAACTAACGAGCCCCCAATGACGTGGATTCGACTCAATGCAAAACTCTTTTGCAATAAGACAAATTACTTTCAAAACACAATTGATAGTAAGCAACACTTCAATCATACCCTTTTCTGATTCTTTCTGGAACACTTTAAGTGAAAACTGTTGCATCAGATTTTCTTTCTTGCATATGCCACAATGTGGCAATGTTGTTTCTATGGTAACTGTACATTTCAGACCAGCTAAAGAATAGAAAAGAGTTTTCACAGATTTGTCCTCGTTTCACCCGTACAGCTGCCAGAAGGTGCCTGACACCTTGCTTAGAGCTTTGAAGGCTTTGAGGGCAAAACCACTAAAATCTAAATCAACTGCATAGTTGCTGAATTTTTGTAATCAATATACATTTGCCAAAGCTTATAAGAGCCAATGTATAAAACCCCGAATACCATATTGTTCAGAATGACCCAGAAAGTGGACATCATGGCGTTCTTTTGCTCTTCAACAGAAAATGTAAGTGCTTCCATTTCCTAGTAAAGGAAAATATTAAGACTAGATTTCCCAACACCCTGATTTGGTTTATAGAGGAATATTTTGTGTTTTCAGTTGTGTTTGAGCGTGCTTCTCCTCTGTTCACTCTGTCCTGTCTCACAGGATGCAGAGTGGCTGTGTCAGGGCCCGGTGTCCCCTCCTAGTGGCTGCAGCAGAGGACTGTGTGCATGGGGCTCAGCTGCAGAGCTGGCCTCAGGGCGCCTCCGCCCAGGGTCAGAACGAGGGGCCACTCCAGTGTCCAGAGGGGGGGTCAGCAGGCTCATGGAGGCCCCCAGGAGGTCAGGCTCCCGCACACGGGGCTTTCGGCCGCGGCGGGAGGGGATGCCGTTACAGCCGTCCTTCTTGAGGTGACGATGGAGGTGGTCTGAGCGAACAAAAGTCTTAAAGCAGCTGGAGCACTGGTACGGCCGCAGCCCCGTGTGCACACGCATGTGGTTCTTCAGGTCGTAGTTGTGAGCAAACGCTGCGCCGCACTGTGTGCACAGGTAAGGCTTCTCTCCCGTGTGCTTCCTCATGTGGACCTTGAGCTTGTCCTGCCTGCAGAGACAGATAGCATGATTTACAGTAACAACAGAGAGTACAGATACAACATTGGATATTTTAAAGTGATCAAATAATAATCTTTATGTTCATTAGCTACAGTATTCAAATAATGTATAACCATGTTGTATAGTGATTATGATCAACTCTTTTTAAAATAAACTATTTTCAATCAGAACAAACAACCGACTGACAAATGGTAGGAGAAATGAGAAAGACAACAGTAGAGGCAGGGACACACTGAGCTTAGGAGCGATGTGGCACACTGACAGAGGTGAATTATTTAAAGAACAGGAGTGGTTTATTACCGTGTGAGGCACTCTTAACCCTGATCAAACAGGATTAAGATTACAATACCCCCTTCCCACTACTTGTTACAAATACAGGACGAGCCCTTCCTCACGTGTTCTACTTCCAAGTATTTGGCCAACCACATCTATTTCCAGCACAAGTCCGCTGATTAAATAATCAATTCAAAGAACAATTTAATGTGAAATACAAAGAAATAAAGGGAAACTGCTCCCCTTCTATGCAGGGAATTTGACTCCAGATTATGGTAAATAGTTAGGCACAGGACTGACAGAGAGAGCCTCCATCCTCTCCATCAGCCATGGGCAATAATCAACATAAGCACGGATCAAAGGTTCAAATGGCTTCAACAGAAAACACACAGGATCCAGGGCTGTTGTCCCTCTATATCAGGTCACTGATATACAGCTGTTAAAAGTATATCTACTATTTGCAACTTATTAATTATTGAAATAGTTACTAATTTAGTAATCAATTCATAGTTTTTTGTACTTACTTAGACTATAATATGTAGAGAAAAGGTTTTATGACCCAGATAATTCTATAATGACCTTGGAATAAAACATTTAATCAAACAACTCGATGTATCAAAATAGTTTATCACAGCCATACTACATTCAATCACAAAGGCCGTTTTGTGTTTTTATGTTAAATCTGTATGCTGTGTATGCCGTCTTTACACTGGGGAAATACCTTGAATGGCCACCCATCCTTAATGCCAGCTTAATGCAACGCTAAGTTGGTTAGTGCCAATAATCCCTCTTGTTGGCTTTGTTGTGTTTACCAATGCTGTGTGACACCAAGACCATAAGTGCATGTGACATGGGGTAGCCCCCTCATTAATTGGGCTTACCTGGTAAATCGCACTTTGCAGATGGTGCATTCATAAGGTTTCTCTCCCGTGTGCGTTCGGATATGGCGGGGTAATTTGCCTGCGCCCTGGATAACCTTGGAGCAAATGGGGCACTTTTGGAAGGCCTTGGAGCGCATCTTTCGCTCTCCTCCAGTTGAGTCCCCCCTCTCCCCTGATGCTCGGTCCCCTCGCTCTGGTCCCGTGCTGCTCCGTGACAACCAGAGTGGCTGCTCTCCCTGTGTCACAGCAGCAGACGCAGGGTCCTCGTGCTGCGTGCTGTTAAAGTAATTCAAGTAAAATTCCACATCAGCCTCGTCCCCATCCCCCAGGTCCTCACCGGCCAGAATGCGCTTTTTCTGCCGTTCTATGGAGTCCATCATCTGCTGCAGGAGGGCACTGGCTGGACCCCTCTCTCTCAACATCAGCTCCTTACCCTCATCCTCCATCTCTGCCTCCTGCCCCAGCCTGGACTCTGCAGGTAGGTAGTAGTGGCCGTTTTGAGGTGGATGGTAGTATGTTGAATTGAGGCTTGCTCCATTGCCCTGAAATGTGTCGCCATCATCATCATCGTCCTCTTCTTCGTCATCATCTTCATCTTCTGGCTCTTGAGAGGGGGCTGGGGCCAGGGCCAAGGAGAGAGGGGAGTAGTATTCCCCCGCACCACCTAAAGCCCCGTTACTGGGTATCCCCCCGTTCCCATTGTTAAAGTGCAGGTGTGTGGACAGGTCCCTGAGCTCCGGCGTGCTGCAACTGCTGCTCCAGTGAATCCCTCTCTGAAAAGACTCCAAATATTCACGGGCCCGCACGCGGTTCCCCTTGTCTTGGCCACCACAGCCTTTGCCCTCATCGCCACCTTTCTGATCACATTCCAACTGAATGAAAAAGGACAGGAGACAAGGAACATGTCAATGAAAACAAGAGATTACAAGATTACACATACATACTTATACATTTAAAACATTACATTACTTATACATAATCATTGTCTTGCTACTAACATTCGTAGAAGATGTCTTGTCAAAGTCAATGGTCATTTTAACTGATGATCCAACAAAGAAGCATCAGGGGTGTGTACCTTATCTCCAATAAATGACAGTAAACAACAGACATGTACAATCAATAGATATAGAGAAGCTACTGAAGGTCATGCACTTCTGTCTTCATTCGTTTTTGTTCACATTGATATGATATGAGACTGCCTACTGATATGTATCCTAACCCAAACTAGTGTCCTGACACACAATATTGGGTGCGTTTCATGCCTAATGACAAAAACTAACAACAATAAAAGCTTTCTTTGCCTTAATACGGAGTCGTGCAGATGTCTCACAACCACAGAAGTTACTAATTACAGCCTTTGGACAAACATGAATAATAAGGTAATGTAAAGTATTCACGTAATATTTGCCTTTCAAATAGAAAACCTTGATTAAAAATGTTTTTGGTTCGTCTGATCAAGAAGAACAATAATGTTTAGATATAATTGTTGTGCTTTAGTGAAAAAGTTTGTATGATAATGTGTTAATAATGATGACGATTAGGATGTGTGTCATACCGATGGGGAGAGCACTTTTGTGTCAAGGAGGTGAGTACAGACATCCTGCACTGGAGGGATTTCCAGAAGATGTGCAGCGGCGAGGATATCAGCCACGCTGTTGTGGCTGACCGTCAGTGTGGCTGTGTAGGCAAACTCCAGCAGAGCGCCCAGAGCCTCCGCAGCCACAAAGTCAATGTTGTAGACGTTCTGTTGGTCAGCGGCGGCCCCCGAGGTAAAAAGCTTGTGGAAGTATGAGCTGCAGGAGGCCAGGACGGAGCGGTGAGCGGGGAATTCACGCTCCTGTGCAACCAGAAGCACGTCACACAGCAGTCCGGTGAGCCGCTGCTTGTTGAGGCTGCCCAGGATGTCAGTGCTGTGCTCAGGGAAAGGGATGCCCACTGAGCCCTCCTCTGCCTCTCCACAGCCACCTCTTCCTCCACAGCTGCTCACCGTGCCCCTGAGCCGACGCCCCCCCCTCCCTCCGGCTCCGGACGACATCTTCCACCAGCCTGCCGCCGAGCCGCCCAGCACAGCCCCCACCCGTGTATCCGTCCTGCCGTCTGACCGTCTGCCTGTCTGCACACACACACAACACACAACAGTTACAACAGGCCATTATTATACACTCTGTAATGTACTGCACAGGAGACAGTGGGGCTGTGGAATTAAGCACATATTCATTGACATTGAGCTATATCTAATCAATGATATGCTTGATATCCAGAAGTACACAGGCATTATCTATCAGTGTCTCAAAGTAGGAGAGAAATAAAAAAATGCATTACATTTTTAAGCACTAGAAACTTTGCCGGAAAGGAATTCTTGCAATATTTGGGGAATCACAAAACCTTGTGAATCTGTCTTACTCGACTCTTGCTGTTCGCACCTGAAACATAGTGGTTTGACAGCAAAAGTAAAACCAGACAGAAGAGTATTTTAGGACTAGTGATCCATGCCAATCTATGCTAAATTTACCAATTAACTCAACATTTTAAGTTTTAACAGATTTTTTTCTGTTCAGCCTTTCACTTGGTTTGTATTTCAGCTTGGGGCCCTTGATAGTAGACACTTGGGCACTCCTGACTTAAACCAACCCAACCAAACAGATGTGGGCTCTTTTTAAAATCAGATATACTCATTTGCACTGAAACTAGTGCTCAGAGATTGGCTGTGCACATTTGAGGGTGGAAGGTATACTCTCAACTGGATCCAACAAGAGTTATTTCTCTGCATGTCCTGCTGTTGTTACAAGTCGACAGTATTCTGAAGAATAAAGTCTTCAATCAATAGAGCATTTCCACACAGATGTGTAGACATCTGTGCTACACACATGAAATCCGCCTGCCATAACCCAGTTTACAACAAAGCAACATATCCCATACATGCAGAGGACAAAAAGATAAGGAACTTCTAAATGTTGGGAGTCCCCACAAACTGTTATATATGTAACATTCAGATCACAGTCGTGTAGCACGGTCTCACAAACTGAATACAAATTTGGATTGAGTAATAATAACAGAATTTTCAATCAGCCCATTGCTAAACAGCATTCCTTCAATAGCTTTCTGACTCTATATAGTAGTGTAACAGTATAGTGCAGTCAGCGCTCAAATGAAAGTTTTTGCATAGGTAAAGACGTGCAAGAATGAAGGGAGTGGTCTTGTTCAGGAATCCACTGCCACCTAAGGGCAAGGGGCTCACAAAGAGGTTGGGCAACATCAAAACTATAAAATGAGCACGCTATAGGTGTCACTTTGCTTTTCCACATCTAACACTATCAACTTGCCCAGCAGGTTCTGTATAAACCCCTCCACTAGACAGTGCCATTCGTCACATGCTTGTGCAGGTGGCTGTTGCCCGTTTCCTTGTATGCACACCTTCCTCTAGGGGTGTGTGCATGCACTTAGGCAAGAACCCAAGGAAGAGGTCATGAAGGACAGATAGCAGAGGGCAGAGGGGGTAAGGTGCATGCTGTGAGCTGGGCAGGACATAGTCTAGTCAGGGAGGGAGGGGCAAGAAGAACTAAAGAAAGGAGAGCGCTTCCAGTGCCAGAACAGACCCTGTGGTAAAACACAAACACAAACAGAAATAGAGGACAAGCAACAAGCTGCGAGGAAACCGTATTAAAAAGGGAGGTTGTCAATCCGGTCTGAGCTGGTTACCCCACCCTGGACTGTGTGCCAAGTTTCAGGAAAGGCTGTCCCCTTGCTCACGTGTGGGAGGGGGATTAAAATGATTGACTGATGCCTACAGAGTGGGAGTGGGGTTAACAAGGGCAAACCATCTCCAATGTCTATTAACAAATGCACAATCAAATACAGCAACAACCCAGGTATGTCAAAGAGCAGGATATAGGACAATCATCCTGCTCCATCTACTGCTACCCAGCAGGGGGTGCAGTACTTGTTGCCCTAACAGAAGCCTTTCCAGTGGCATTCCTTCAGTTCTGCCCAGGTATGTTGGTAGGCTACACCCCTGCACCAAACCTGCCCAACCGTCCTGGCTGCCAGTTGCAGTTATTACCAGAACACCACCTTTTCTGCTATTGCTCTTCCACAAAGCACCACTACTGCCCAGAGGTCAGAGTTAGGTAAAGAAAATAAAATTTCAATCAAGGTAATTTCAATGCCATCTAAAATGATCAAATTGAAACCAAACGATCAGTCTTGACTGTACTGTGATTTTATGCAGTTTGAGCTTGATAAGCAGATGGTAACCTTTTACAACCTAATAAAGATAAATGTCATTCAAATAAAATGTGAAACGTGGCAGTAGCACAAGCAAACATTACAATACGTTCATCTGAATATTGGGGCTAGACCAAGGGCAAAGACAGAGAAACATGATGAGTGGTCGAGGCTGAGGAAGGCAGCAGAGAGCAGAGGAAAGGGTGAGCGGTCATGTCCTCTGCAGGTGGAAATAGATCTCTGAGAGCCAATCCAGTTCAGAGGCAACCTCCTTTTCTTTCTCACAAACAGAGCACCTGCGCTGTTCTCCCTTCCATACGCAGCTGACCCCAGGTCAGGGCTTTGTAGGGTAAAGCTGAGATAAAACACGCACACACTCACTGCCCACAGACCGCTGAGCTGAAGCAACCTGTCCCCAGATAACCTGCAGAGATGACCAAGAAAAGGAAACGGTGCCACAAACCTGACACCTCCGCATGGCTTAAAACATTTGTTATCACTAATTCATGGCTATGGGTGACAAGACCCACAACCCTGCTCAACGCAGCTCCCAGCTGTGAGTCCCTGACACTGGACTTCATGTACAGCCCTCCTCTCATGTCTGCATGGGCTATGGGTTTTGGAGCCTGCTTTGCAAGTCAAACTGTCACTTTAGTTCAACATGTCCCGCCCTTATTACCTTCACCTTGTTCTTATATATCTACTGAGAGAGATACTGCAATGAGACTGCAGGGATGCCACAACCAACAGCCTCCTTGACAAGACAGTACTTTCCCACAAACATTTAATCATCCACTTTCTATGACTGTGTTCCTCATACCCATTTCTGGCTCCCTATATGTGCGCATTACTTTCCCTGTAAGGACAGACGTACAAATGGCTGCCTTGAGCACCTTTATCCACTTTCATTTCTCACATCTTCACGGTTACATACCAGTCATTCTTAAATACAAAAGCAGCCATTAACCCCACACAACCTCTGACGTGTCTCAGGTAAGGGCGTAGATAAAGTGACGGCCATGCAGCATAAAGCAAGATGTTACGCCCTTGTCAGATACCAACACTAGCATTGCGGTCTATTTATCTTGTGCCCTCATTTCACCCTCTATCTCTGCTGCTTCTATGGCAACAGTTGTATGAAAAACGGATGGATCCACTCCATTCAGATGAAGAGGGTCAAGGTCAAACTGAAAGGATATTGCAAGATTATCAGAATGGGGAGGGGTCCTAAAGTGGATTTTGTGCACGCATTAAGTGACTCATAGAAAAGCAGGGGTGGACGGAAACCAGGCTGGGCATTTTGGCATCAAAGCAGGAAGAGAGCAAGAGGCTGATCAAACTTAAGTTGTTAGAGTTGATTTTTTTTTTTTTAGAAGAAAAATATTATAAGTAGTGCCAAGATGCAGACAGAAAGAAAAAGAAAAGGTAGTGGGTGAGGCAGGGTGTTAAAAATCACACTCATAAGTCCTTTGGCCTATGGTGGCTTTGGAATCTGGCTCAGATGTCAATGATAAACTCAGCTTTCATTGAGTTACCTGGAGTAACCTCAGTCAATAAGAGGAGAGGGAACTAACCACACACTAGAGGGGCAAAGTTTAATGACAGTAAAAGTCTGTGCATGAAGAAAGAAAGTCAAATGAAAAAAATATGATTGCGGGCATCTTGTGTTTGCTTCATGATGAGACCACTCCCACTGCCAACTTTGCCACCACTAATATCAAGAGAGGCACCATTTTGAGTGTGAAATGTCACTTAAACACACGCCCACGTTCGACGAACTAGATTAAAGCTGTGTTTGGGTTTTGAAAGCGATTTTGCATATGGTTTCAGAACAAAACACCACAACACAGTTCCTAGTGTAACAGGGGCTCTCCCGGTCAGGAAGTCTTATTGTAGGCCTATCTTTAGACATGTTAGAAATGTTATGTAAATAGAAGAAAGTTATTTACATATTTATTGGTTTTAGAAGTGCTCCATCTCGTATCAAGTTTCATGGCTCCACCTTTTGTCTGTTTCACATAACGTTTCTGAAAAATCTCTGATTGGTCAGCGGCGGCCAGAAAAATTATTATTAAAATGTTGAAAAATGGTGAGTGAATTCATGAAAATAGTGTCTTTCATGGACACAAATAAGACGTATTATGCATTATCTTGAGAATGTAAAAGAAGAAAATATGGATAAACATGTATATAGGAGATAACACAATCTGTCTCATAATGTACTCAAGGGTGATGTGTATTATTCTCACAAATCAAGTGCAAAACATACATGCAATTTGAAAAAAAAACATGCGGTTTTCAATTCACTTGCTTCAAAAGACAGAACTGTTTTGAGCATAATGTAATAGTGTAAAGATTGACCATTAGTCTCAAAAGTCGACGAGCAAAAAAACGTGGGTTGCCTTTTTCTTCCACGCTGAACACCATGGGTTGTTGTGTCAGTGTGGCTCCACTTTGAACCTGATTTGCCACCAAGCCTTTCTGACGAGGCGTGTTCAGTGTGACCATACTGACAGCATCACAAGCGCTTTGCACACGCTGCTCTTTCGTTTAATAAGTTGTCCTGGTATCCTGGGTTGACCATTTTCATATGTGGGTGATGAGCTTGTCAAATGCGTTATAATGTGATTCCCTGGGATCCTGGGTGCAGTGAACTGTGACCTTTATTTTGAAACAGACATGGCTCCAAACTACTTTTACTATGTTTTAAGTTTGACATAGGAGCATTTAGACAGAAGGGGCGGGGGGACGTTTGGTGTGCCAGAAGTTCCTGAAAAACAACTCCAGGTCTCCTTTTGATGAGGGAAGGGAGTCGGAAGCTAAAAACCATAATGCATAAGTCAATTTTGCATTAGGTCTAAAATACTCACACATACCCCCTTTAAAACTAGCTTATTTTGCATCAACAACTCTTGACACCCGTATGCATGGCGATCGGTGTGCATGCACAAGCCGACAAGACGACTTCCTGTGCAATAGAAGCCGCTGTGTTATCAGATGACCAGCTCTGCTCGCGCTGTCCCGGTTGTCTGAAGCAGCTCCCTTTCTGCCTTTCCTTCACTCCTCTTTTTCAACTGTCCATCTCTCATCTCATCATAGCTCCATCTCTGCACATGCACAGAACCCGCCTCGTCACCCACTTCCCCTTTTTCACTGCTGACACGGCAAATGATGTCCCACCCTGCGTCTTCGATATCCTCCAAAGCAACCCACTCATGTTCTTTTAAGTGTTTGCCCAAGCCAAATCGACGAGCGGACAGTGTCAGATTGGTCACCTTACTCCATGTTGGCCTCTCTGCTTGATTAACACAAGCTTCCACACTGTGTCCATTACAACCACAACACTTGACATATTATTTAATCAGACAAATGAGTATATGTCCTAATACATGTAAGACCCAGCTTCCTTGCAAAACACATCTTGGTCTCCTCCTACTTGGTCTAATTGAATCAGGTTGTGTTGGCCACTCCATAATAAATGCTCCAGGAGAGAACAGAAGAAGCCCCTGAACTGCCCCTAAACAACAGAATAACAACAGAGAGGGGTCTGTCTTTCTGTTTAAACAGTCTGGAAGCTGTGGTATACAGAGCAGCTGACCAGACCAGGGGAACTAAGCACAAGTGGGAAGTGAAGCTACACGTACTGAGCAACATGTTGCTTATGTGTGTGGGCACTAAGCTCACAGCATTCACAGCACTCACATGTGAAACAGGACAAAATCTCATGTAGATATGTGACAGCTCAATGACAAAAGGAATAGAAAGAATAATAGAGTAGGAGTATTATCATTCTTTTTGAATCAGAGCTGGAGTATCTAATGTTTAAACCACATCATATCTAACTCAATTATATATTTAACTTAACTGTGTATTTAACGGTTCTATCACTAGTTTTTACTTCTGTCTCTTTAGATCAGCAGAAAAAAAACCTTTTTAAACCAGCTCTCAGCCCAATAGTGTCTCAAACGTCCAAAACATATATTACATAATGCAATGTGTTTAAAGCTTGCCGTTTTCTATGTCAGCCATACATGATTGAAATTTAAATGGACAAATAACACGTTAAAGCTGGATTAGCTAAATATTTTAATTCATTAATATCACCTTCTGCTTGTCCCAACAGAAAGAGTCTTGCAAAAGTAAGATGTTATGACTAAAACATACAACATACTGTCTTCCTCTTTGTAAAACATGTTATATTTTGCATTGGTGTAAGACAGAGCACTGTGGGTCACTATTTGACTCTTTGGGTTGAGAGTTGATTGGCTGAGTCAGGCCAGATAATCTCTTTTTAATTTAAAGATGTGACAGAAAAATGTGTGGCAGAGATAAATATATGCATGCGAAAACTAGAACCGTTACATGAACTTTTTTACATGGTTTGAAAGTTAGGTGCAAAAGCAGTCAAATACATCAGAGGGCCAAAAAAAAATGTTTGCTACGCGCCGAGGGCCGGACTGGTTCAATATTTCTCAACATCCAGAGGCAGTGCCGGTGACACCTGTTGGCTCAATAAAATATGCTCTAAAGCCAATCCTCATACTGTACACATTAGATGTAATAGACATCTGAGAACATGACAATAGTAAAAAAAAACAAAAAAAGCTCAGACTTGGTGAAATGTAAAAGAGCAGTCTGGACCTCTTTTTGGGGCGTTTTTTGAATAAATCTGAAGAATGGATTATACTTTGGGAAATACAAGTGGATGTTCTTCTTCAATGAACAGTTACGGAGAGAAAGAGACTAAGCAAGGACGGGGAAAGTCTAATTTGTTGGAGCAGCAGAAGACGAAAGGTAAAAAACAAATACAGACTGATTTATTTTGTGCCCATATTATGCGTTATATCTTTTTAATGCAAAGTCTGATATCATTTACACTTACATATAAATATAGTTGAGAAAATAAGCTTTAAAATGATATATAGCTTGTGGCTTATGAAGTTCAAAATACATCTGTTATTGCCAGCAGATGTATTTTTTTCCTCATTTGCTCCCGCCGGCGGGGGCTAGCGAGCTTAAGGGCCTCAATGGCAGGCAATGTCCCGGGGGCCATAGATAATTCATTCGCGGGCCGGATTTGGCCCGCGGGCCTTGACTTTGACACATGTGCTTTAAATGCATCAGTTATGGCATGGTGTGGGAGAAAAACATTTGTTCCATGTGGGCAAAATACATTCCACGAATCACCTCAATATGGTTCTATCCATAAAGAATGCCTTCAGCGCTCCAGCATGTGCAGTTCCGTCCTATAGAGCCAACATTTCACTCTCAAATGAAGTCTCAAACTGCCACGGAGACATCACGCAACCTGTCTCCTCCGTCTGCCTGAACCTGCTCGTTTGGGCCAGCGTGGTGTAGGCACAAACATAGGGGAATATCAAACTGTATTCAGCCTCACCGCCAAATTGATGGGTGGTGTCTTGGACCAGCCCACAGGCACTGAAGTCCCCTGCAATTCCCCCAGAGTCTATTGTTGGTAACATCGGCACACATGCATGGAGGGCGAGCCGATTCAAAAACACATATGGCGTCCTAGTTTAACCCCATAATGGAACTTCTTTTACCATGTTCTTTCTATAGAATAGCTGCGGCTTTAAGTGAGGACAAGGACTACCAGAATAATACAAATCTTGTCACGTCTCATGCAGAAGAAAAATAGTTTAGACCGTTTCCGCAAGTTTCAAGTTTGTCAAGTTTTCCAGTATGCAAAATTAAAAGATAGGCATTTCATATCAGGAGAAGCCACGTCAGATCACAACTGCATTAATCACAAGCTAGAATACCATGACTGCGGAGATTAGAATCGAAATTTAACAAGATGCTGGAGCGCTAAGGGGGAGTGAGCCGAAGAACGAGGTCATGAGATTGACTGAGCTTCCACCAACAAGTGTCCATGTCTGTGAATGTTGACAGCATTGTGAAGTTAACCAATGTGTTGTGATTATGATGATGATGTCAATGCATGTGTCACACCTGCTGAGGTTTCTCTCTGTAAGAACCACCAGACTAACATTAGAAGTGGTGGTTTTACAAATAGCTACCTTAAGGCCCCTAAAAAGCAGAAGTACAGGATGTGTGACTGCCTTTGCGTTTCACTAGACATAATATAGCAGCTAATACATATATTTTAAGAGCCCAATGATCACTTAAAACAATCAAATAAAAGTATAGGCATAATTCAAATCTACTTGTGTTGGGCACATGATCTAACATTGACCCCTTAGACATTCCATCAGCCATCTACATGAGGGTCCACAACTCTAAAACTCTAAATTACAATTTTTAAAACGCATGACATTCAATATTATTAGGTTGCGTTTGTCATCCTCTGGCATTACGGTGTCTCAGGAGGGCTTACCGAATAAGCAGAAAGTGTTGCTCTGGCCCTGTGTGCCTCCTATGCCAGTGTGGGCAGGACGACAGCTCTACTCGACAGGAAACTTGCGAGTGGCCGTAGTCATCCAGTCAAGCCTTTGCCTGATCCCACACAAACAGACACCTACCCCCTCCCATCCAAACACCACACCACCCCTTTTATTTTCATCCCACAACTGGGCTCTGCATCCCCTGCTCTGATTGGCCTGACAGCTCTTCTCTCACCACACCTCTTTGTCAGGATAGGCTGGCATGCGTTCCCTTTCCTGGATGGCCATGGGCAAGGCACTCTGGGATATAGAGTTCGGAAACCTGATTTGACCTGCTTTAAGAAGCTTGTTGTGAACTACAGCTCCCTGCACTGGATGTCCTCACCGCCCCTTGCTCAAACGTAAGCACACTGGGCTGAATTATACACCAGAGTGTTGCCATCAGGCTGGCAGGTATTAGAGTACAGAACAGCCTTCAGCCCAGGCACAGTGTCCCAGGCTAAAAGCACCGACACAGTACAACACAACCTCATTCACGCTGTGTTTCATCACTGTTCATTCCTTCAGCATGACAGGTGACTTTTCACACTAACACTTCAATATGTTCTCACACCAAAAATAAACAATTTGCTGCCGCCCACCACAACAACCACATGCTCACGATAAACTCAATCCACGTCATGCACATGGCCAGTCACCTCGCCGTCCTAAAAAGTTCTCCTCACCTCCAGCAGCATTATTCTTGCCTCTGCTTCCTCCCCTGCACAGAAGCCCCCTCCCTTTACTGACAGCCCCCCACCCTCCTCCTCTTCTAAGTGCTTCCACCTGCCTGAAAAGTTAATGCCATGAACACATCCTATAAACTTTATCTCAGGACTCCCAGGAGGGACAGCCGAGTACAGAGGAACTACTTTAGGAGGATTAGAAGAGGAAGCATAGACAGACCCACGTCTCCTGCCCAACCTGCCCCCCCACCCAGCTCTCCTCTACCCCTCCTACACTCCTGTCTGTGTGCTCTCCTCCTTTGCCCTAGTCCCTTCTAGTGCGACAGGCCCAGGGAAGCTCGCAGTGGGATGTCAGGGTGTCTGTGAGCTCACCTGAGATGGCTGTGGTGCTGCTGGTTATGGCTCTGGCTCAGCCCTCTCCTCCTGTCCACAGCTCTCTCTCTCTCTCTCCACAATGTTGTGCAGCTTAAAGCCCCGTATGCGCTAACCAAGCAGCAGCAGATCAACTCAATTCTCTTCCTGGTTTCTGGAGGGCAAAGAGGTCCCTCCCTTTCTCTCTCTCCAGCTCACACTCACGCTTGTTCTGTCTCTCTTAAAGACACAGCATTCACTGTAATCTCCATTCTCTGTGAAGCAAAGTGAGAAATGGTGGTGCAAAATAGGGCTGTAGCAAATTGATAAATTGCAACTAATCAACAATTGCATTAGTAATTCATTTAATAATATATGGATTGTTTTTTGAACCTTCACAGACTTAAACATGCTGAGAAGGTTTTATGACTCAGATAATGCAATCATACTGCAAAATTGAATGAAAATGTGTTTACAAAGTATTTTTAATCAAACAATCCAACGTGTAACAAGTCATATTTATGAATATGTTCTCCTGGGGCGTCACTTGAGCTTTGTTTTGGTCAAATCTATGAATTCCATATTCACTGAGCCTTCAAGATCGAAAGAGCCAATTGATTAATCATAAGAAAAATCAGGCAACTAATAAATTATCAAAATCATCATATTATAGCCCTAGTACAAGAGTGCTCACATAAAACTAATTAGAAAAGCAGGATACAAATGGTTGTGTCGATCAACATGATCATTTCGATGGTGTGATAACGCAAAACTCATAGACAATTCATCCAAAGTTCAAATATTAACTTCATCTTCTATCATTTCTTATGAGTCACACCCACCCATCCAACTGCCTGAGGTCATTGTCCCACCCCAAAAAGCAAGCCATGGCACATTCCAGTGCATACAGTAGGGGCTGCCAGCACCCCCTCCCACACACTACCTGCCAGGCTCCAACAGGTGAAATGTCACTGGAGACTTGAGCAGAAGCAGTCTTATCTCTGCACTTCTGTGGTTTTATGACTTGTCCTTGACTTTTTCACTCGCCCACGCTACAAGAAAACAGCAAAGATGAAATGCCAAATAGTTAAGGCTAGATTAAACAGTAAGCACATACATTTACAGTGTAATAATAATACTTATCTAAGACAAATGGTAACTTTAGATTTGTTCATCAAAAGCATGAGCTTTAGGCCATTATATAAGGTCAATTTGAGCATTTGAAGTATTTTCAGTGAAACTACAGTGTGTAACCAGACTGTGCAACATGCAGGCGATAGTAACACCTGGATTCGCAGAAAAACGACTTTGACGAACTTACCTTAGTTTTGCAGCAAATATATTGAAGCTGGGGAACCGTTTAGCGCTAATTTCCACACGATTTAATACAGCTTCAATGTATCACTACTGTTGCAAGTTGAAGACAACACACAAACTGCTTGTTCTGGACCATCTCCAGAGTAATGCAGACTGGAGGATGGGGTTAGGAGCAGGTCACAGCAGGTTAAAGGAGTCAACATTGGCCTTAAAGGTTTCATGAGAGTCACATGAACCACGCAGCTCACATGTAGGTGCGCGTTCTGTCTGCAGAGGGCGCTGTTTCCTCCAGTCTCTGTCAATGGTCTGTATGGTCTGTCACACTTCCCCGTCAGTCATAACTACATTATTTACAAGTCCGTGGTCGAATTCTCGCTTGTGCAGCCATATCAATAGACTAGCCGAAATACTGTGCCTCCATCTCATTTGTATTTATATTTTGTTGTCTTCTGATAACTCGTATTTGTTAACCGTGAGAGTGAATATTCATTTTTATATTTTCTTATTCAAAACTTCAGCTTTGAAGTGTCAAACCATGTACCCATCATGAATAATGTAGCAAACGTACCGGGGCAAAGTAGCAGCACGCAAGAGGTACGCCATCTTCATCAGTCACGTGACTATGATATCACGTAAATTCACAATTAGAAATAACTTCGATACATTCACAAATAAGATTTATTTTCATATTTTTTATATATATATTTTAACATATCCAACACATGTTTTATATTATAATAAAATGACTCTTCTCCCATGTCATTTACATAAATCAAAATTGTATCTTAAGACTGCAAAATAGTACTGTCATTTTTGTTTATAGCTTTTTACACATACAAGTGACAATGCATCGATTTTGCTAAGAACGAATGCACAGGGTTATAAGAAAGAACAGCCATAATAAACAAATAAGAGAAGGCAAGCGAGCAAATACCACCACCATGTGACAAACACTGACCTGTGCTAAAATGCTCAGTAAAAACCCTTTCTTTGCACAGTAGGTTTGCAAGATCCAAAGTAGAAGCTTGAAGAACGACAAGCAGCTTTACAGTAAAAAAAAAAATTATATCACAACAAAATGAAATAATTAAATTGACATTGAAATTGTAGCGACTGGTGATGGTGATCTGAAAAACAATCATAAATTACACATACAAATATGATAATCCATGCTAGATCTTCTCTTGGGTGAATCTCGGTTTTGTTTTTGTGAGTTTAACATTCAGGCCTGCGCAGCAAATGTCCATGTGAAGGAAAATGTGAGCGCATAAGCATGATATTGTGTTTACAGTCGGACGCACACGTACCCTCTTTGGTTTGAGAATTGTCAACAGCGCAATACTTTAAACACCAACAATTAAACACCAACAATTGAACATTTGCCAATTAGTCAATATTAAAAGAGGAAAAAAAACAACTAGATCATGTGTGAATAAAAAAACAAACCGTTCAGCCAATTGTTTGGATTTGGCATTCTCAACCAGACATTTCGCCACAGCACGTGATTTATTAAAATAACAAGCATCTGATGGGAGCCATAGAAGATCAATACAGAATAGTCAACAATACAAAAAGATCTTTTTTGAATAATGCGAATGTGCTGACACACCGACAGCCCTTAAGTGCTTTACATCCTTAGCAATGTGGAAACGTGAGTGAGCGCCTTTTTAGAACGCCGGCATGGGAGGGTGGGGGTCTCGGTCCTACAGTACAACGAAGAGACAGGAGGAGAAACCAAAGCATTTAAGATTTGGTTTTGAAAGAGCCAATGTGTGTGAAGGCGTATGTTGGCAAATGGGCACGAAAGCAAGACCCAGTGTGTGTGTGCGTGTGTGTGTATGTGTGTGTGTGCGTCTGTGAGTGTGTGCGTCTGAGTGTGTGCGTTTGGGGAGGGCAGTGTTGTCTGGTCACTCAGTCCCACGGGTCGGAGTGCTGGGCTGGTTCAGGCCCATGGTGCGACATAACCAGCCGGCGAAGTCCACCTCCTCCACCTCTGATCTCTTGATGAACGTGTGATTCTGAGGACGGAAAAGAAAGACCGTGGTTAAATTCAAACGCCGGGAGGAAAACCACAATTCTATCTAGGGAGCCGCCGATGATTGTCGCTCACCATAAGCATTTTCAGGTCCGCCCTTTCAGCTGGGTTTTTGATTAAACTGTGAGGGGGGGGGGGGAAAGACAGACTTATCCACTCATATATCCAAAGCACATGTTGTAAATATTGATAATATTTTAAGCCTAATCATTCAATTAAATCTAGGATACCTTCACGGATTAAAAATATTGTTCGTCCCAACAGAAAGTCTCGTAAAATGTAAACTAGTATGAAAAAGCCCCTCACCATTTGAGGCTTTGGACTGACAGCTGCATGAGGGTCCTCTTTTTCACTTTTCTGACTGAAAAAACCTGGTCTAAAGATGTGACAGTAGAGTGCTTACCACTTTGTTACAAAATCCTGGAAATCATTTGTAAACACTCCGAGTGGCAGTTTTGGGGGCGGCTGAGGGGGTAATACATTGTAAAGTTTAATGAGTTGATTCCAAATTACGTGATAGTGTTATTTTGAACATACCTCATTCACAATATAATCCAGTAGTTCAAATATGGCCATAGCGGGTCTGCTATCCATCCCATGTCCTGTTCGATAGGGAAAGTTAGTCAGTAAAAAATATATGGTTTGCAGTGCAGAAGTTAAAGTGATTGTCTGGAGTTTGTCAGAAAAAGAGAGGTACCAGATTTGAAAAAAAAAAAAAAAAAAAAAACGGCCCAAGCTCCTCCTCCTTCCTTTCTATCTATGTTTCCGTAACAATCAACACATTTAAATATTAATTCAGAGAACACTTTACGCAAATACATTATTAATACACATGCACGGAGGTTTTCAGAATGATTTGCTAAGGTTTTCATGACAAAAATACTGTTTTAATGCGAATAAAAGCGATCGTGGTAAACCCGGAAGAAGCTATTATCATGAATTGAACATTATAGGACACATCTGCAGAGGATCTGATTATGGATATAGGTTCAGTATATAAATTATTATGGATAAAGGTTCAGAGCCTAATAGAGACTTGATTCGGAGGCTCAGTGAAAACAAACAACTGAGCATGAGCAGCTACGAGCATCAGCGCTGATGATTGACAGCCCTTGGCATGACTCGATTGGTTAACGTGGACGGCATCGTGGATTCTGAGCTATAGCTAAGAGAAGGGAAGGCGGGACTTACCCGTAATATTAAAATGACTTATTTTATAATCAACATTTAAGGCCAGGAGGTCAATTTACTACAATTCCTAAAATTTGTTATTCATTTAGAGTTCCAAACTATCACTTTAATACACTTCTTTGTGTTTCTGTACCGCTGACAGGCCTGCCCGGTGGTCTGGGCCTCTGAATGTTGTGAACCTCTCCCTCTGCCCCATCCAGAACTGCCCGCCCAAAGATACCCTCCAGCTCTTTGGCGTCTGGTGGGGGGATAGGGTAACGGCCGATAGCCAACTCCACCAGTGACAGCCCCATGCTCCACACGTCAGACTGAACAGAGTAGTGAGTTCCCTGCAGTCTCTCCGGCTGTTGACAAACACAAGCACAGAGAAGTGCGTCAGAGCATTGGGGTGCCAAGGAGCCAGAGCCCAGAACATTTGTACATGATAGAGAATAGGTGGCACATATGAAGATGGGAGGAGGCACAGGTAGCAGCTAGGGCATATTAAATCTCATGCTTATTGTTTATTTCTATAATCTAATTTAAAATGTGAAACCAAGATATGATATTGACTCATTACATGCAAAATGACATTCACCAAGCGCTTTTGTAATCATTTTGATTTGGGGTTTATGCAAGCCGTTTGTTAGTAAATATCGACATCTGAATTAGTATTGAAAGAAAGGTGTCTAACTCACTTGTTAAGGATACAAAACAGTCAGGATTTTTTTATCTCTATTCTCTCTACCTCCTTAGTATGAAAGTTTGTGAATTAAAAAAAATGTTATAACACATTTTTATTTTGGACAAAATCATGAAAAAAAAATCAAATAGGAAATAGGCAATCCCCAGCCTTACTTAGAAGTTTAGCAATGAAGAGAAAAGACAGAAAGAGTAAACGCCTTGGCCTTTGCTACGGGGCTCTTTTCTGGGCTCAATGTGCAGGTGCTGGTAGGGGACCGAGGCGGGGGATAGTGCAGGAAGGGCTCAATGAACAAGAGCAATGCAAAAACAGGAGGAAAGGTGGGATAGGGCCAGGGCGAAAAGGGAGGGGGCAGAGCTGACTCACCGACATGTACGAACGGGTCCCGACAAAGGAGTTGGCCATGGAATCTATGAGCTGTCCGCTTACACCGAAGTCACAGAGCTTGATCTCACCACGGGAGTTTACCAGGATGTTGGAGGGCTTGACATCTACGGTGGCAATGCATAAGCCGGTCAATCACAGAAAAGCTTTCGAGAACATGCTCAAGAAGGACAATCAGAGCTAAAGCCGCAGCAACTTGGGACAGGTTGTTTTATAATTGCTAGTAAGTTACTCCCCTCGAGAGATCTCCTGCAATTAAATGTGCAAATAAGCTGGGGTATCCAACGTCTTCAATAAATAGTTTGGGTTGTTTGTCCCTAACGGAAATAATAAAAGATTGTGAAAGAAAAGAATGTGACTTCAACATCTTGTTTTCATCATAGTAGAACACATCTTTTGCATGTTTAAAAGAACCCTGTGAGTCACTATTTGACTCTTTGGGCTGAGAGCTGATGGTTGAGTGCGGGTGGTCCCTTCCTTTTCACTCTTATGTCAGAAAAAGCTGTGACGCAGATCGAAAGTTAGATGGATTCTTTTACAAAGTTCCATTATCTAGGTACCCCAGCTCTAATGAACCGAACTGCATTAAGTGTGATTTATGCTTTTAAGGAATCTTAAGTAACTCTAAGGCTTGCTATTGTCGTTAAATTGACTTGGTTTCTAGGGAAGTGGATGAAAGTAGTTGGTAAACAAAATTGAAGACCTCTGTTCTAATGTCACATCACCTCTGTGCATGATTTGGTGTTTCTCACGCAGGTAGGCCAATCCTCTTAAAACCTGTCAGGAACCAAAGAAATAGAAAGAAGAGCGTTTGAGAAACAGCTTAAACTACATATAAATACCTATTTATTTGAATGAATATTGGTTAACAATTAGGATGAAAATGCTGGTGCATCCCTGAAACTGAAATTTGCCTTTCAATATCTGCAAAACACCAGATATGAACAGATATTTGAAATACACAAATTCACTGCTATTTCCCAACTGTTTCTCCTGCACTAAATATCAGCCAGTAAATAGCCCGTAATCAGGATATAGGCTTAACCAATATTATGAAACCGATGCCCGAGATAACATTTCCAATATTGACACCACAATCCGATCGCAGCATCCTTGCATCTTAGTGCACAAAATCATACTATTCAATTGATTTTAAATGTTACTTACAGCTATGCTAACTTTTCCCAGAATGTCCTCTGGAATTCGTCGAGCCTCTTTTAAGACCTGGTCCAAGGATCCTCCATCCTGTGAGGACAGAATACAACGTAAATTATATTTATCAATTTACTGGTGATCGGGAAAAGGAAAGGGCTCTACAGTGTGTAGTGCTTTACCATATGCTCCATGCAGATGCTGATCTCCCCGTCGCTGTAAAAAGCCCCATAGAAGCCCACGATGTAGGGGGAGTTGCACTCATGCAGCACCTGAAGCTCTCGTATGATCTGGTTCCTGATGGCAGGCTTAATTTCCAGATGAATGAGCTAATTAACCAAAATACATGAAAAGTTGAAAAAAATGTTAAAATACAAATCTTCCACTTGTATCAGTCTCAACTAGGATCTACTGAATTTCATATATACCTTTCTAGCCATGACTAGACTCGAGGGCTTGTGGCGAACTTTGTTGACCACTCCTCCGTTCCCAGCACCCAGCTCACAAATGGGATCAAAGTCTTCATCCTTCAGCTCACCAACCTGGGCTTTCTGGGTGAGAAAGGCTTCGAGGCGTTTTTTCTGTTGTTCATCCAGGTCCAACTCACCCAGTTTCTTTTGTAAGGCCTCAAGGTTTGCTCTGAAAAGTAGATACACCAGTGTTAAAACTCCACAGGTCTAATCCCAGCTAACTTTTTCTTCAGCAACATGCATAGTAATGAGCACATATGAGAGAGTGGTTTAAACTGGACTTACTCAGATGCAGCATCACAGGTGATTGAAGTAGTCTGTCCCTCCCCAATGGGCGTTATGTTGAGGGGTACAGGTCTTCTTTTGGGAGCCATATCTAAATGTGTTCAAGGAGTTTCTCAGGGAATCCTCTTAACATAAATACACGCTAAAGGCAGCAGGATGAGACCGTGTTCCTGTTTGTATTTACCAGTGAGAAAAAGCAACAGGAGCCGTTCTGCTGCTGGAGACTTGGCTAGCACACGTTAGCAAAGAAGAAGAAGTCTTTCTTTCTGGAGCATGTCCTTCACAATGTTATTCATTTAAAGCATTTCGTGGCGCTTTGTATGTGCTAAAACGTTCCCAGGTGCAGTAAAGTAACTACAAAGGCCACATGATTTTTGCGTGTTCAATGAGGCAATCTACCTGCAGCTACAAGCCATTAGCTGTGTTAGCATGTGTTAGCATGTGTTAGCTGTGTTAGCATGTGTTAGCATGTGTTAGCATGTGTTAGCATGTGTTAGCTGTGTTAGCATACACTAGCTAGCCCAGTCCTTCAGAGGCTCGCTGCGTCTTCTTGCGCCTATCGTCCTTTGCCTTCCCAGATGTTACTGGACAAAAGTCTTCTGCAGATCTGAGGTCTGTTTCCCGTTGGGCAGAACCGAGCCCAAGGCCACTCTCCTCCGTAAAGTGTGCAGGGTGTGGGTCTGTAGAGGAGGCTGGATACAGGAAGCAGCGGCAGCATTAAAGTGACACCCACAGACTTATTATAGATCCATGGTGTAACAATACAGGCTTTAATAATACACAAGGCTTCGACTAAGAAACAACTATTCATTATAATAAATAAATGTACAAAAAAATATTGATCACAGAAACATATTTCCACTAGGACAAAATCAAAAGAAAACTATTTCTGCCGCCCCCACGTGGCAACAGCAGAGGTTTGCAGAGAAGAGACTAACATTTGAATATTTATAAATCATTTTAATTGTATTTTCTTTTTATTTGCGCGCTGTCTTGAGATGTCATAGTTTCCTTAATGTTAAAATTGGGGTGACCGACTTTCACGCCCCAAAATGTAACTAAGCGAATTTTCACAAATCTTTTTAGATCAGCTTCTTCAGAGAATAAAAAGATAAAATTAAAATAAAGCAAGAACCATCAATTCATTAAATAGGGACTAACAAGGCACTTTTGTAGTATGCTCACAATACAGTCTATGGCTCACACACACAACTATCTAGTAAGGAATAAAGCACCAAGTTGTGGTCTGATTTGTCCATTTTACTTTCATAAAACTGATTACTTTGAAAGGTAAGGGAACACAACTTCTATTATTGTAAAGACTGCTGCATCTTTTTTGGGCATCACCTTATGTTTACAGTGTCCTGTTGGTTCTGTAACCAACAAAATACATAATTGACCTAGTGTCCATTAGATAAAAAGCAAAAAGATTAGACACGTTAAGAACAAACTTTTAATTATTTCACACATCGATAACAGCTGTTAGATAATGATCATTTAAATTTGTACAACTCACAATTGACAGGCATAAAAGTCTCCCCAGATGCAAGCTGTGTATTCAGAAAATCATTTACCAATTCTCCCATTTCTCTTATGGTATTGGCTGTGTGCTGGTGAGGTTTTTAAATGTCCGTTTATCTAGAGCAATGGTTCCCAAAGTAGAGCCTTAAGCTTTGAATTGCCACTTGAAAATGTAAGTATGCACATACCTATGTTTTGTTTGAATCAGAATGGGGGGTGTAATATTTTGCCAACAGCATGCTAGACTTTGGGAACTGCTGGTCTAGAGCCACAACTAGAAGCAATTCAAGACTTTTATAAAATATTATTTAGATTTTATTGTCATAATGAACATATAAAAACACAAAACATTTACATAATGGATTATAAGCCTCTGTCCATGCTACTGTATCAATATTAAATATATGCCCCCCAAAGATTTCAGATTGAGCGGTTATAACTAAAGAATACAGTATGGCAAAGCTCAAGACCACAGAAGCAGCTTTTCATGAACCAAGAACAAAAATGGGCACATCTACAACCTGGGACACATGAATGTGGCTATTCTGTTCAGCTACAAAAATGTGGATTTTATATTTTACAATTCATGTGAACCTATGTATACAATTTAGATGGGCCATTTCAGACATTTACTTGTGTCAAGCAAAACAATGGAAGACCAGATTTCACTGTCCTTTCTGTCAATGGAGTGATGTAAAAACTATGGTTATGACTGATATAGGAGGGGGAATAACACAAAAACATAATCACATGTTCACTGAAAGTTTGAGATGAAGCAGAAAGTAGGAAGATTTTTAATAAATGTTCAATGAAAGACTATTGAGAGCAGCACACCCAGACATTACTTCTGGCACTGCATGGCCTACTGAAAAGACGTGTGCTAAAGTGAAGGTGTCCTAATAGAGAATATGCATGTATCCCAGTCTGCAGCAAATAAAATGTACATTTTCTACAAGAAAACCAGACAGAAGCCCAGAAGGAGAGTTGCATGTATCGAAACACAACTTTCATTGTATCAGACTTGCTGAAACCAACACAGTGAAATAAAGCGTAGCGCTTCAAGCCGTCATGTAATTGCAACTACTCAACACAGCCTCGAGTCTAGACCTGCAATACCCAAAACAGAAACAAGTTTACTGCTCCCTGACATTGAACACGCTTCTGCGAAGCAGACAAAACCTAAAACAACCATTATGGAAACTCAATCAGTACAGCCAAGTGATTGTGAAGCTAAAAGCAAGCCATTTCCTCATCAAGAAAAAAAGCAATCAACTTCATAATCTTCTGTATAACCAGGGTTAAAAACTACTTGCCATGGCCAGCAGAGCCAGCCTCAAAGAAAAAGCTCTGGAAAAAAAGGCACCAACACTGCAAGTTCCTAAATACACTGCTTCAGTGCTGCTGCCATACAGTCATTCTGAGGTGAGTGGATTTCAAACTAAAACATAATTGGATGCAAACCATGTCTTGAGAGGACAACAAGTTGCATTAAAACAATCAAATAAACAAAACAAAAAAATTCAATGTCCAGTGTAAAATTTAAAGAGACTCTGCAATTGTTCAGATCACGTATAGCAACTCCCTGGCCAGTCTATTAATGACTGAGGTAGAACTATTTGTTTAAAGGACAAAGTGGAAAGCATCTCGTCCTCTCACAATACAGGTTTTCAAAAATCTCTTTAAAACAATTACCCAATTTCCTGAAGAATACAGAAAAATATTCTAACTTGCATCCTCTGTTAGACATTTTGCCCAATGGTGTTAAAATTATGCTTTTACTGCACAAAGCTGTGACGACCCTTTGCTTTTCTCGCCAGCAACACGACGACCAAGTCCACAGCTAAGAGATCCTGTTTTTTCAAATACAGGGAGTGATGTGGTTAAGACGTAGAGTCTGGGGAGTCACAAAAGTCTGATGGATCGCTGAATGCACTTAAAAGCGACGAGTGGTGTACGGTACAAATTGGTATCCTACTCACACCATACAGTGTATAATTGGCTGTCTGGATAGAAATCAGAGTTACCCAAAAAACTCTGAATAGTGTCAAAAGGGAGGGTATATTTGCATCTAGTGGATACGGTGATCCTGTCCTGTTGCCTCGTCTCTGGGAGCGGGTCAGTCTTTGAGGGCACACTGGGGCCGGTCAGTATGCAGTGACCAGGTCTTTGTCGTAGTTATAGCGGCCCCTCTTTGGAGCGGGACTGTCAGCACTGTCCTCTGTGTCCTCACTGTCTCCTCCAGCCCCTCCCCCCTCTTCCTCTGAGGAGGAGTCCAGAGTTAGGTCTACCACTGCACCTCCTCCTGGTGGGACAGCTGCTCCTGCAGCACCAGACCCCCCCACTGAACCGCTGCTGGACTTGCCCGTCAGACTTGTGCTGCTGTGGGCTGGTGAGTGCCCGTTTGCCTCAGGAATGCCTGATTCAGAAAGCAAGGTTAAGAACAGTGGCCAAGGAATGATGAAGAATTCATAAGTTTTGTACTTGACACCTACATATATCAACAACAGGATACTCAGGTGTGTTGCTGCGTTCACGTTCACGATCCCTCTCCTTTTCATCTCTTATTGGTCGCCAAGAACCATCCGTTAAATACTCGATCTCCTCAATATCTTCATGCGTCTCTTTAAGAATTTCGGATAGCAGCCTGTAATGAACAGAAAAGTCAAACGTTTAAAATAAAATCCAGAAAACAAAATTGACACAAAATGATTGACCATGTGACAAACAATGATGTACAGTAAGTTTTCAAACGGACAGATACCCATCAATAGTGAGCAACTCATAAGGAGCAGGTTTGTCACACACTGGACATGTCCAGGTGGGTTTTTTCTCATTCATCTGCAGGAAGAAGACCGCATCAAAACACTGAAGATGAGCACACGTTAGGACTCGACATGGCACCCCAAGACGCATCTTCACCAGCTGAAATACATCATTGCAATTTTTACACTCACTTACACACAATACAATTCCAAATCTCAACTTTACTTTTGAATTATAACTTACTGGGCAGATAAGTGAAACACGGAGACCAGTGGTGGCAATTTCACTCTCCGGGTCAAAGCGTAGTTTATCTTGGACTTAAAAAATAATTATATAGATTTTGAAATTGCAAATATTCTTACAGTCAAAGCATGTTACAGTTCATACTGCGTTCACGACAGCGATCAGCACTCTCCACAGAGCAGAGCTTGAGTTGGTTGAAGAGGTCTGCTGCAGTGAAGACTCTTACAAGATAAACAGCCACAGAGTAACGCTGTAAAACATAAAAACAACTTGTTTAGACTCCTACTGGTAAAACTCAAACTTTTCCATGATGTTGCAATTATCAATTTCTATAATACAACTTCAAATGTGAAACTAATATATGATGAGGACTAAATCATAAATTGAAACATAAATGTGGGCCCTCTGAAAAGTAATCATAAAAGTAAATCATCTTTTTTTATATAGCGCCTTTCACAGACTCGAGTCACAAAACACTTCACAATTGTTGCGGGCATTAGTTTCTCACTCCACACAGAAATGGGAGCGCGGTCGCCGCTACAGGAGGGGCATGCCAGTACACGATTTTAGTGGTAGGGAAAACCGGAGCACCCGGAGAAAACCTATGCAGACACGAGGAGAACATGCAAACTCCACTCAGAACCCAGGATCATGTATATGTACTCAGCACTTGGTGTGGACCATTTTGTTTGAAGGCCCGGATTAATGTTGCGTGGCATGGAAGCTTTCTGCCCGTGTCCCTGCTGAGGTGTGATGAAGACCAGGATGCCTCACAAGCAGCCTTCAGCTCTTCTGTTCGCTCTCACATCTCTCTTTCTTTCTTTTGGAAATGCACCATACATTCTCCATGGGGTTCAGGTCAGGCAAGTATGCGGGCCAATCAAGCACAGTAATCCAATGGTACCAAGTCCTACTGGAAAATAAAGTCAGCATCTCCATGAAGCTTGTCTGCCATAGTAAGCATTAAGTATGCTACTATCTCCTTGTACACAGTTCCGTTGACTCTAGACATAATAAAGCGGACCAACACCAGCAGAAGACATGGCTCCTCAATCACCACAGGCTGTAGAAACTTCAGACTGGACCTCAAGTCTCTTGGATTGTGTGCTTCTCCATTCTTCCAACAGACTCTGGGACTTTCCAAATGAGATATAACATTTGCCTTCATAAGAAAAAACTTTGGACCACTGAGTAACAGACCTGGTCTTTCGTTCTCTTGCCCATGTATGACACTTTGTTTGTAGTTCAGGTGCAGTTTAACAAGAGGAATAGGACTTGTAGTCTATGTCCAGATCCATCTGTGTGTCGGGGCTTTTGATCCAGCCTCAGTCCACTCCTGAGGGTCTACCAGAATATTGAAAGGTCTCTTCCTGACTATTCTCTCCATCCCTGAGGCACCTTTTCTTCCACACGTTTTCTTCCCTCTTAACTTGAATGTGCCTTGATTCAGAACTTTTTGAACATCCAGCTTCTTTCAAGGCTTTATCTCTGTATGGAGAGTGTCAATCATTGTTTTCTGCACAACTGTCAGGTCTGCAGTCTTCCCCATGATGGTGAATTCTACAGAACCAGACTGAGAGACCATTTAAAGTCTCAGCTCATTATAATAATATATAACAATATATTTAATTTGGGGTGTTAATACAATAACAAAACAAAAGGTTTGATATCTCACTTTACATGCCATAGTATTAGTTTCACGTTTTAAGTTTTTTTTACAATGTTCAAAATTATCTGATTTTCACCCATCTATCTAGGGAAAATTAGTGTTTGACAGTTAAAATCATGTGAAACAAGTAAGTCAGGTTGTGAGGGCTGCAGTGTAAGCAGAGATGTCAAGACTTCTGTAACCATTTGAACTACCTCCGGTTTACTCAGAGTCTGCTGCTGGTGGGACATGCCCCGGCAGTGGGAACTCTGGTATTAGTTTTTAACATACATTGTTATCATATAACCTAAATAGTTCTAAAACATTCATATGATTTAAACTAATCTAAAAGATACCTTTGCAGCCTCAGACCTTTGTCATTGGGAGGTTGTAATATTGAGAAGTTTTTCTTGTGATAAAATTGCTTATAAATTTAAACAAAGCAGTCTTGTCGAGGTGGGAAACAGTAGGAACCATAAAAATACAACTACATGTGTTCTGTTTACATGATGGCATGAATGTAAAGGGGATTAGTTGACTTTGGAATAAACTCACCTTTCCAAAGTTTCCCCATGTGACGGTGATTCTGTTGGGTGCACTGGAGAGGTGCAACCAGGGAGTGATATTTACAGGACGACAGGGACGACGGGGCTCAACACCAGGTTTGTTTGATGGATAATAGCCCTGTGATGCAAAAAGTACACATTACGTTTTTAATCTGAAACAATTTGGTTTATAAACGATGCATTAAAAATACCATGCCAACATTGACAATATTTACAAATAGAGAAATCTTACCGGCACATGACAATAGGACTGATTCACTTTAACAGCAATGTTAGGAGGATACTGGTCCTCTTGAACACCAATGGAGTCTGTGTAGCAGATTCTGCAACAGATGAGAGACAGGAAGGATTTAGGTCGAGAATTTTACTCCAAACTCATTAGGAATTACCTCAACACAACTTGGACCGATCCAATCCCAGGGCGAATTTCACTAAGAAAATAAATTGTGTTATGATGGATAGATCGAAATGTAATATTTAATTAATAATATCTCTCTCTCTCTCTTACACACACACACATTTATTTACCTGGCATTTCTAATCTGGTCCGCTTGTTTGGGTGTTAACTCAAATATGTGTGGACTGTCCTGCAGTTTTTCATTATTATGGGCAACTATTAGAAAATGGTATAACATTAAGTACATATATACATTTATTAGAAATTCTCCAATAATATAAAAAGTACTGTACTCACTTAGTTCTGTGGGGCTTAGTAACGTGTCCAAAGTTTGATAGAAAGGCAATGGCACAAGCTTTACTTCTGCTGCAGGTGTGGGTAATGTTTTGGAGATGCCATTGAGGTAGTCTGCACTCTGAGAGGTGAGATTGTTGGACGAGTTGAGAGAAGCGTAGGCTACTGGAACACCCTCAGGACGTCGCGCTGCCAGCCACCCAGACGATTTAGGGAACCGTGACTCATAGAGCTGCCTCACGTTCTTGAGGAGCTCTGGACTGTATTCAGTCTGCACCAACTTCAGCGCTCGTCCAACCAGGTCCTGCTTCAGACCACTTTTACTGCGCCCCATTGAGGAGAGCAGCGTTTGCAGGTCTGAGACCCGAAAACTTTTCACCATGTTCTAAACAAAGATAGGATTAGGTCAACAAAAATCAATGAGTCGAGGGGTACATGTCATGTTTCATGTTTCTACAGTCTAAACATTTAAAACCGTTCATAGAAAGTCAGCTTGTAAAAAGTACGGTGATATTAAGGGCAAACCATATTTTACTTGTATTATGTAGTAGCCCTGTTCAATTGATTTGCTATTACAATTGCATAGTCATTGAGAACGTGCCTTTTGACAACAATGCATTGTAGTAATGAACACACATGTCACATTTGTTTTAATGAATGTATCTATCAAGATGCATAGCCTGGTAATGGTCTAAAGGAGTGAAGAACGACGCAATTATATTTAAATTTGACTAAACGGCGACTAAAGAACACCATACGACACTCAATCAAACATAATGTGCATTTTGACAGGTGCAGCACATTGAGACATTGGTTGACACTAGAACAAACCATATACAATGGATGGAGTACAGTAAATGTACTTAATCAAAATAAGCCTGGTTCAGTAAACTTTCACTATTTTGTGGTGCTGCCCTGTGCCGCCGCAATCCCATCGAAACCAGCGCAATTTTGCGGGTAACATTTCAAGCAAGCTAATGTTAGCCACGCGAGCTAATTTGTTTGGGGTTCAAGACGGCCAAATGAAAGGGAAGTCTTTTGCGGACAAGAAAGTAAATCCCCTATTTTATCTACTACGCAGCATCCTAAAAAGCCGCATAAAGGGCCCCTGTCTCGCCAAATCAAAGCCATCAGAGCGGTACTTGCCATCGCCTCCACTAGTTCAGCCGCCATCTTCGTGTCTCAGTAGCGCGAGACCGGGCACACGGCGAGTCTATGACCAATGAGAGCACTCGATACTCCTGATAGACAGCTGCTTCTGACCAATCACAGCGCGACTTTTCCCAGCGCTCGGAAGAAAGCGCAGAAAATGGGCGGTCCGATGACCATTTAAAGTTACAGTAGAACTTTTTCAAAACACTCAGAGCCCGGTCTAAAAACCAAATTAGGCCGCAGTCTTTATCAATTAAATCACACGTCAACATGTTTCTCAATCTATACCGATTTCCCTTGATAATATGCGGGCTTGTTGAATGGTCACTGAAAATGCTGCTTCATTTCAACGCACGAGCGACACGTTGAGCGCCAAGTGTACAGGATCGCATGGTCCTCTTGAGATCCCGTCCGAGCATTAATTCCCATTCCAGGTTTTGTACCCAGCTCAAGGATGGGGAGCGTGTGCTTTGTCTCCGGATTTTGTGAAAAATAAAACAAAACATCTTAATAAAGATTTGTGATTCCTTAAATTTGATTGTTTGTTTTTTAAATTGGATGTGCACCAACAATGACTAAAACATAAAATGAGCATGATACAAATCCACCTAGAATGAGAAAAGCCATCTTAAATAGGAGTAATCACAGATTCTCCAATGGCCCGGTGAAGACAAGACCCTAACAACCGAAGATATCAAGTATCTTATTAATTTAGTGACTAGGTGACTTTACATTACTTAAACAATTGTATAATATGCCATAACCGGCCGTAACAGAGAAAGTTGAGATTAGTTAAGCTCATAAAAACAGAATTAATTCAAGACAGAAAATGGACTGGACTGGACTCATAACACAGATGCCCTCTTCAAGAAGGGCCAGAGCCGACTCTACCTGCTGGGGAGGCTCAGGTCTTTTGGAGTGCAGGGGCCACTCCTGAAGACCTTCTATGACTCTGTGGTGGCATCAGCCTCTTGTACGGTGTGGTCTGCTGGAACAGCAGCATCACAGGAAGGGACAGAGGGACAGGAAGAAGCTGGACAAGGTCATCAGGAAGTCTAGCTCAGTCCTGGGCTGTTCCCTGGACACAGTGCAGCAGGTGGGGGACAGGAGGGTCCTGGACAAACTAACATCTAGGCTGGACTATGACTGTGGATGCTCTGTCTGCTCTGGAAAGCAGCTTCAGTGACAGACTTGATCATCCTCGATGTGTGAAGGAGAGGTTCCGCAGGTCTTTCCTTCCTGCTGCTGTCAGACTGTACAATAAACAATAAGGACTAATGAACTCTGCCAACTTGATCCCACGTGTCACGTTGCAATATCCTTAACTTATATCAGAATGTGCAATATACTGCTGCTAATGTACAGATGTAAACATACTGCTGCTAATGTACAGATATAAACATACTGCTGCTAATGTACAGATGTAAACATACTGCTGCTAATGTACAGATGTAAACATACTGCTGCTAATGTACAGATATAAACATACTGCTGCTAATGTACAGATGTAAACATACTGCTGCAATCATACTGCTGCTAACATGTACAGATGTAATCATACTGCTGCTTAGGAGTGTGACGATATATCAATATCGTGATGTATCGTGATACTTTCTGTGATCGATTATCGATTATATGCTTTTGCCAAGTATCGATTTAAAAAAAATCCTAAAAAATAACAACATTGTATCAATACTAAATAAATGGCTACATTACGCATCTCCATTCCATTTATTATGAAATAAAGTGTATTTTTTAAAAATTTTTCTTTTATACTTACAATTAATAATTGTAAGTATTGGACCTAGAGCAAAAATAATGTAAACAACCAAGAGCTGTAATACAATCAAAGTGTGAGTTTATTCATTGATAAATGTGACATTAACAATGAATAACAGAACCGATACGATACCACCTGGCAGCCGTCTGAAACCGTCTGCCCCAAATGAGGAAATGACGGACATTAAATTGACCAGAGTAAACAAAGACATTTCAATTTGGAGAGACGAGAAAACAGGAAGTTTTTGAGTATTTTATGAAAGGAGGTTTGGCGCCCTAGGCCCCGGTGCGGCCTTTGGATCGGAGAGGCTCCTGCGATGGAGCGCGCCAATCCCCCGGGACCTAGGCACTGGTGGCGGCATTTGGCAGCGGGAAGCAGATTGAAGGCAGATTGGAGGCAGGGTGAAGAGGAGGAGGAGGGGAGGCGGTGGTTGCGAGGCTTCAGAGGCCGGTAGTGGGAGTTTCTCCGTTTTTATGCGGCTGGCGTAGTCGGTACAGATGATTGGAAGGGGGCGTCTGCTGAGCGATAGGCTGGGGATGCGAGCCGGCCTGGAGGGGGTAATTTTGGTTAACGTCTACCAAATTGAATTTTCGCTGGCTGCATTTCAATTTGGAGAGACGAGAAAACAGGAAGTTTTTGAGTATTTTATTGAAAGGAGGTTTGGCGCCCTAGGTCCCGGTGCGGCCTTCAGATCGGAAAGGCTCCTGCGATGGAGCGCGCACAATCCCCAAAAAGGCTGCGTGTTGATGGAGTTTTCGAAGCCTGGTTTGGAGGGGACAGACGTCGTGACTGCTCTATTCTGTGACCGCTATCGCTGTGCTGTGGCCGCTATCGCTATATACTGTGACCGCTATCGCTATATGCTGTGACCGCTATCGCTATATGCTGTGACCGCTATCGCTATATGCTGTGACCGCTATCGCTTTATGCTGTGACCGCCAGCGCAATGCTGCTAACCATTTTTTGCCATATGCTGTGACCGCTAACCATTTTTTGCTATATGCTGTGACCGCTATCGCTATATGCTGTGACCGCTAACCATTTTTTGCTATGCTGTGACCGCTATCGCTATATGCTGTGACCGCTATCTACTGTGATCAATACTTGCGGATACTCGGCTGCTGGTGGCGCCTATCCGGAAGGAGTGAGCTGTGTAGAGATGGGGAGACAGGTTACGAAGCAGCAGTACGGACTTTAGTTGGGCTCTGAACCCGTTGGATGACGTTGGGAGGTGATCGGGGGTGAGAAATAACGGTCCGTTGAGATCTCCTTTCCGAGAGCGGAGGCGAGTGTAATGCATCGTGGGTTATTTTTGCGCGCTGGGAACGTGAGCGTTCGCATCACGTTCCGTCGGACGCTGCGGCAGCGGAGAGTGTTTGAGAAGTGCGTGCCGCCACCAGAATCTTATTGCTTCACTTACTTTGCTTCGTATTGCTTTGCTGGGAGCTTACGAGGAAGCCAGTAGACGTTGTGCAGCCAGGATAGCGGACGCGTCTGGCCTGATGTAGGCGGAGAAAGCCGAAGAGGACCAGCACCCCAGCTGTTGGAGAGGTGGGGGAGCCCCAGCGAGGCCGCGCGCGTGGCAGCGCCTGTCCTGAAGGAGTGGGCTGTATGGAGCTGGGGTGACAAATTGCGGAGGAGCAGTAGGGATCTTAGTTGAGCTCTGAACCAGGTTGCTGTCATGGGAAGGTTGTCTGGAGAGAGAATTAGAGGTCCGTTAAATCTCCTTTTTGCAGCGAAGGCGAGTGTAACGCATCATGGACCTGTAGGGGCAGAGAGATGGGTCGGAGCGAGCTATCATTATGTTGCAGGCGCCTTGGTCTTTGAATGTTGAGATGAAGGTTGAAAGGGTCAGGGGACATTATGTTGGGTGAAAAAGAGCGACCTTTGTTTAATGCTTCCACTACGTCGAGATTATCGCGCATGACAGAGATCCTCTTTCTCTGCCACGTGTGATTCCACAGCGCGCAGGCCACGACCACTGGGAATATCTCATGTAGGGCAGAGGAGATGCTCCGGTGGAAGTAGCGGCCACGGCCCGGCAACCCAATGGTCCTGGAAGAACCCCCCAAAACCCACGGAAGGGGCACGTCCGTGTAGAAGCGGAGACATATCGGAGAGGGCCATTGATGTTGCAGGCGCCCTTACGCTTAGAATCTTGGGTTGGAGAGTAGATAATCAGGATAGTAGGATGGTCGGGAAGCCGCGTCTCGGACCGCATGAAGGTTGAGCGAGCAGTAGTGGACACTTATGCAGAGAAGCCATAGAAGGCGAGCAGGAAGATGCTGCGAGGAGGGCAGACATGTACTTGGAAGACGAGCCGGAGTTCAGTGCCGCTCAGAGCCGCTGCAGGATGGGCAGCACGATGGGGGAGCCTGCGATCAGAAGAGTGAAGAATACAGGTATGGATGCCTTTGATTAGGAGTCCGATTGACGGCTCAGCGCAGCTACTCGGCCGGCTGCATCTGATAGAATCAGAAGATTAGGTAGAGAGATGAAGCATGACCGCCGAAGCGACCCTGGGAGCATAGGTACGAGGCCAGCGCGACGCGGCATACTCAGCCGGGCAGCATCCATTGAAGCAGGATAAGCTCTGAGAGAGTGGGTTGCAGCAGTAGTAGTAGCAGCAGCGGCAGCAGCAGTAACCTCAGATAATAACAGCGATAACCTGTATCAAGCCGCGACAGCAGCAGCAGCAGCGGCAGCAGTAGCAGCATCCTTAGAGATTAACAGTAATAATCCTGTATCAAGCCACAGCAGTAGAATGTTATCGTAGCTGATCAGTGTTTCAGTAAAAGAGATGCAAGTGAAGAGAGATGGCAAGTAAATGAAGCAGCAGCAGCAGTAGTAGCAGCAGTAGCGGTATGAAGCAGCAGCAGTAGCAGTAGCGCAGTAGCAGTATGGAGCAGCAGCAGCAGCAGCAGTAGCAGCAGCAGCAGCAGTAGCCGTATGAAGCAGCAGCAGCAGTAGCAGCAGCAGCGGCTGCAGCATCCGTAGATAATAACAGCAATGATCCTGTATCAAAGCCACAGCAGTAGAATATTGTTGAAGCTGTTTAGTGTTTCAGTAAAAGATGCGAAGTGAAGAGAGATGTCAAAGTACATGAAGCAGCAGCAGCGGCAGCAGTAGCAGTATGAAGCAACAGCGGCAGCAATAGCAGCAGTAGCGGTAGCAGCATGAAGCAGCAGAAGCAGCAGAAGCAGCATTAGCAGGAGCAGTAGCACCACAATGCGATTCATAC